AGCTGGCAGTTCTGAGGAGTGAGGCCAGGGTCTCCTGCCAGGGCTGATGCAGCTCCCTGCATATGTTCCCTCCCTCCAGGCACAGAAGTCTGTCTGTGAATGAGGTTTCTGCTTGTTTGTATTGACAGAGCGTAAGAAAAACCAATTCAGGGCATTAATGAATGTGGTGGTGTCAGCTCTTGCCCTGATGCTGTGAGAGCAGTGTTGTGTTTTATCCTCAAGTGCCCTGAACCATTGTAACCAGAAATCGAGCCTCTTAGTCACTCTTGAAAAATCAGGCTTGCTCCCACAGAGCACACAAATTCAAAAAGTTCCATTAGGTTTTGTGGTTGAAAGTTTTAGGCTTCATTAGTGTGGGAGTAGGTGGTCCATTATTGACTGCCCTGTACTTGGCCTTCACAAGGCTGCAGGGAGAACACTCCGTGCCCCAGCCTAGGAGAGGTTTCGGCAAATGGGGAGACCACTGAGATGGTCAGGGGCCAGAGCACCTGGTGTCTGACACTGCTGGGGCTTTTCAGCCTCCTTCAGGTGAAGGGAAGGTGTAAGGGGTATCTCACTTCTATCTCCCACTGCCCAGCATGTGCTCATAGAGATGGTGGAGTCAGACCCTTTCCAGAGGTCTGATTTGTGACTTGTGAATTCTGGGACCTTTCTCCTGGAAGGCAGGATGTAGGACCTAATGATAAAGGGGCTGCATGGTGTGCTTTTAGTTTTATAGTTTTAGTTACCTTTTTAGTAATTTAATTTTATCTATATTGCCACTTCCTTTCCTTTCGTGTGTTGGTAACTTTTGCTCATCAGCTGTGTTTGCTTCCACACTACACTCATCCTTGAGGCTTTTTAACTCCTCAGCTTTAATTTTCCTTCCATCCCCATCCTCTATTTGATCTAGATCTTCCATGTGCCCATCTTGGAGTCTGATTCTCACCTGATGTCTGTTCAGTTTATTCTCTGTGGAGTTGTCTTATTTATCTTTTGTTTTTGCCTTTCAGTGTTCATGGGCCTTCAGTTGGGAACTCTAAAACTGTCTGCTGAGTTCCTCTCTCGTACAGAGGTGGCAGTAGGAATACAGTTCAAGGGGAGCATGGCTTGGATTTACAGTGTTGTAATCTTAGGAAAGGTTCTGAAAGTGTAGAATGATGGCAGTGTCTTGGGATTCATAAATCTCTGTTTCTTCATGTGGTCTGTAATAAAATGAGGGGCATCCATCCAATGAAGAGTTAAGAACATAATTAATTGTGCTGTTGGTTAAAAATTGTTGTCCCTAGGAAGTGACTCCTTTAAATTGGCTCAGGTTCTGCTCAGTGCTGGTATCAGTTGTTAGGAGATACACAGAGTGCAGCCTTTCCTTTAGGAGGGATGCTGGGAGGGTTTCCCTGATCTACTCAACCATCTGTTTTGGGGAATTTGCAGGATTGCTTTGCAGCACCAGTTTCTTGGCTGAAACCAGCCAGTGAGTTTGGAATAGACGCATTCCTGTGCTAGACAGTGTACGTGGGCAGGCTGTGCTTCCTCAGGAAACCAGGCTGGAAATCTGCTCGTGACAGGCACAGTCAGATCCATGTCTTTGAGAGCTGAGACCTTCTGACTTCAGTACAAGCAGGCATTGCTCAGAGCAGAGGTAGCCAGGCTTCCACCTTCATTCCAGCCCCTGGGGCTCTGGTGACTGCTCTATGTTGCTTTTGCCATTGGTTATCAGGCTGCACATGGCAGAATCCAAGTATGCTGCATTTCTTCCTGATGTTAAACTCCTTTTACCAGGCACAATACTGTTGAGTACAGCACTTTTAAAACGTTGCCTTTTAAGTCCTTGTTCATGCAAAAACCTTGTTTACACTTCTTTTTTTCCTCTTGTATCAATAGCTAAAAAATCCTGGTTTTTAAAAAGAAACAAACAAAACGGCAAAATCCCCAACAATACCCAAAACAACCAAACAAACAAGCAAAAAACCAAACCAAACCCTGATAGATAGATTGCTGTGTTGTATTTGAGCAGAATGGTGCTGTTGTGTCAGACATGGGTTTTGTTGATGTTGTGATCCTTCGTGTGGCTTGCTCCAGGGCAGGGTGGAGTCATGTGGAATTTACAGATTTTCTTTACTTGCTAGTAATTGCTCCTTACCTAGCGTTTTTGATCTTCAAAGCTCTTTTCAAATGCTAAGTAATTTTTGCTGCATTCTTTAAACTTTGGCAACAAGTATGCCTGCTTTTGTAGATGGGTAAAACTGATTCTGATAGTGGGACTTGCCCAAGGCTAAAGGATTAAATCTTACTCTGTGTTAGTATTAACTTTGGCACCTCTTGGTGTCTGGTTCTGGGCTTAATAGGAAGTGTTTTGGGCTCCTCCTGCCTGTGCTGTACAGATGAAAAACTCGGGGCAAGATCTTGCTGGTGGGGCTCTCACCAGTAGCAAGGATCAGAATTGAGTCTGAAATCCAGAACACATGGTTCAGAAGCATGGAACTGCAGATGGTTTTATTTTCAAAACATTAGGATATGTTAAATTACTGGAATAAATGGTTGGGTTAAGAGGAGAGCTTGGTGTCTCTGGGCTGAACTAGCCATGTGACGTGCTAGCTAATATGCATGTTATGGGGATATTCCGTGGGTAGGAAAGGATTTGCTCAGAGCTTACGTCTTACTACACAGTGGATAATGCAGTTGCAACACCTGGATACCAGGCTCTGCTTCTTCACAGAACTGCTCATTTAGTTCATACCATTGAGTGGAGCTGAACTTTGGTATTGAGAACCCACTGAAGTTTGGTGGCCTGTCATAAAGGGCAGAAAGCTAGTTTTCACCAGAGTAGTGTAATCAGCCAGTTTCTGTGGTGTTCTCTGCAAGCCCAGTTATGTCAGCCCAGGAGCCCCTGGTGGTCTTTGGTCCCAGCCTTTGAGCTCCAGCAGTCCCATTCCTTCCATCTGTCGGAGGAAACTGAGGCACCAAGTGCCTGGGTAGGAGCTGGGTTGCAGACACCTGAATGAGGGGGTGTCAGGTGGGGTGGAAATGTACCTCAAATGTCTGCTATCACAGCATCTGGGGTGTGACACAGCACAGTGTGATTCATTGCAGTTGCTTTGGGGGTTTGCTGTGAGACATCCATGGTTCAGGTATCTGTGACACAAATAATAAATTCAATTTTACTTTTTCTTAAGGTGGGTCTACCTACGGCCTCATTCTCATGGCTTTTGCCTTTTTCCTGATGCTCCTTTATGCTGTTTAAAGTCTCTAGGAGCCTTTCTTCTATTGAATAATCCCAAAAAATTTTAATGATTTATAATGGTCCACATTTTTCCCCTGCACCTATGGGCTGTGACTTTCTCACTGGGAAGGGGTAGCCTAACTGTTGTCCCGTCCTTTCTTTTGAGTTACATCCCTTTCCTGTCTGTAAGGTGTTTTGAAGAACAAGCTCACCATTCTGCTTCCATCCCTGCTCTATCCTTCCTACATCTGATCCCAAGCTGTGGCCCAAGTGCTGCAGGATGTTGGGGCTTGGCAATTACACTGGAGCTGAGAACTCAGGATTTATGTGCCGTGGTGAAAAACCTTTAGATGGAAGATGGAAGGCTGGCAGGTAAAGTGGAGGTCCCCTGATTCACATAATCTGCCCCACTCTAAAATGTCAGCAGCAGTTTGTCGGTTGCAGTTGATTGTCCCTTCTGGTGCTGAGATCTTGCTTCATTGTGCAAATAGACCTGTGCAGGCTGACATTTCAGTGAACTTCTATTGTCTTATTTAATGGAAAAGTTGCTATTTAGAGCATCAAAAGAAATTTCTTATAAAGAATATGGTAATATTACTTTCAGGTTTTTTAATGGGATCATTTGAAGCATTATTTTAGCAAGGAAAATGGGCTCTTCAGTCATATACAAAGCTGTACTAAAAAACAGGCTACTCTCCATTCCATCCAAACATCTCTGAGCACCTCTGAAAGCTGTAAGGAACAGTAAGCCTCTGCCTGAAAAGTGTAATTCACAGCTCTTGTAAGAGGAGGTATTGTCCTACCCAATTACTGTTATCAGACTAGATGATAGCCAGATTCCCTTTGTATTCAGGTGCTCTAATGTCTATTCTGAGAAGTAGCTGCAGTGTCCTTCCCTTCTGCAGTAACCTGCTACCAGCTTGTAACACTAGCTGCAAATACCACATCCATAAGGCTTTAATGTGTGATTGTAGTATGGTGATTGTAATTCTTCACTCAACAGCTTCTTGCTGGGGTCTGAGAGATCAGTTACTTGAGAGTGGTCTCATACCCAGTTGTCCTGATGGTGATTAAGCAAGTCATCACTTCAGGGAGCTGGTGGGATTTTGTAATGGACATATACACTTGTTGGCATTTGGTGTGTCTAACATGAAAACATGATGTATAATTGACTCTCATTTTAATTACTAACCCAACCATCTTAAAAAGGTCGGAGAGGTGAAAACACAGGATTGTTACACATGATAGGGTGTGCTAATAGGCTTGAACTCTTAGAGGGCTTCTTTTCCCTGAAGCCATTGGCACCATGTTAGTATTAGTGGAGAAACGCTGCCACAACCAATAAGTTGAGTTTCCCAAGCAGGTTCTTGTACTCTAGTGTGGTGTCCTGGTTAGGGCGAGCGAGTACAGGAAACAGGTCCTGCACAGCTCATGAGCTTAAAGGGAAGTAGGTTCTCGTGGCTTCCCAAGGTATGACAAAGGGAAGGATGAGAAATCTAATGCTGCTTTACATCATGAACAGGATGTGACACTTGCTTTAATCATGTAAATGTGCCCAAAGGCATGCTGATACATCAGTGCACGTGGGTTCTTTTGCCTTTTACTATTCTTCACTGGATTATTTGCATTTTACAATTTTTCAAGGAGGTAATAAATTATAAAGGATGTATGTATGAAGGCAGAGGGATCTCAGCTTACTCTTAACACTTGTTCCACACTCCATGCTATCTTTTGCATGTGTTGCAGTGTGCTCAAACAGATGGCATGTGACACTGACTTTATTTTTCTTTGCATCCAGGTTCACTTCCCTGATGTTGAACGAGTGGAGTGGCTGAACAAGGTGAGGAGCTCTGAACTCCAGCTGGGGAGGTCACCTCCCATCCAAAGTCTGTGGGACAAGTCAGAAAGTTATCTAATTACTACAGTGTAGCTCAATTGTATCAGTGTCTGTACTGAAGTATGGAGTCGCTAAGGTGTGGGGTTGCCACAGTGGTTGAGAGCCAATGTGAGCCTGGTTTATACAAGTTTGATAAATTCAACAACACTTCATTCTGAGAATAAAAAGAAAAATCAAGTGTTTGTCTATATATATGGACATATACATATGTATGTTATTATTATTTTAACAAACCTAGTGGTATCTCCTCTTAGCAGGAAGGTTCCCAGAAAGCACTGAGGCAAATGCTCTCATCAGCAGGTCTGGTCAACCTCTCAAAGCAAAACATCTGAACTTGCAAATTAGCATCCAATGACTATCCTCTTTTTTGGGGTTTTTTGTTGTTTTTTTTTTTTAAGCAAATTTCCTTTTTTATATAAAAGCTCATCTCAATCCTTTCTAAATAAACCTAACTCCAGGGAACATTGTTACACTTTGGAATAATTAGGTACTATTGTACTTTAGAAATTTAACCCTGGGCTTTATTGGCTCCTGTGGTTAGAAGCATTCTCTATGGTGCTGAAAACTCACCCTTCAGTTACCAAAACAAATTCCAGTTCTGAGGAACAGAAATGGATCCTTCCATAAGGATGACTTAAGTGCACAAAGTTGACTTGGTATTTTAAAAGTACAGATATTAATAGCCAGGGTTCTGTAATGGGTGTGTCTGTTTCACAGCAAAAGGTGTCTTACTCAAAGAATCTTCAGTGTGTTCCTGCTTTTGCCGTTCTTTAGGTCCTTGTACAGGCTTGGCCATACTTTGGAACCATCATGGAAAAATCATTTAAAGAAGTTCTTGAACCAAAAATCAGAGCAAAGAGTGTACATCTGAAAACATGCACCTTTACCAAGATTCACTTTGGCGAGAAGGTAGTGGGAATCTTTTGTAACACTTGTGGTTCACTCTTTTCTTAAAAGTTTAGGTGCAAGGGGAGTGAGATGTTCAGCTCTGTAATAGCTTTGCTCCCTCCTCATGTTGACTTGAGCATCTTCACCATGAAGGAAGGATCATACAGGAAAGACACACCTTTTCCCTCCTGCTGTCAGTATCCTGGGACTGGAGACCGAAAAAAAGGCCATATCTATACTTATTTCTGTTGTACCCTTGCAACAGGAGTTTTCATTACTCTCTAAGGCTTGCAGAATGGCCTAGGACTACTTGCAACCAGCCTTGTGTTCGAGGACTGCCAAGGCTGTTCTGTCTTTAAAGAAAAAAAAAAACTGCTGGTGTACTGATATACTCATGCAGTTTTGCAAAGTATTTAATTGATGCTTCTGTGCTCAAATTCATCAAAGTGAGTAGGACTTTTCACTTGCACTTAGCTTGATAGATGTTGACTATATTGTATCTTGTTTGTCTCTATTTCAGTGCCCTAGAATTAACGGAATAAAAGCCTACACCAAAGAAATTGATAGGAGACAAGTTACCCTGGACCTGCAGATCTGGTAAGGTTGCATCATTGATATGTTGATGGTTCTTAACTTACTGCCTATGTATGAGTCATGCTGGACTGGGCATGGTGCACTAAGAAGAGCCTAGAATGATATGAGATAATCTGACTCCCAGCTGGATGTCCTCAGTTGTTACAGAAGTGAAATGTGCATCAGTCTCTAGACCAGAAATAATAACCTTCACAGCTCCAAGTGTTACCTACTCTGGCCCATCACGGATGCCATGGGTATAAGAATGTGTCCTTTGGCTTTGCCATTTTTGGCAGTGAGTACCAAAGTATTCAAACTGTGTTTCCTGTTCTTAGGAAAGCTCTCAGGTCTGGAGGTGCTTGGTCTGTCTTGCCCACTATGGTTTCTCATTAGTCCAACTTCTCCAGTTTTTCCAGAACTACTTGCACTACTTATTTTTTAATTCCCTCCTCTAAATTAATCCTTTTAGTCATCATTTTTTCTATGTGCCATCCAACACATTTGCTTTTTTGATTACAGCTGTTCTCTGAGCAGAATACTGCCTCTAGCTCTATTAACAACAACAACAACAAAATTAGATAAAATATTTAATACCTCCCAGGCTGTTTTGCATGAGTTTGTATGTTTTGTTAACATCAGAACTATTGCAGAAGTAAACTCTCTCTTAGTTTAGCCCTGGAGAATGGAATTGCTGGGGGATTACCACTTGCATGCTGCTCTGTAAGTTTTAGTGGGTGACTGAGCTGCCTAATATAAATGGTTTTTCATGGTAGTGCCAGGAAAAAGCTGTGAAATTACAGACTGTCTTGGCAACAGCACAGAGCTCCTCAGAACTGTGCCTGCTGCTTAATGTGGTAATGGCATGGCAGCATCCTCAGCCCTGGCAGAGCATCATCACTCCCTGTAAATTCACACACTTGATTTTCAGTCAGGTGTTTCCGTGCTGTTGGCAAAGTGCTCTTTGTAATACCCAGGTCAGTGTTAGGGCCTTTGGCAAATCATCTGTGCTTTCCATGTTGAGATTGAGAAATCTGATGCCCTTTAAGCCTTGCAGAAGGTTGCTGCTGATCTCTGCTAAACTGCTTCTCCCACATCTTCATTTGCACTGTCTTTTGACAATCCTCTGCAGAGGGATTCTGTCACCTCCACATTCCTGTCCTTCTGGCAGACTCTTCAATATCTCCAAACTGGCTAAGCACTTCTGTTCCTTATGCTGGTGCTGATAATCTAACCTGAGCTGATGCCATCTGATAGCCCCAGTATTTCTGCATTTACACAGGAGTGTGTAGTTTGCCTTGCTACTCTGGTGGGGGTCTCTTCTCTAGGGCTGCATTAAGGCCTCAGCTTCACTTGTGTTCATACGTCAACAGCAGTGTCTGCAGCTAAGCTGTGTTGTGCATCCTGCAGTGTCTGCAGGAGATTGTTGTTTTCAGGAACAGGGAGAGGCAAATCTATGATCAGTGCTATTATTTACCTGCCTTTTTCTGGATTACCAATAGAACAGGGTTTTTTGCTACTTTAGAGGAGATGGAGCTGAGTTGCCCCAGTGTGAGTCTGCCCTTCACTCTACCTCTTAGTCACTGTGATGGTGAGGTTTAGATGACTGATCTGTTTACAGGGCTGTGTGCTGGCATCACAGCACTGGAGAAGAGAGTGATGTGCTGTGGGTGCCTGTGGGGTGCACTGTGCAGTGCTGCCACCACAGTGACTCTTGGGTTAGGTTTCAGTGCTCTGTAAATGTTTCTTGCTTTCAGTCTCACAATAGTACAGGAGGACAGATTTTTTTCCCTCCAGTTTTATCAAGAAGCCAACTAGTTGCTGAAGCTCAGAGACTTTGATTTGACATGGAGAAAATGCAGGAAGAGGGTAAGAGTAGAAAAATCCTTTCTTACCCTTACTTTGTAGTCTGTATGGAAGCATTTGTGTAGTTTATTAGCCACTCATAGACATGTGATGCATGAAGACCTTTGTTTCACCTGTGCTCCTGATCTCACCAACATGATGCAGCACTGAATGCCATGGTTCATCAGTTCTGTGCCACGAGAAGAGGAGCTTCCATTCCTCTGTGTTAAGTTTGTGGTATCACAAATTACATCCTTGGTTTTGGGAAGTGTGAAAAATAGCACTTAGAGGTCCCTTATTTGTATGGGCTGTAGCTGGCAACAGAGTCAGGGATGCAGATCTGGCACTGCATGAAGTTACTAAAAGAACTTGAGAAGCTGCTTTACTTAAATCTTGGCTGTAGCATCAGAGCATTGGGAATGGTTATGTAGAGCACTGTCCTATTATAATCTTGGCTGTCCCATGCAACAGGACTGTATACTCCATTTTTCAAAATGGGAATTATCCAAGTGCATCCACTTGACTTCCTACAGCTGCTTTCCTTTCCACTAATTTTTCAGCTGCCTGAGCTGCTGCATAGCCATATGATCATAGGCTGTAATCATCAGAATTTCCAAGTACTTGAAGGCACTATTACCTCCCTGAAAAACACCTTGCAATCCAGTTTCTTCCTATTTTATTAATATGATTTAGTTTTCATAAGCATTTTTCATTGGAAATGTTCTGAATTTTCTTTTGCATGATCTTCTGTGGCATTTAAAGTACATGAGATGTCATAGGAGAATAGGTTAATAATTGGCATGTGTAAAAATTAATTGATTGCAATTTACTTTTAGAAGAGAATCTCTGACTTCCTGTCAAGTTTTGAGAGCTGGAAGGACAGTCTCTCTGATTAAAGAAGTCAAAAGAAATGTGCAACAATACTTTGAGCTTTAGTGGAGTTTGGGATAACTAAGTCTGTAGGCTCTTAGAAGAAACTGAAAGCATTTTGGAAACTGGTCAGTCTGGAGCAAAAATGGATACCAGCCCCCAGAAGCCTGACTGGACAGGGAGAGGGGAAAGACAGAGAGCTTTCTGGCTTTTCTCATACTCTGTGTTGCCTGGTTACATTTTCTACATCTCTCTACTTTGTGTAATTCTGTGTGTTTGTCTCCCAAGTCCAAAGGCAGACTAAGCATAGTCTGTGTTACAAAGCACTTGAGAAGGTTTGGCCAAAGGAGGGTTTCAGTATGGGGGGGCATGAGAAGATGGGGCCCCTGGGCAGTTACTTTACAGTGGGGGGAATTGCCCAGGCTTTTTCTAAAGGGACATGAAGACATCCAGGTTAGTTAAACTTGCCAGCTCTGGTAGCAACCCTGCCTTCAGCCAGTGAATTGCCTTTGTATCATAAACACCAGGCCCAGATTTTCCAACCAAGTACAGAGGAGGCACAGATATGTGCACTTGAACAAGGTTCTCATCAACAGCACAGGCATATCTGCATCACCTTGTGCTACAGGTGATGTAGGAGAGAAACAGGTGATTCTTCCATCCTCCACAGGTGGGTAAAGCACAGCCCTGTGTAGGCTGGAGGGGCTCAGCCCTCAGCTTTTAAGTGTCAAGTCTTGAGTTTGGCTCAGGTGTGCTCTGGGGCAGGACAGCAGAGAGCACAGCAAGGTTATGCTGCACAGAGGAGCAGATGGAAGCACGAGCAGCTGGGACTGGAAATGAGGAATAAACTAAAGAACAAAGAGTTCATCCTTCCTACCAAGCACCCTGGCAGGGGGGTGATACCTATATGAGGCAGACATAGGGTAATTTAAGGCTCAGTCTCTGATAAGACTTCTCTGACATCTTTACTGGAGAAAAGAGACATCTAGAACTGAGTGGGAAGAGTTTTTGACTGTGTGGAAAGGTAGAAACACCACAGCTCTTACTTGTTATGTTAGACACTTGCAAAAGCTGACTTAAATCCTCTTGGACTAATTACTGCAAATTAAGGAACTAATTTTGGCTTCTCATTTAGAATTTTATTGTAACAATGCTCTGTTAGCACCCAGTGTAATTACCTGTAAGATAATGTCAAAACTGTAGAAGTTAACAAACATAAATAAGTTTAATAATGTCACTAGCTTTTAAGAAAGATTGTCTTAATTTTGGCATGGTTTATGAGGTTGGAAATAAGAAATGAAAATGATGCAACATTAAAGGCTTTATTCTGTGTGTTATGAGCTCCTAAAATTCTGTTAGGTGACTATCTGTAGACAAATACACAAAGAACTTTGCTTGCAAAAGTGGAGGCAAATTCACAGAGTTGCATGGTCCTGGCACATTTTTTGTGGGTGGGAGAGAATCTGTCTATGTGCAAATTTGAATTTGTGGCATCTGCAGCACTATTTGCCCATATACATGTGGTCAGAGTAGAACTCCTACCCTTTTCCTTTGATTATGGAGTAAAGTTATGCAGGCAGCAAGCACAGCACATTCACTGCTGCAGTACCTTTACACCCTGTTTTACCTGCAGGGTGTTGGTGTGTCTGCAGCTAGAGCTATTTCTCAGAGGGCTGAAAGGGAACTTGGTAGCTCCCTTCAGTTGTTTTCTGCCAGAGGCATCAACAGATCTGTGAGGTTCTGCTCCCTGGGGAGTGGCTATTGGTTTCTGCATAAGGTGATGTTTGTACTTTTATTAAAGTCTAAGGAGCTTTCCAAATTGCCAAAGTACCGCATTCAGCATTTGCTTTATTTAAAGCCTGATGTTCTCCATGGCAACTGACCAAAATCTGATCTAAGTTGTTGTCTTTGAATTCAGCCTCAAGGAAACCAGATTATTTTTAGTGATAAATTTGTCCTTCAAGTGAGTTTTGTGTTGTGGGCAAGGGTGATTTATGGGCTTTTTGGGTGTGGGCAAGGTGGGAACCCCATAAGTAATGGCAGAATGGCTCTGCACCACCTTGGGAGCTGGGTCACCAGGGTGTGGGCTGGGATAAGGCTTTTGGCAGAGAAGAGAGCAACTGGGCAATTGCTCTGACCTTGGATTTTGAATAAGCATCTTGGTCCCCTTCTTGGAGCAAGCTTGCTTCAGCCAACCACTAGTCTTAAGAATGGAAAATACAGACGTTGCTTCAATGTTTTACACGTGTATCAATATCCCTGCAGGGTTTCTCTTGTGAGAGCTCTGACCTTTGTTCAACTTCCCTTTTTCAGTCACTTGGAAATCCTTCTCTGCCTGTGGGATCATGTTGTCAGTCCTTAAACTGATTTCATTTATACTTTGTACTGCCCCAAATTTCTCATGGGACTATTGCAAACTGTGGAATAATGTGTGAATTTTCTTTCAGTTACATAGGGGACTGTGAGATTCACATGGACATATCGAAATTTAATCTTGGTGTGAAAGGTGTACAGGTGCGTGCAGTGCTAACATTGTCTCTTCAAGGCTATGTGGGGCAGGAGGTAGCAGCTCCCAGTGGGGAGGTCACGACACTTAACTGGGAAACCAGCAACTATCAGGCTTGGAATGATTGGCTTTTTCTCCTTGTTCTTGGCTGGGGAAATCATGCTTTCCATGGAAAGCACTTAAATACAACTTCTAAGTTTTGTAATGTGACTTTTAAACAAGGTCAGTGCTGGAGCATTATGTGTGGGCCAGCAGCTGCCTACCAGAGTTCAGAGGAGCTCAGAGTGTTGGTAGAGAACTTCAGAAGAACCATGATGTTCACAAGCTGATGTAAATTAAACCAAGAACCTGTTCTTGGAATGCTCCATTGTATGACAGGATTGCAGAGAGACTCCACAAACACAGAAAGCATTATCTGATATCAATAGCAATGGTCTAGGGGGAAAAGATTTTGTTATTAAATTCTAAATAAAATTACTTCAAGAAGAATTTCTAAGATTACCTCCATCACTGAAAAGCACAGTTTTGAAGCTGCATCATGAGAGCACCTTAGCCCTGAGCTTTCCTGTTCTGTTTGCAGTTGTATGGGACGTTGCGGGTGATCCTGGAACCTCTCCTAACAGATGCACCTTTTGTTGGAGCAGTGACCTTGTTTTTTATGCAGAAACCGGTGAGTCAGGAGTGAGCTGCTCTCTGCAGGCTGCTTGGTCTTTAGTGCTTGGTCTTTGGTGAGTGACACAAGCTGTCCATAACTGTGAATGCCTCACAGTGCTTAAATGACAAATTGTTTAGTGTCCCTCTTGAACTCCGGGAGGATGTGAATTAATTTGCTCTATACTTTTGTAGTAGTGCCTAAACAGTTACTTGCTTCACTCTAAGAATGGGAGGACTGTCTTATGGTGGCAGCACAGGAGCTGTTTCTTCAAGGTTTCTGGCTGGTGTATCTTCCCATTCACAGATTTTAAATACAGTCATTTTGGAGACCATTCAAGTCATGGTTGCCTTTTGAAAGCTTGCCTGTTTAAGGTCATGTACCTTGTACTCAGTTGTGGTTTAATAAAATATGAGAAACCTTCTAGTCTTGTAAGAACCATTTATCTTACAGCACACAGCTTTGCTTGTGGTTTATGCTCAGCTTGAGTTCATGAAAGTCATGCATTTTTTATCTCAAATGAGGTGTTTTTGTGTTCAGATGTAGCAGTATTCTAGCACGTGAAAGAACCTCTTCTAGTTTATTGTAGGAATCGGAACACAGACTCCTGAAACTGGTGGTAATTGTAAACCCCCCCTGCCTCAGGGCATAGGCCAACCTCTAAGTGAAAGGATGGGAAAACAACTTCAAAGTCTTACTAGAATTGCTGAATTTCCTTCATGACCCCAGGGCATCTGCCAGTGACCATTGCTAAGGGCTGAATGCTGACTTTCCTTCTGCTTGCAGGTTGAGTTCCAGTGATAGCCTCAGTTCAGGATGGCAGATGAAATAGATAAGGGAATTGATACCAGCTGTTGATTCTAATGTACACATGCAATTGGTGTTAACACGTTTTTGTTTTTTTAGCCATCTGGCTTTGTTCTACCAGCATTTCCCTTTTAAATTCTACATTTATTTTGAAATAAATTTTAATAGACCTGTATAATATTTTCTTCCTGATCTTGTTGTAGCATTTGGAAATCAATTGGGCAGGCATGAGCAACCTTCTGGATATCCCAGGGATTAAGTGAGTGTCTCCTTTGCTTTATTCTTCAAAAAACCTCTGGAAGTTGGAATGTAGTTCTTGAATATCCATCAAAGCTGTTGTTGAGAGCATGGTGTGTGAGGTGTTGTGCTGATGTTCATCCCATCATATCTGGCTGTGGCAAAACCTTCTTTTTATGTTCTTTCAAAATTGTTTCAATCATGTCATTGCATTTAGGATGGAAATTGTAAATCCCCCAAACAACAATGACTTAAAAACTAAAAAATAATTCCTTCTGTTTCCCATGTGTCAGTTATTTGCAAAGGTAGTTGAAGTAGGTTTAGACTGGCAGTCTGCTTATTTTTATTTACAGTAAAGTGTAAAAAGGCAAGGTATCACAGAGTTGCAGTCCCTCTGATAAACTCAAGTACAATCCATGATAAAGAGAACTGCACCAGATTAATAAGGAGAAAAGTTTCTTTCTATGTAATCTGCTCACCTTTTAGATGTAGCTGTTCTCCAGTGCCTCTTGGGTTAGGATTACATACATAAAACTTGCAAAGCATGGATGAAAATCATAGTGGGTTTCAGTACTGTTTCAAACTGTTTTACCAGATTGGGGATTCAGTTTGTCCTTGTTCTTTAGTGTAAGGAGAAAATTCTGTTGCACAAGAGGAAAATACATGGGGTTACACAGCCATTGCCTTTCCCCCTTTCACTGCAAATGCAGACACTTCTGTTCCTCTCTGCTCCCATGCAGCTCATGGTTTGCAGAGTCTTAGGAAGTGTCTGGCCACTTGAGGTGCCAGTTTATGTATTAAAGATCCTCTGAAGGCTTTTGATGTTATATGAGAGGAAGCTTCCTTTTTCTCTTAATTTGAGGCCTGAGTAGCCTTTTGCCCTGAAGTTTAGCCTGAGAGCTCCAGTTTTATCAGAGGAATTAATCTGTTCATTTCTAACTAACAATTTTCTTTGGTTTCCCTAATCCTTGCTGGGAGAAGTCACGTAGGTGTTCCAGCCTACAGCCTCTCATATAATTAAGTGCAAATTTGGTGTCCTAAATTTTTACTGCTTGGTTCTCTCAGATGGATTTGCACACAGAAACCTTTGCTTGTTCCTCAGCAGTGCAATGAAAGCTGGGAGCAAATCATGGCTGACCATGAATGGGCTGAAGTACAGGTTGAACAAGAGCCCTCCCTCTCAAATTAATTTGGCTCACTTAAGATAGCAAAGAAACTGGATGCAGTCATCTGTCCTCACATACAAGCTGTGTTTAGTTGGGTATACCCTGAGACTTGAGAGAGGGAACAATTCTATGACATTCCTGTGGGGTTTATTTTACAGGGAAGCCAAGAGCCTGACCAAGGTTCCTAGTTTACCATTTAGAGTAGAAGACTTTCCTTGTGTTCTTTATGTGTGAATCCAGCTTTCTCTGTGAATTGGGACAATTTTGTTACACAGTCTTACCCTTATAAGCACTGGATCTATCAAGAGGATGAGTCTTTCAGATACTTGGTGCTCTTGAGTTTTCCTCTTAATATTGTTTTTTGCTCACACCAGGTTGTATTGATGTGTTGAAATTCTCTCATTAATCACCTGGAGAGTACTTGGACATCTGTGACAGCTGTATACTTCTTGTTCCTGCCATACAAAAAGAGCAGTTGTAAATAAAAGATTTGAACTAGAAAGCTAAAAATGTGCAAGCTGTAATTAGGCTGGAAAATTCCTTGAACTCCAAGATAGTGCCCTCAGTTCAGCCAGTGTGATCTCCAGTTACTTCAAATGAAGTTTTCCTTCTTAGTGTAAAATCTGCCAAGATCCAAAACCTCATCTGAGGAATTATCTTGGCTTTTTTTTAAATATATCTGGCTTCTTCAATTTTGTGAAAAGGTCTCAGCAAGTAGCCAAGAGTAGGCAGCAGTGTGTGCTGTGGCCATTCCTTAAGTCTATAAACAAACTACCTGAAGGCCTTGAGCCCCCTGTGGAATGCTGAAACTTCCTGATTCCCTTCTCCCCTTGTCCATCTTTGGTATCATTCCTAAGGAAATGTTTGGGTGTGTGCTTGAAGATTTCACACAGCCTAAGCTCCCACTCATCGATGATGAGCCAAATTCACACCCTGCAACAGGGATGCTCCATATTGCAAACCTGCACCACTAAATTGAAGTTGAATGGCCACTCTGCAGCTCTTTCATAGAATCATAAACTTTGGAAAAGACCTTTATAGATCACCAAGTCTAACCATTAACCTAACATTGCCAAGCCCATCACTAAACTGTGATGTGCCTAAGCACTTTTACAGATCTCTTAAATGCTTCTGGGGATGGTGACTCAACCATTGCCCTGGACCTGTTCCAATGTTTGAAAATACTTTGTAGGGAGCTAGACCATACCACTCACCCTGCAATGCCCATTTTTTCCCTGTCCCTCATTTTTCCCTTCTGAGTTGTGACTGGTTATGGAGATTGAGGTTGCCTTTTTCCCCCACCTGCAGTGTAATGTCAGACTCACTAATTCAAGACTTCATTGCTGCACGGCTGGTTCTACCAAACAGGATCACGGTGCCTCTGAAAAAGAACATGAACATTGCCCACTTGAGGTTCCCTGTCCCCCAGGTGAGTTGTTTATTCATTGACATTGTGTTTATCTACCTGAGTGTGCATCTGCCACCATGTGGATGCATCCAAGGTTAGTGTCTTTGGACGCTGCATCGGCTCTTTCAACCTGAATTGTGGGCTTTCAGTAGGTAGTATTTCAGGAATATAAAAGCAGTTTTGGATAGTTCATCATTTGGGAGGGGGAAACATGGGCACTGGGATTCCTTCCCTCTCCACATGTCATAAGGAGTCTGTTTGTACTCTGAGCTCATTTACCAATTAAACCTTTCTGCAGTCTGTAACTGCAGATCTGCAGTACATGCAAATGAGAGGATAAATACATAAGCAATGAGTGTCAGGCTATTTAATATTTTTACTAATGCTGTGAAGAGGTGTAAATAGGGAACTTGGAGGATGACATCTCTTTGTTACAGAAAAAAAAAATCCTAAATACTCAACATATCCAGGTCTTCAATCTCTTTCATCCATCAAATACCTAATACACTTACTAACAAGGATAAATAAAAATGAGTGACAAAGGCATGCTCCCTATTGCAAACTTACATCACTAAATTTAAGTGGAGTGGCTCCTGTGCAATAAAATAAGAACCTGCCAGTGAGTGCTTAGTTTCTCCTTCAGTCAGTGGGAGTTGATCTTTATATTTGATTTGACTGTGGCTGTAATGCTGTGTGCATATGTATATTTCTGATTTTAAAATATATTGAATAATATTTCCTACACAGTTATCTAGATTAAACTGTGCATCTGGTTAAGGGAGCTTTTTTTCCCCCCCTAGGTAAATGGTGGAAAAAGCATTTTATTACAGCTGTCATTGGAAATGTACTGCATCAAACTACTTGTCTTTGCAGAACTGTCATGGTGACTACCCTTGCTGCCTGAAATAAACAGTTTTAGGAGGCAGCATGTTATAATTATCCAAAAATTGCATTTTCATGACCAATTCTGTATCTTATTTTATCCAGGGAGTAATAAGGGTTCATCTGTTAGAAGCTGAAAACCTTGTCCAGAAAGACAATTTCCTTGGTGCCATCAGGGGGAAGTCTGATCCATACGCTCTCGTCCGTGTTGGCACCGTGCAGTATCGAAGCAAGACAGTCTCCCGAGATCTTAATCCCATTTGGAATGAGACATTTGAGGTACTGAACCTTTTGATCTTTCCATCTGTAGGATACACAGCCATTTACATCCCTGTGCTTGCAGGACCTTCTCTTAGCTGACCGCACTGGGGCAGGTGGATTTCCTTGTTTCTTGGTTGAGGCATTTGTGTCCCTTAACCAAACTCAAATTTACATTGTAAACTTGAAATGTCATTCAGGTTGATCTGATTTACATGTGTGGGGTTTTGGAGGAGGTGCAAAGCATTGCTTTAAATATCAATCAATGCATCAGTCAGTGCAGCTGAGGGCTGCTCTAGCAGCATTGGTTTCTCTCTACTTATTAGGGATACTAGTTTGAGGGGTTTAACTTGTAGCTCAAAAACAAATAAACAATGTGAAATATTTTCACCTATAATCAATTATATTTGTTATGCATTTAACCATAAGAAAGAACAGAGAATGTCCTTAATGTGTTAAACAGCTGTCAAGTGTCATGTTCTTGTCCACAGCCTGAGCCTGAATATGTATATGTGAATGCTTTTTATTTTTAATCAATACGTCTTTCTCCTCCAGTTTGTTATTCATGAAGTGCCTGGTCAGGACTTAGAAGTGGATTTGTATGATGAAGATCCAGATAAAGATGACTTTATGGGCAGGTAAAATAGCAAGACCTTTGATCAGGGTCCAGTAGCCTCTGCTGTGGGACACGTGAATTATTCATACTGGAAATTTAATACTGTTGAAATTATTCTCTTTGCCCAGATATTGATACCACGTAATTAGTTCCTAGTGCAACTAATGTTGAACAAGGTTACACTCCTGCAGGGAATCCTGGGAAGCCATTAGAAGTGATAGTTACTTGAGATTTACTTCAGTTTTATTTTAGTTTTCAAAATCTTTCAAGGGGGAGACTTCAGGAGTATAAGTGTGTTCCTGCACACACATACACAGGTAATGTGGAGAAGTTGTTATATGGAACAGACTTGAGAGTGGGCTCTTTTGTTGATTTATGCTGTATGCCTCAATATACATTGAAATGTTTGCTTTTTGCCTTTCAGCTTGCTGATAGGCCTGGTGGATGTAATGAATGACAGAACTGTTGATGAGGTAATGATCACAGCTTATTTCTATATGTGGCTGGTGGTGTGTGCCTACATGCACTCATTTGTGCTGTTCCTCTGCTACTATGGTGTTTCTTTGTACTTAAAGCTTCCTTGCACAGTTGCACTGTGGTATTTTCTCAAAAAGATAATACCAAAGTAGCCATTACAATAATTTTTATGACCAGGCTGGTAACCCCAGAGAGCCTTGAGGCTATGCTGAGCCAGCAGTGGGATATCTTCTTGATACCTTCTGTCCTCTGTACAAATGTTTTGTACGAAGCTGCAGACAGCTTGGTGAAGCAGCCTGTTTGCTGAGGGAAGAAATTATCTGATTGTACTGTCAGATTCAGTGGTTCATCCTGCAACCCAGCACTCTACAAACAATGCCAAGGTGCCTGTCTTGTGCTGCTGCTGTTTATGGGCATCTTATTTTAATTTTCTTCTGCCTTGTACCTAATGGTATGTGCTACAAACTAAGTGTCAAAAATGCAAGCTTAGGTGCTTGGAGTAAAATTCATGTTGTCTATTGTGTGTAAATCTCAGAGTCTGCAACACATATATAAAAGCTACTCTGCCTCTCAGTTCTCAAGTAACTCTTTATTATCTCCATGTAGTGGTTTCCCTTAAGTAAGACGACAAGTGGACACTTGCATTTAAAACTAGAGTGGCTTTCACTAGTAAACGACCAAGAAAAACTACATGAGGTGAGTGTATTTACTTAAAGGATTCAGGTACTCTGATCCCTGTCCAGTCATCAACGAAGGAGTGTGTAAAATTAGAAACCCCAGGCAAACTCACAGGAGTTTATTTTTGTCTGGCAAAGTTTTGATGTGATTCTCTCCCTGTTGCTCCTGCAGAGGAAGGGCATTTGCTTGCCCCAGGTCTCTTGGTAATTCAGGAGTAACCCAAATCTTGCAGCTCTTTTTGCCTGAATCAGCAAAACTTTGTTTGACTCACTGCAAAGTGGTTTCTCAGGGGCTCTTTTCTCTCACTATTTTTCTCCTCCATCTTCATCTAGGATTTGTGTAAGACCCTGGACTCCTGAAATAATCTGTAGTAGTCATAGGCAAACACCTAGCATAGGTGACTGGTATTGGTATTGCCCTTTCCAAATGGTGTGTTGTTTGTCCAGCTTGGATAAAGCCCATCTCCCAAAGAGGCTGTTTCTTCATAACCAAGCAACACCATTTGAGTTCTGCTGAAGTGAATAAAATTGTTCCCAGGCTTTGTTCTGCTGACACTGGATTCATGTTGATGTATGTGGTTGAACGTGTTTTTAGGTGCCTTGCTGCACTGGGGAACCCAACCAGTTCTGCACTGAGAGGTTGACAAACATTAAAGGCAATGAATTGAAAAGAGTTGCACATCTTCTTACTGGTCTGCTTAGAACTCTCGTGCTGTGTTGACTTGGGCTCCTCTGGATTGCAAGTTTGAGGAGAAAGGCAGAGAGCTGCTTAGCCTTCAGAAGCTGCTCCAGGAATTTTGCTATGTGTTGCATTGTCCTTGGTGGGTGATCATGACTACTTTGTGTTTTGGTTTGGTTTATCTTTCCCTGCCATTACAGGATAAGAAGGGTCTGTCTACAGCAATTCTGATTGTCTACTTGGACAGTGCCTTCAACCTTCCTGTAAGTACAAACCCCATGCAGCAGCCTTCACTCCTAACCTCCTTTTCTTTAAGGACAACAAATTAATTGTTTTAAATACTCTTTCACTAATTCAGAAAAACCACTTTGAGTATTCAAATGGTGAATGTGGAGCAAAGAAGATCAAAAATAACAAGTACATCAAGGTAAAATTTATATTCTTCTCTGTGCCTGCAAAACAATGTTCTGGATTATGTGGTATCATAGGAGCTGGAGCTGGCAGTGGCTAAAAAGAAGTAATCTCTCCACTGTCAGAATCTAAGTGAGTGGGTGCTCAAAATAATAGTGATTGAAAGCCCACCCCAGTGAAAGTCTAGGAGGTCAAAGTGGGAATGCAACACAGAAATGTTTGATTGTGTGTGTGGTTGTCCTTTCTTATGCAAAAGAGAGCTTCCAGACATCAGACTAAGTCAAAAAATCCTTGTTGCTGCTCTTTCTTTCCTGGCTGAACTGTTTCAGCTTGACATTGAGCTGGGAGGGATATGCTCATTTGTGGTAACTTTCCCGTCCATTGGAATCCTGACCAGCAGATTCCTCCCCTCTTGGCTTTAGAGGGATTCAGAGGCCTCTCTGTCATTCACACCTTCTCTCTCATAGCTTCTGTTTACTTTTTCCCCCAATTACTGCATTTTGCTACTGTGATGTAAATGGCAGATATAAGGAAGAATGTCTTTCTCCGTTCTTGAACAGGCTGCTCACAAGTACAGCTCTGAGCTATGGAGAACACTTCCCATTCTCTCCAAGTAGCTCCTCTCCTAAAAACCATCTTTACAATTTAGATGAATTACTAGCATTGTGATACACATCACATTGAATAATCCTTAATTCTGGACCTCACTGTGTGCACTTTGTATGTGGTGTTGTGCCAAGACCAGATCCTCAGCCTTAACCTTCTACAGCATTAATGCAAAGGGGTGCAAGAGGTTCAGTATTGTTGCTTCCAGACAGAAATTGTCATTTGATGCCAAAGACTCACTTCCAGCTGCTTTGGAGCAAGTCCCAAGCCTTGGAAACCAATTCTGAGAGTCCTGGTTCAGTGAGGAAAAATCAAGATTTCCCACTGAGCCTTCAGCTCTCCCCTCTGTTTCTTCCCAGCTTCTGACAAATTTTTAACTCCTCACCTGTTGAAACCTAAATACATAAAACTTTGGCTTAAATGTGTACTCTTGATGGTGGAGGGTAAGACTGCTGTCTTATGGCTGGAGAGTTTCCTGTGTGCTACACTCCTCAGGTGTCCCACATCCAGAAAATACTGACAGTTTTCCAGCAACTTACTTCAAGTAAGAGTAGTGGTTTGATATTGCTTCCTGCAAACTATAAATTTCTTAATGTTTTTTCTGCCTTCTTCTTTCTTCCTTGTATTAAATGACAGAAGATGGAACGAGAACCTTCCTCCTTTGTCCTGCTCACAGTTGGGAACAAGACTCAGAAGAGTAAGGTGAGGCTGTTTAACTCTTCTGCTTTCATTAGATACTTTCCATCTTATGGGTGACTGTCTCCAAGTATCTCCTAGGAAGGGAAGAACTTCTTGTGAAGCTGATGTGAAGAGCTGTAGCTGTAGTGACAGCTGCAAAGGCTGGCAGTGGAACCACTGTGTCACTGAGTTGTGGTGGTGGATGGTGTCTGATCAGCTGCTGTACACATGTGTAGTTCCATGCCTGTATCCAAGAGCTCTTGTTGGCCCAGACACTCTAGTTCTATAAATCTCCAATCCAGCTCATGGTTTCTCAGAGCAGGGTGTCATTTGCATCAAGCTGGCCTTTATTCCTTCCTCAGAGTATTTCCTGGCTCCTGCTTTACAGTTTCAGTTTTACTGTTTTGTTTTGTGTTTTGTATTTAAACACAGACAAGATGGATCTGTGACTCCTCCACTTCACTTTCAGTTTATTTTTCATTATTTAAAAATTACTTTTGCCTCATGAGTAAGAGCAACAGCTGAGCTCTGCCCTCTCAGTAGCTGCCGTGTTCACTGTCCTGCATCAGGATGTGGATGAACCCTTTGTTCTTTTGGATTCCCAGCAAGTAGGAATGAATCCTGTTGACTACACATGAGCATACAGGACTGGCACCTGTTTTCCTCTGTTCCTTCCACCTGCTCCACCTAGGAATTGGGTTCTGCTTGTATTTTTAACTTTTGTGACTTTCTCTTTCCCTACCACATCACCTGCCTCTCCTAAGCTAGGTCAGGCTTCCAGGCTTTCCCTGCTCCTTTCCACTTGCTGCCAGCACTCATGGCCTGGCAGGGACAGCTGGTTTACAGAGCAGCCACAGTCCCTGTGGGTGTTTTCTGTGCTCTGTCATCTTTGAAGTGGATGGTGCTGAAGCTGTGCCCTCCTACTCTTCCCACGAGTTCAACACTCCTGAAACTGCCCCTCCAGCTTTCCTGCCCTTCCCTGTCAGCTCACTGCAGCTTTGGGAGCTGGCTCAGAGTGCTGCAGGCTGGAAGCAGCACTCTGGCTCTCCCTGGGTGGGAAGGTGGGAGGGAGGAAGCAGTGCCTTGCTGCAGGTGAGGCAGGCTGCTGGTCCAGGCAGAGCTGGTGGGGCCAACTGCAGCTCACCAGACTTGTTCTTTGGCATTTCCACACCCCAAAGAAAAACATTCTGGTTTTGCCAGAGACTTTGCTTCCATATGCTTCTGACCTGGAATTTCCACTCTCTCTATAGAGCTGGGGTGTAGCATCACTGAGGGTCACCATGGCCCTTTGTGGTGATCATTGTCATGGATTCTTTGCTTCTCAGACATTAAGCTAATGTATGTTCTTGTTGCAGACCTGCAATTTCAGCAAAGATCCCACGTGGGGCCAGGCTTTCACCTTCTTTGTCCACAGTGCTCATTCCCAGTCACTCCACATTGAGGTGAGAGAAAAGCCTTTCCTTTGAAGACCAACTGCACATCTGTAGGAAGAAACCTCTTCTATGGAGCTCAGTGCTGGTTGTTTCTGTGTGGGAGTGTCACACTAGGGTTCCTCCTACTAAAGGTGGAAGAAGCACCTGTTGCACAGACAATTCTCTATTAGGTGGTGGTGGTATTTCCCATTTTTGGTATCTACCTTTGTTCTAGCATCATGTAATGTGCAGTATCTTAGTTCAAAATGTGGGATGTTTCTGGCTGCAAAGTGCAAAGGACGTTTCATACAGGTCTGTGTGTAGTAAAGGCATCAATATTTTGCTGTCAGAAATTGCAGCCATCATGATTCTCAACCAGAGCCCTACCTCTTCACCTCTGTGTTCTGGCTCATTAAGCAGCCCTGTCTCTCATTATTAGCATTTCAGCCACAGCCAGTTCTGTGGCTGGTCATTTGGATACAGAAAAGAATTGAATTTGGAAGGTGTATTGAGGTTAAATACTAAACAAACTATTACCTAAAACATATGTAAAGATTTACACCAGTTGCCAACTCAGCTACTCAGGACATTGTCCCCAAAGCAAGCAAGGAAAAACAAGTAAATCTCAGGGCATGTTTTTTCTGCTAAAGCAGTTCTTTCTCTGCATAGTTAGAGATGGTATTTTTACTCCAAATGTACTAACTTGTTACACTCCTGAAATAATGGCATCATCCATTTGGATGTAACCATACTGAAGCAAATAAGCTAATTTTGGTTTCTGTCTGAAATACCTTCTTGCTTTGCTTTTGCATTCCCAGTGGTATGCTTCCCAGTTTGCCAGCTAATAAAAACTTTTGTTTTCTTCCATCCCCCCAGATAAAAGACAAGGAGTGGGATAGTGCCCTGGGAACTTCAGTGATATGTCTTTCCCACTTACTTAAGGACCCAAACATGACTCTGGATCAGAGATTCCAGCTGGACCATTCCAGTTCAGATAGCTTCATTAAGATGAAACTTGTATTGCGGGTAAGTTGTTCTTTCCCATATTCACTCTGCTTCCCCTGCAGAAGCATCCAGTTGTAACCAGGCAAAAGAGATGAAAGGTGGGCATGGAGAAAGGCAGCTTAGCTTTACAGTTGAGGAAAGTAGAAGTGTGACAAGGTATTTAAGTGAAATTAGGAGTGTATGGTGGAGTTGAGAGGTATCCTTGAGGCTTCCTAAAACTTAGTGCAGTGCCATGGCTGAAAATTTTCTCATGACAATAAAAAGTTGGCCTGAGAAAATCTGAGCTGGGGAAATCAGCACTGACGCTTAGGATTTGTTTCTTCACCATGCTCTGGATCAGTGCTTAGACACTGCTGAGTACAGACACAGTAGGATGGGAGGAGAGAACACTGCAGTGAATCCCAGGAGCCCCTTTCATCTCTAATGGCAGAGTCCTGCTGTTACAGTTTTGTGGTCAAATTTCCTCCTGGGTGGTAATGCTGGCATTCACCCCAGTGTTATGGGAGTAGCACTCACTGTCTTCCCTTGTGATTTTTAGGCATTGAATGTTGAAGAACCTGATCCGCAAAGAGTCAAGGCTGGTGTCAATGCCTCGAAGCCAGGTCCTGTGCATGTCATGGAAAAGGCTGGAAGTCAGCAAAAGTTTTCCTCTCCACAAGTCTCAAAAGTACCTCCCATGAGCAAAGACTCTGCAGCACTTGAGTCTCTGCCAAAAAAGGACAGTGGAGAAAACCTGGACACTAAAGACAGCTCAGCAGCTGCTGTACCAAGTGAAACTGTGTCTGGCCTTGATGAAGCAGAGGGCAAGCAAAACCCAGAGCATGGCCCACCATCAGCATTGCCCAGTGGAGCAGTGGCTGTGCCCACACTGCCTGTCCTGCAGGAAATGAGGGTGGCACCCAGTGTCACTTCACTGGGGTCCCTGCCTTCTTCCTGCTTTGAATTAAGTAGCAGCAACCTGGACATTCATAAGTAGGTGTTCTTCCAGCTGAATTGCTCTTCTCTTGGGAAAGTTTAGGTGTTACAATTGCATACAGTTGAATTCAAGGCCGCTGAGGTGTTGGGTCTCAAGTCACCCTATGAAGAATTGACCTAAGTATTCCAGTCAACAGCAAAGTATCTCCTTTAGTATCTCCTAAATTACAGGGCACTGTCAGAACTGGTGTAAAAGAAAAGCATTCACTCTATGGCTCTCCTAAGTGCTGCATGTGTTGGCTTTATATTGTTGAAGAGCTTCTCAACACTCATTTAGCAACACAATATTGGAAGTCTGAACATCCCTTCTGTAATAACTTAAACACTTGATAGGCACCTCTGGCTGCTTAAAGCTCTGACTGTGTTTATCCAACACATTTTAAGAGTGATAATGCTGTGAACAAAGATTTTGTGGATAGATGTGCTTGTGTATGTGTCCTTCCCACAGTGCTCACTGTGTGGCTGCTCTGTCAGGCAGGATGGAGAGAAGGATTTTTCCCTCCTGGGGCACAGAATGGAGTTTGTGGAATCTTAATGCATCAGAGTAGTTACAAACCAGAACATCAAACTCAGTTCCAGCTGCAGTTTTGGTGAATTGGTGACTGGTGAATTCTCTAGCTCTGAGCAGGGTTTAATTTATAATCTATTTTTAGGCAATGTTTTGGATTTTAAGCCACTTTAATAACATGCAGAATGAAATATGAAAAAGGTCCCATTTTGCATATACAGACATTCCTGAGGGAATGTGTAACACACTAACTCATGCTTTGCTGCCCCATCTACAGTGGGCCACGTAGGAGCTTTTTTTGGCTGTTTGTGCTGTGGGACTGAAATCAGGTACCTGTAGAGAAGGCAGGGATGGGGCTTCTGTGGAACATCTGTGGTCCAGCTGCTTCCTCGACATCAAACCTTAGGATGCCAGGAAGAAGGATGGTGCCCTGAAAGCTATTTTTATTCTGCTTGTGGGCTATTCAATGGCTGTATGAAAAGCCCTGACTGTGCAATGTCTTGCAGCGGGACTGAGGTGCCTCTGGGGGAGATCCAGCTGACGGTGCGTTACGCTTCCATTCGGCAGAGCCTCGTCGTGCTGGTCAACGGCTGCAGGTACTGCTCGGGATGGCTCACAGAGGGAGGAGCTCTCTCAGCTGTGTCAGTCATCCAGCAAAGCTGGAGCAGAGCCATGTGCAGCAGGAGATGTCTTAGCACTGGATGACTTCCAACTGTGCAGCATCTGTGCCCAGCTCTGGTCAGTGCCATCAGCAAGTCAGGGAGAGAGCCCAGCGAATTGAGCTCACTGCAGTAGAGATACTTCAACTGTCATCCACCCAAAATTTCCTCTGAACAGCACTGACAACTGGTGTGTGTCTTGGGGTGTTGGGTTAGATCATGACAAGGATTGATACCTATGACTGCATATGTAATTGTTAATTTAGGAACCCCAGTAAGTGGCCACACCCTTAGGAATAAAAATTTAAACTAAACAACTTTAAAGTTTATTTGCTTATATTCCAACTCCTGAGATAAATGTTTTTGGCTTGTGAAGGGTTGGTCTGATTCTAAGAGAGCCAAGGTATTAAAATACACAATATACTTGTCTGTGTTTCTTTTAACAGGAACTTGGTACCCTCTTCCAACCGTGGAGTCGATCCATATGTTCGTATATACCTGCTTCCAGACAGAAGATGGACAAGTAGGAAGAAGACTTCTGTTAAGAAAAAAACTCTGAATCCCCAATACGATGAGAAGTAAGAAAATGTAAATTATTATTATAGTTGGAATAGTTATGATCTCTGTGTAATGGCAGGGCTTCTTAAGGTATGCTGCTGTAGCTCCTAAGGACTCTCTAGTGAATGTTCTCAGGTTTTCTGAAACAAATGGTGCTTGGACTGTGATTTATAAGTACTTAGAGCTGGCCTTGCTTTGCCTGTGGTGTTGCAAGTGCCCCTTCCCTGCCCCCAGGCTGCATTTCCTTCTTTGCAAACTGACATTCTCCTACTGTGTTTAGCTCCTGCTCACAGCAGAGGCAGTCTGCCCCTTTAGATACCTCCTAGAGCATACAGCAGTATGCTGTGACTGCTCTGCCTGATGCTTATTCTGACATCTTTCCAAAGGTCCAAGGTAGAAATGCAGAGCCTTTTGAGACTGGACCGCTCTTTGGGCCCACAGGTGGATGTTATCATCAAGGCCTGGTGGGAGCAGGGTAAAATGCTCCCACCTCTTTGCAGACAGTGTCACAGCTCTGCCACTGCAATGGAATCTGTCTTGCATAAACCAAAACACAGTAACACTTAGAAGCAGAGTTCTTTTGAGAGGTGGTTTTAATCCCATAATTAGAGGAAGGTACACATGAAAATATGTGAATACTGGGTCATCCTAGGTGGCTTATATTTTTCCTGTGTTGTGCCCTTTCTGTGTAAGTCAGAAATGGAGAAAAGATTTAAAATCATTCATCTTTAACACTCAAAACACCAAAGCTGAGGATTCTGCTTATGTCTATTCTTAAGTAACTCCACTGATTTAGTGCCATCACAGCAGCTGGGAACAGCATGTCCTTTTCCTCATCCTCAGTACTGACGTATCACGTACATCCTTAATTCAGGATAATGCTTAGCTCCAAAGCACCTGTTTCACAGCTCTGACTTGAGGAAAAGCTATTCAGGGGGGAAGAACTGGAGTGATTTGGCATGGACAAAACTCACTTGACATTAGCCATGTGTGCCAGAGGCTTGAGTCAGAGCCATTAAGAATTTAATTGCCACGGGTTTCAGCCTTTGTCCGTTCTTGGTGTGGTGCAAGGCTGCTCTGTGAACTTGGGGGGTTGGCTCATGACTATTTCCTCTTGAGTAATGACTACTGCATGGAAAACACGCTGATCTTCCATGGAGGGGAGAAAATGATGTTAAATGGCATTTCATCATGGATGCATGTTTTCCTCCTTCCCCCTGGCACAGTGGACAGTCTGAACACAGTGTTGTCATCTTTCATGAGGCCTGGAAGAGGTTTTCTGCAATGTGAATAAAACCTCACCCTAGAATTGCCTTTTCTTTGTGTTCCTCCCTGTTAAAGTCCTGGCCATTTGATGCTGTATTCTGTCACTGTGTTCTGCCCACTGCTGCTCACAGGATTTTAGATTTTGCCTTAAGCCTCTTCTTTTTAAACTTTATTTCAAGGTTTGAATTTTTTGAATCTTTGGAAAATATCAAGAAAAGGACACTGGACATTGCAGTGAAAAACAGCAGGCCATTCATTTCACAGGAGAGGAAGGAGCTGGGCAAAGTAAGTTTAAACAATCTCCACTACAGGTATAACAGAGGTGAACTCTTTGGGCTATCCTGAAATGTGGCTCCAGTAACTGATTCTCAGTAATAGGACTAGCAATCTGGAAACGACTTTTTCTGCTAGATTTTCATCTGAAGTGAGGCTGTATCCATGTGGGAGCTGTGTGGTCTCATTTCAGAAGGGTGCTCCTGAAGGTAAGCCCTGGTTCCTGGGCCCTGGTGCTGCCTGTGTGGAGAATGGCTTCAAAAGCACAAACATGGAGCTGAGAAAGGCGTGGGACTAAAGCCCACAATTTGCCAACAGAGCTTTGAGCGTTCTGTGAACAACTTTGATTCTGTGAAAAGTAAATTCTGTGCAATTGCTTCTTTGGTGACAGATAAATTTCCAAGTAGTGCTATAGGAAACTGAGCTGGTTCATGCCTGCTCCATCCTGGGAATGTGGGAAGCTCCATTTTTCCTCAAGCCTTAGCTGCAGCCCCACAGCTAGAAAGTGGGTCTGACTTGGGAGGAGTGGTAGGTTAGCTAATCAATTTATATGCTGAATAACCTACAAACAAATAAAATTTGCTTTAAAGGTGCGCATTGACTTGTCCCAGGAGGATTTAATAAAAGGTTTTGCACAATGGTAAGTACTCATCTCCATACTTCCAACCTACCCACTGCTTTGCTGGGAGCTTGCATGACTGCTGTGGGAGTGAGTGATGGTAACTGGGCTGTGTTTGGGTGAGCAAGAAGAATATTTGACCTGCAAAGGCAGGACTGACTTAAGCTAATCTGGTAATTCTATCTAAATTGTGTGTTAATCCACTGGCTGTGCAATTCCTGCCCTGTGAGACAGCTTTAATGAGATGCCTGTGTCAATTATAGTCTTCAGCATATTTTAAGTTGCCATAAAAGCCACAGGGGCACATAAGAATTTTGTTTATTAAAGTAACCTTGCAACAAATTTTAACTTGAATAAAGATCTTAACTAAATACTCTGATCAGCAATATATATGTATGATAAAACTTTAATTACAAAGCATTTATAGAAACTATTATAATAAGCCACTTACAGTTTTGCCTGTACGTTCATTGTGGTTCTGAGGTTTGTATGTTTTCCTGGTCTGAGGCAGAACAGAGAACCAGGCTTGGGTGTTTTTTTCACTTCTGTGTCTTTAGTTAATGGCAGGAGTTCTTCCTTCTTTCTCCTTCAGTGGAGCCCAAGGAATGTAGTGTGGGTAGTCCAGGAGCTTGCCATCTGCACAGGCAGTGAGCCAGTATTCCAATAGGAAAACCACATTTCCCTGGCCAGCTTGTGTGTGTGTCTCAGGGCAATTATGGGAAGAGGAAAAAAGGATGCACCCAAAGTTCCTGGTGAAGAGCTGAAGTTTGAGGCCATCTCTGGAGCTCCTTTGCTGTGCTGCCTGTGAAGCACAAGCAATAAAGCAGCCCAAATTCTCTCTATTGTGCCAGTTAACACTTTCAAGAAAGTTTTCAACTACTGTAATTACTTATTGTGTCTGTCTTGCAGGTATGAGCTGACAAGGAGCAGACGCAAGAAATTCTGATTTCTTCTCGTGTACATAAGTTACTAATTTTTCAACTTTATACAAATGTACATATCTCTTGTAATTAACATGTTTTGCAGTCACTGCAAATTTGAAGCAGGCTCCAGCTCAGGACATGCAAATTTAATGATCCTATTTGGGGATTAGTTCTCACTGAAGTTAAACATATTTTCCCCCACACAGGGAATAATTTGTCCTTAAAGAATAAATCCTTTACTTTTGCTATTTCTGCAAATACCCCCTCAAAGGGCATCTAAGTGTGAAACCTCTCTTAAAGAAGGGTTGTACCTGGGGAGATTTTAGACTGTCAGCCAAGTGTCATTACTTTGCCCAGCAGTCTGATGGCCCTAGGAGCTCGTTCATGTTGTTTTAACATGGAAGTGGTCTACTTTTAAAAGAATACATTTTGAAAAAGTATTCTCAGCTGTAGGGCTACAGAACCAGTTAAAAGAGAAACTCTTTAATAGCTATTTTGTTTTTTTTTTTTGGAGAAACTAAGAAGTTGGTAGTCCACTGTTCAGAATTACCTTAGCCAACTGTGGCTGCAGGTATGTAAATAATGAGCTTTCAAAAGCAGGGAGAAGAATTTACCAAGATGTCATTATGGTTTTAGTTTGTGACGCCTTAACTGGTTTTGTCCTTTGTTACAGTACATTTCAAAGTCTTGTAAACCCAGATTCTGGCTGAGGAACAGCAAAGTTTTGTAAACTAAGCTTAATAATATTGAGGCAAAATATTTTTGGAAGCTTGGTGTACTTGTTTCTGTACAATAAACTTCTAATTGTCTTGGATAAGAGACTTGATCTATTCCTTTCTAAAACTGACTTTTGAAATAGAACAATGGTAACTTCAAACCATCACCTGAAGCAAATTTCAAGTATTTTTAGCCTAGATTACATTAATCCAGTTTGCCTCAGTCCATAATCAGAGAGAATACTCACTGAGTAACAATGCGTTCCAATTCCAAACTGATCTGGAAATGTGAACAACATCTTAAAAGAGGCTCTTCAGAAAACCAAGATTGAGCATTTGTGTAAGTGTGATGGCTATGGCAGTAAGAGCATCTTTACCTCATACTTAATGTGTCAACAACATTAAAATGGTTAGTGGTTAGAGTTTGCCTGGTGTTGTGCTGAGTACAGTTTCCTTGACAGATACAGAGTATATTGGTACTCTCTCTGGGATTGAGTAGACTAGTTGATAGCAGTTAAAGTTTTTCTTAAATTGACCAAGAATAAAAAAAAAAATAAAAAAATGCAGTAACTTTTATTTATGTTAAAAAATCTGGAATTGTTGCTTAGGATAACAGTGCTTGGAGGTAGCTGCAACGTCATGTGCACCAACAGGTACATTCACAGGTAAGAGAAGTCTTGCTCAGGAAGAGCAGAGTCACCCATAACCAGCTCCCCATTTCAGGTTTTGCACTGCAGGTAAAATATCATCCACGTTACTGATCTCTGCAACAGAATGGAAAGCAAAAGGGTAAGGCTTATGAACCCAGAATACCTTTGAGTTCAACCAAAATTCTAACTTAAACAGCTGGGGAATTAAATAAACTCCTCAGACCTTTTAATGCTTTTAGAAAAAGATCAATTTGGCGTATAAGTAATATGCTTAAGTAAATGCAACCCCACATTCAATGAAAACAAAGTGTTTTGGTCCCTTCCTGAGGAAAGATGGAGAGTGAGGCAAAAGGCAGCACCTTCCCTTGCATCCTCCTCCTGTTTTAGCACAGCAGGAGTAAACAAAACACTTGTTAACTGTTTAGAGTTCTATGAGGAAGCATTGGCATGAAGATAATTACTGTTGCAATTATTACTCACCTAGAAGACACAGCAAATCTTGAATGAGAGCTTGAAAGGGCGGAAAGAAGCACTCATGTTCTTCAAGCTTATTGATAATACTGTAATGGAAAGTAAGACTGTTAGGTAAGAGGTGCAAGGACATGGCAAGTTCATCCCCTTCGCCATTTTGTTGTTCTGTGCCGTAACTTTGTGAAAATACTGCTACTGCTTAGGATATAAAACCAAGGACCCCAATGTTCTGTTCTCCAGCTTTGAACCCTGCAGCCAATGATGGAGCTGTCATGAGGATCTCTGATTTCACAACTAATGCTGTCTGCACATCCTTCCTTTCCCCCTCACATGGCACCAGGTAGTTGGGGACCTGGAACATTTGTCTGTGTACTAAATATACCACCTGGGGGTGGCTGGTATAACTGCCTTGGAGGTGGAGCAAGAAATGCTTTAAAAGCAGCTGTTCTCCAGTTAAAACTGAGAAATGAGTGCAGAAAGGCTGAGGGAGTGAGTATTGTTAACTCAACATGTGTTAGACGTGCTGCCTGCTCCCTTTTTAGTCTGTCTGTAAAGCATATGCCAAATGCAAGCTCTTAGGTCTGCTACCACCTCGATGTGGCTGTCATCTGTTGAAGGTAGAACTGGATTTGTTCAATTTCCAAAGCATTTGTAGACAGCTTAAGGTAAACCCTGCCTTAGCAACTAGAACACTTCAACATTACATCTGAGACTTGCATCACTTTCTCCTCCCCACCCAGGTGCAGGATTTGTCTCCTGATGAAACACATGTACCATTAAAGCGTGTTTGATCACATTATCCATGCAAACCAGAGGGTGTTTTGGAACCTTCTGGCCTCAATTTTTCCCTCTGTCAGTTTTATTCTTTTGACAAGATTCAAGATTTGTTTCAAGCAGGACAGCAGTAACTAATACCCATGCTGTCACAGCTCACTGACTTCGTAACAAATGATGAAACTTTCTTTCAGCATCAGCTTTTGGCAGTTCTCAATTACTACATTCCATGTTTGAAGAATGGTCAGCAGTGGAACAGCCCCACATACCTGTGGATGTCTTGGGTGCCCAGAAGCTGCTGTACCTGCTCAGTCACGTTCTTATTAATGATGTCACACAGTTTCCCAACAGTATCCACTACCACAGTGGGTGGAGCTGAACTGTCTGTGGAAAAACACACACCTCATGATTCTTGTAACAGTAATAACAGGGAACTATTTTAGACACAGTTGAATTCTTGCAGGTGCACAGATTTTATTTGGTTTTCATAGATCTGGGCCTACACGTTCCATCATTCAGAGAAAACAGAATGCCTGTGGTCAGCTAGGAATGGGGATTCTCTCACTAATCCTTTAGTGGCTAAAAAAATTTTGGCAGAGTTGTGTGTTCACAGCAGAGAGGGTACTGAAGTGCATCATTGCAATGTCAGTGGAAATCAGCCAACTGAAATTATATATATAGAGGAGTTATTTAGTTTTTTGGGACACAGCAGACACACTACAGGGGCTAGGCCAATAAGGAGCCTGCTTAACAAACGTTTTGTTAACACCCAGAACTTGTTTTGGTATTGAATTTTAACCAGTCTGTAGTGCTGTGACTGAAAGTGGCAGCCTCCTTGTCCTTTTCTCCCTCAGTTTCAGAACTAGACTTGGACAAGGCATCCTCTGAGCTGCAGTTATTAGAGGGAGTCCAGGTTTCCTCATCTCCCATGCTGGCTGCATGGAACACTGCTTCCCTCCTTGAAGGAGACTCAGCAGCCCAGGAGCCTTGCTCTGCGGCTGGACATCCTACAGCCCAGCCCAACCTTTTAACCCAGAAGCAGCAGCAGGTGCTGCTCTACAGAAGTTCCCACCAGAAGGGAAATAACCAACTACACCTCTGAGTACTGACAGTTTTGACATTCAACAACTTTGAAAACTTGAAAAACTTTTGGTTTTTAAGTTTAGCAGCGTAAGACGGAACTTACTGAGGATTACACTTGAATAAATTACTGAATAGAAATCTGTATCCAAGGCTGAGTTATTTTCTTGCTTAAACTTGTTATCTTTCAAGTGAAGAATGAACAACAATTATGAAATCACCTCACTGAAAAAAAACTTTGTGGAAAAAAATAAAAATTCTATTTCCCCTGTTACTCCCTTCTTCTGCCTCCCTGCTATTCCTCAGCAACTGCTAAAGGATTACAAATAATGGAGATTTTCTATTTCAACAGTTAACTCACAGGAACATATTTTTATTTTCCCAGTGAAGGAAACAGCTGGTTCATTCATTTCTCAACATTTTTTTCTATGAAGGTCAGCTTTTCACCTATCTTCTTTCTTTGGAATGGTGTGAACAAGCAGCAGTCTTTACCTAGTTCCAGGAGCTCATGGAGATTCCTCATGGCGTTGGTCATTTCCTCCAGCTTTATGTAAACCTCATTCATCCGTGGATAAACACCATTCAGAGAATTCACATCAAACAACTTCTGGAAGTGAGAGACTATGGCAGATAGGGCCTGCACAGACTGTGTCTGGCTGTTCTGGAGCAAGCAGGAAGAAGTACTCATCAACGGTATTGCTCAACAAGGCAAGGGTGCTTTTAGCTGTGAAACATTCTTAAAACCAGTCTGAAGAACAGGTGTAACTTCCCTTATGAAATCTCAGCGTTTTAAATATTTTTAAATCTGAATACATAGTTTCAATAGCTTTCAGGCACAAAACTACACCAAACTCAAAATACTCATTTGAAAGCTTTCTTCTCTGTTGCTGAGAGAAGCATTTTTGTATTCTCAGCCCTGAGAGACAGAACAGGATAACTCCTGAGGCTACAGGGCAATGCAAATTCACTGCTGGTCAAGTGCCTTTGATTAAAGCAGCCTTCCCCAAGGTGAATTTATCCATTATGCTAAAACAATCTTTGACTATTGAATGTCTTCAAATAGGTATTTCTTAAATGCTGCAAGCCTTCCAAATGCACCAATCTAATCACTGTGAAAAATGCATTTAAGAATTCCACAGTAACTTGTGATTATAAACCTCTGGTAAAAAAATACCTTTTCCTTATGTTCTAATTCTTCCAAAATTGCATCTACTATCAACTGAAGGTCTTCAACTCGTATGGATTCTCTATTATCCTGTGGATCTTTAGTGTTCCAAGGCAGCAATTCCAGAGACAGTTTTCTCAAGGACCTATGCAAATCCTTTTAAAAGAAGGGAGAGGAGCCAACTTATTTTAGAAACTGCTTAAAGCTGTCTTTATTATAGAAACAGGCATTTTTCGGTTTCTTATATGCAGTAACATTCCAGCACTGAAGAGGTTAAGGTTTTAATTTTCATGAATTTAAGGACAGTGTCTTGCTGACATTCTTTGACTTGAAAAGAACAGAGTAAAAAATATTGTATTTGCTATGTATTACAGTTTCAGTGAAATAGGAAGTATTGGTCACAAAGAGTTTGGCTTTAAACAAAACTATTTCACTTAAACTTTGGATCAAAAAGTCACTGTTCTGTTCTGGTCAGACAAAAGGAAGGAAGAGAATGCACCATCATTAATGTATGAAGTCCAGACTCTAGAACTTAAGGTTCTTCTCAGGGACTTGGTTAATAAAATGAAATAAAAGATTTACACAGAGAAGTATCTTTGGTACATATTTCACATGGACAGCAGATTATTTGTAAAATGTAACAGCAAGCCAGGCAATAACAAAAGCTACACACAAAAGCCTTCACAACTACACATAGGGAGGGATGGAGGAGTGCAGAGCAGATGAAAGGAAGACCAAGAAACGGAGTACAACAACGTGCTGTTACCTTTAGGGCTATGAGCTGATCTGCCCACATTTCTATGGTGAGTGGAAGGTGCTCAAATCCACATCCCTGTCCATTCTCTTTAATGGAATTTTGCACTGGCCCTTTGCTGGGCCGGAATATTAATGGAGGAGCTCTTGAGCTTCGCAAAATAGAATCAATACGGGACAAAACCTTCAACAACAAATAAAAAATGTTATTGCTCAAATAGGTTTGATGGTTTGTAATAAAATCCCTCTCTATCACAGTCATGATTGCCTAAAATGAAGTCATGAATAGGTTCAACATTACTATTGATGAATTTTACACATGCAATCAACATGCAATAAACTCGAAGATTTCAACATACACTAGCTAGAAGATATGTAAAAAAAAATGCAAGTGTATACTTCCCTTTGAGGAATAGTTAACATTTATCCACCTGAGGCATTGTAGTGCCCACAGTTTACAGTTTGCTAAGTTTTATCATATTTAGGATTTTTAATTAAAAGGAAAATAAAGGCCACTATCATAGAAGATCTTGAACAAATCCCCTGTCCTGAACAGACTTCAGCTAAATCATATTTACCAGCCTAGTGTCTGCTTCCTTGCTGTGTTTTCAGGTAGTTTACACTCAGACAGAACAAAAACCAGCCTACTATTGACTGCCAAATCCAGAACATGACTCATCTTGCACAGGGGATTTAACAGGCATTCTTAGCCTCAGTCCAGCACGCTCCAGTTGACACAGCTGAACAGAACATGTGTAATGTTTCATTGTGACAGTGCTAGAAACATGCAGAACAGATATAATTTGAGTACCTGCAAGTATTGCTGGCAAGCTACCTGCAGCTGATCCACTCCTGCAACTCTCCCAGAGTCTTTCTTTTCTTCTCTTTTTTCTTCAGTCCTGCTCCCTGAAGATCTGCACAAAAATACACACAGTGGGTCACACAAGCAGCCCTAGCAGGAGGTACCACCTTTTCACTTGATGGAAGAACCAGGTGTGTAGCACTTATATTTGCACCTACAAAGTAAAATCCATGTTATGATGCTGGGCAATAGAATTCCCTCAGACCCAAGCAGCACAGACTGACAACACAATACCTAATGCAAATATCATTAATTTAACAAGTCTCCAGGCTGAGGCTATGCCAGACTGCTTGCTGATTTAGAAGGGACACCACCAGTTTTTCTATTGCTAGAGTTCTACTATGGCTGAAGACTTAAAATCCAGAATTTTACTCTAAAGGTTCAAATTCCAAGCTCAGTTGTTATCTGCTTCTGCTGGAACATCTTTCCTGGCTAATTATAAAAAGCTCACTACTACTCTTCATTTAAATGATACCTACTGCACTAGAATAGACCATTTAAATATACACAACATGTACATTTATTTTAAAGTTTAATTGATGTCTTTTCAGGCTATAAAATATTTAGCATTCAGTATATACACAGACAAATGTCTAGGTGAAATTACACATAAAAACACTTTGTTAGTACTGGATATTTTATATCTTCCATGTATTTTGTTAGCAATATTTAAAAAAAAAAACAGTCAGTTTCTAAGAATAAGGTGGACATAACTTCAGTAACTGCAGCATCTTGCCAACTCACACTTTCACATTCATAATCCATAATGAAACCAGTAGCTTCCTTTACAGCTAATGGAAGCAGCAAACACCACAGATGGCCCTGTAAATATTGCCAGCAAAAGAACTCAAATCAAATCCAGAAAGACAAAATGAAATAAAAAACCCCACACTGCTGTGCCCCCATTTGGAGACCCTGCCATCATTTCAGAATTACAGAGGGCTTTAGAGGTCCAGCAGCACTTGCTGCCCATAGCCAGGCTCCAAAGAATGCTGATAAGGCACATGTTCTATAAGCTACTCTCTACATTACGGGTTTCAGAGTAACTTTGCCTTCAGAAGTCCAGAGGATTCATGAAAGTCTCTGAAAGAATATACTTACTGGGGAGTTTTCTTCAAAGTTTTTTGTAGTTTCTTCACTTGGTGCTTGTAAAATTTTAACTCCTGTGCAGATGGCCTGCTAGAAAGAAAAAGCATGATGTTATATGTCTTGCATTGGAAAGTATCTATAAAATTCATCCAAGCAAAAAAGGAAGAAAGCTTTGCCAGTGCCAAAACATCATTCTGGAAATGAATTTTCTGCTACATCTCTGCATGACAACAGCAATAAAGAGCAAACTAACCATTAGCAGCTTAGGCTATTAACAGTGTAGGAAGAAGAGTGTGGCTGTTGCTGCCATTTCTCATTTTTTTGATCACAGATTCCACACCTCATTTTTACAGTTGCTGGTGCTTTGTAAAGCAAAGTCCACTGAAATGGCCTTATAAAGGATGATACTTATCCCTTCTCACCTTATTTCCAAATCTTTCTTGAGACTTATATTTTCAAGCAAAAGCTGTTCCTTCTTGGCTTTTGTTTCAGTGAGTTGCTTCTGGAAAGACTGCAACACAGACTGGGTTATTTCTTTTATTGCACTCATTTCATAATGAACAAGCTTCAACACTTTAAAGCATGTACATGTTAAGAAGGGCTCCCAATTATTTGGACAGCAAAACAGCATGGATGAGGAATCAGATGATGGACACCAAGAGCCTGGTGCAGTAGACCCCAGGTGGAGCACTGTGACTAAGGAGGTCTATGCAACCAACCCTCAGCAGACCCACATTTTTCTGAATCTTTGCACAAGGACAGGGAATTCTGCCCACAGAGGTTACAAGTTCAGAAGACATGACAAGAACAAGGGAGAGCAATCAAACATTTATGTTTCTAAGCGGCTTTTCAAGGGTTACCACTGAGAGATCTGCACTGGCTTATTCTTGGCAGTTCCATACCATGAGCAGTGCTTTGTAATTAGGAGTAGCATCTAGATTTAAGAACTCTTCCTTGTTTTCTACTTCTCTCTGCACTTCGTCTTCATCTTTTTTATATTGCCTGTTGGGAAAAATAAATTTGTTCAGCTTACTGCAGTTCCATTAGCTCAAAAATGTAAGTTGGTTTAGTTAGCAGTTATGTATGATAATGTTTCCATAAACTACAAAGTAAATAGAATAGAAATTCTGCTCTAAGATCCATGCTCTAATTTCTGGGAAAGCTGTTTCATATGCTAATGAAGTGCACTTATCCACAAGAGAAACTCCAGTACAAGGAAATCCCTTTTCAGTTTTCTCAATGCTAATCTCAAGTTATAGGAATGTCTCAGGTATCTGTCTGTTTGCACTGGGATAGATCTGAAAACCTTTTATTTTGGGAGATCAATCAACGGAGCACAGTTAATGTAGTAATTCTGCCTGTGAACCATGGCAAAAGAGAAAGGGAAAGGGAAAAAAAAAAAAAAGAAAGACAGACTTATTGTTCAAGTATCTGACTACCCCGAACCTCCTAACTGTCCTGGCCTCCTGACTGAGAAGCTGCTTAGCCTGATGAACAGTTATCCTCTGGAAAAATCCAAATTTCCATGACCATCACAACCCTTTGCTATTTCTTACATGCTAGTGATACCTGGAGCACAGAATATTTACCACTATAAGATTTAAGAACAGTAAGGGCTAAGAAAACTTTGAAGAGTAGAACCACAAGATATTCAGTGAGACCTACCTCAGCTTCTTTTTAATCTGACTAATTTGAGATTCATAATAATCAATTAGACAAAGGTACCTGAAGAAAGGAAAAATGTTCATTTTGAATGTCAGATATTCTCACAAAACTCATAGTGTGACCAACCCAGAGGAACAGGTCAGCTTACACTGCTGCACTGTACTTTGGAAGTAGCTACTCCAAACAGTGGAGTTTCTCTCATACCAGACAAACATGGCCACTCTTTGCCAAAATGGAAAAGTAGACACATTGAATCTGTACTAGTTTAGAAGTAGCAAAATATTCAAGAGGAGATGAAAGTTAAATCTGCCCACCAGCCTCCTCATCTTCTGCCTGTGGTTACCCAGCAAGATAACAGAGAGGCACAGTCAAAATAAAGTGTCTTGAGCACTCCGAGATTGTTTGGTTTGGAGAGAGAGATGAGACAGGACAGGGAACCAATTTCGGTGATCCTTCCTCTCATACAGTGAGGGCTCAAGGGAGCAAACACAATTCCTCTTAAACCTTCCCAGGTAGACATTGCTGGCCAGGCCTAGAAAGGCAGGTGATATCAGCACAATAAAGCAATGGCTACCTGAGGCCTAGGAACTGGCAAATGTCTGATTGTAGCACAGCTATGGAAATCCCACTAGCAAGAGACACAGCCTTGTGATACTTTGGAAACTTACCCAAAAGTACTTGGAAGCTCACAGCAAGGCTGCAGTCAGCAGTTGCAAACATCACTTCCAAAAACTGGAAAGGCTCTTTTTTGGGAGCTAAGGATGGTATTTGTTGGGGGGGCTTGTTAGTTTTTAATTTACATTTTAAAATGTTAGAATCCCAGGATGAGATCATCCTAGCTGACACTGCAGCTACAGAGCAGAGTGAATCATTCCCTTCCCTTTGCTGACATCTAGTGTGGGCAGTGGGTGGCAATTTTTAAATTTCTGACATGGATTTTTCTGCATTACAATTTCACAAAAGAAAAATATCACTGCACTGAGGTACCTTCCCAAGAATTCATATTTCATCTTGTACTCCTAAAGTCTCCAGATTACTTTTTTTTCACATATAAATATCAAGAAGCATTACTTTAAAATCTGTTTCTTCATTTAATGTTACAGTTGGTCTGGCAGTAAAAGGGAATCACTTACTGCTGATCCAGGAGAGACTTGGGGGCTCTTTTGCAAAATTGACAAAACCTTTTGTTTTGAGTGGCAACTCCCTGCTGCTCCTGCCTCCCAATTCTGCTCAGCTCCTTCTGCAACTGGGCAATAGTCTCTTCTTGCTCTTGCAGCTTTTCCTGCTGCTGTTGGTATTTTACCTGTGAACAGCAACAGGAGTGTTATTGTTCTGACCCACAAGCTGATGGTACTGTACAAGCCCAGGTATGCACTTGGTCGCAAGGAAGATGAACACTTAGGTTTTAGCCGTGCTGAAGAGACAGTGGAAGAGGGATACAGATATTTTTCCAAATTATTTCTAGAAAATTCTGCATCGTTTGAAAAAACTTAGCTATAAACAGTGTACCCTGTGACCCAAGACTCATGTTTATTTATATCAATGTAAATATTCTGAGACCTTTCATAAACCAAAAGTTTGAATCCTCAGACAGCACTATCTGAATTACCCATGAAGCCTGTTGCTCTTTTTGAAGTTCCTTGACTTGGTTTTGTTGCTGGCATGCTTTAGCTATTGTTTCATCTTCCAGCTGACAAATTTTGGCCTTAATGTTTTTCACCACATTTTCCAAATCATTAGCCCGTTGCTCTTGCCGAGATGCCCGACCTTGTTCCAGTCGTACCACATTTCTGAAAAAATAAATAAATCCTTAATTTTAAATTAAACCCATTTCACTATAGCCAGTGCAAGAAGTACACGCCTGACATTATGTGATGCCCTTTGATAACATCCAGTGGCAGCAGGCATGGGAAATACACTGATACGAGAATAAGAAGCACATGAAATAACGGAGGAGCCAGAAAGGAATTGGGACAACATTGCTGCATATTGAACAATAACCTCAGGAAAAAAGTCTTAGGCCTCTGGTGAGATAAGATCTCCACCAGGCTGGAAATGCACGCTAATAATATTTTTACTCTGCAGGCAAATTCCTTCCCCTGTGTCTTACCTAAGACATCGATTTGCCTCCATAAGTCCCTGCATCACCTTCTGCTGTCGCTCAGTGTCTTCCACCAGCGTTTTTAATGCAAGCCTTATTCCCTGAGAAGACTGATGGTCTAGGACAATCATACCTGGAGATACAAAACATAAGCAGTCTCAATGAAACGGTTTTAGCAGCCAAAGAAGGTTGCCTGTTTGCTGCCATTCAGAAGTAGCAGCTTTGGAGATGCCTTATGAACTCAGAGTTACTATTTCCAAATACAAAAATTACATTTCCTTACTTGATGTATCTCTGCAGCTTTGGGGGGCAGCAAGACTCACAGGTTTCAACCCATGACGCAGTAATACCTTGTTTAGGTTTTCCCACTCTGTCTTCTCCTGCTGCATTGGGAGAAAGGGAAAAAGAGGCAGAAACCTGAGTTCTTCACATCAGCTGTGCAGCAGAAAGTACCAAATTCACACAAATTAAAGCAAACCCACCCCAAACCCCCAAGAGGCCACTACAGGAGGGCTTGTGAGAAGCTCCAATAGGATCTGCAAAGCACAATGAGGAAAAGCGTACTTAACACACAGCACGATCAGTTTTCCTGATCCCTATTTGAAAGCAAAATCCGCGCAATGAGTTAAATTCGCCTGTTTAGGAAACCCGAACCACCGGCCCTCGGGTCCCTCCAACGCACCCGGGGCGCAGCGGCCCCGCCGCGAGCGGAGCCCTCAGGGAGGTGGCGGCGGCTCTGGGGCTTCACGGACTGTTCCATCGCGGTTTTGACCCGCTCCAACCACCCAGCGGCGACACCCGGAGCCAGCAGAGTACCTCAGCCATGGCGAGGGCCGCAGGGCAGGAGAGGGGCCGCTCCTCAGGCCGCGGAGCCGCTCGGGCGGGAGCGGAGCGGGCGGGCCGGGGAGCGCGGGGCGGCGCTGCGCGGGCGCCGCCATTTTGCGGCGCGGGATCCGAGGGGAGGAGACCGGGCGGAGGTAGGAGCGGAGGCACGGCGGGAGCTGCGGCGGGGCTGATAGCAACAAAAAATAAAGACGGGGAAAAATGGAAAAAGCTTGTTGTTGGCGGTAACGGTGGGGGCAGGTCTGCCGTTTTCGGAGCTCATCGGTACGTCGCCCCGCGATGAGAGCTGCCGGGATTAGATGGATGGTCTAGGAGCCGTAATCCCAGCCTAGTTTTCAGAACAAGCCCTTCCGTGAAAAGGAGTAAATATCGCTTTGGGCTGCTGAGCTGGTCAGTGAATAGAGGCGGTGGGTGCAGCACTGATGTGTGCCCCATCCGGAGCAGCGGCGGCCGGGGGCGCCGCGGCCGCTCCCCGCTGGAGCAGCGCACGGCTTTCCCTTGGGACGCGGTGGGATCCGCTGGCCTTCAGCTGACACCCCTGCCCTAGACTCTGCGTTCGGCTTTGGTGTAAAATAAATGGGTGTTGCTTCATTACCATGATTTGAGGGAGAGAAAAAAAAAAAAGAATAATTTACGTGTTTCTGGGGATGATTCCTAACCCTTTCAGCATTGATCCTAAATGATGCTTAAGATCCACGCCGCTGGATTGCGGCCTGCCCGGGGTGATGAAGGCTCTGGGCTGCCTGGGACACCTCTTCTGGCATCTCCTGCGTGCCCGAGGCCGCTCCTTGTGCTGATCCCTGCCGGGGACGCGCGGGTGACTGTGCCGAGCCTGCTCCTTGGAGCAGAGCAGGGAAACATTCCCTGCCTGACTCCCACCCTGTGCCCCCTTGACAAGAACCAGAAACTTCAGGAACGGCCAAAACAATCTCCTCGACATTTATTAGCACGTGTTATTATCTGTTGGTTTATTGATAGGCACAGACAAGGCAGATGATGATGAAATTAATGAGTGAAAATGATACATTAAAAAACAGTGTCGTGGTCTAAAATCCTCTTAAGAAATTAGTTCCTTGTGGTTCACACAGATTTTGTGATTGAATTGCCAAGTCAAATTTACTAATGTGCTTGTTGAAAGCTGCTGCAGTGGTTTAAAAAAGGGGGGAGGTGAAATAACCTCCTGTGCTATTTCCCAGTCCCAAATTCATTACGGTCTGGGACTGAGATGGGCAGTTCTGGACTGGATTCCTGCTTTGGTCAAGTTAATTTCTAAACTTTGTTTCACAAATCAGGCAGCCCTTTTTTCCATCTAGTAACTGACAAAGTTATGAGGAGCTAGTAAAGTTAGGAGAAACTGCACTTACTCATTTTTGTAAAATATAATATTTTTAAAAATACACTTGCTTTTCTGTCTTAGAGAAAGATGGTTGTGCTTTAAGTGTTTTTATTTCATCACATATATGACAGCACTGTATGTTAATAAAGATGCTTTTAAAACTGTCCTTTATCTTAGCTGGAGAAAATGATGAAACTTTAGCCTTCAGTGCTTCTCTGCTACTATTCTGCTTTTCTATTTTTTCTTGCTGCTAATTGGATTAAAAGCTCTTTTGACTTCTATGGCATCCGGTGAGGAGATTACTGTCTGTGACGATGAAGTAAGGTAAAAAATCAGAACTGTGATATGAGCAGATTTGGAAAGATATCCCCAGTTCCAGTGGTCACTTATGACTGTATCTAAACTGTAAAAATTACTTAAATAAAAGGATATCTTGCCAGATCCCTTCCTGTGTCTGTGTGTGCAGAGTTGCATATCCAAATGATATAGGTAGTGTTTATGAGATTACAGACAAATCTGTTAACACAGGAAATAGATAAACTGGTCACACTATTTTTTCAAGTCTAAAAAGGTGAAACACTTTCTTTGAGACCAGTCAAATAACATATTTTAATCCTTACCAAGAAATAGCAGAACTGCCCAGGAGTATCTTAAAACTAAATATAATTTTGTTACCTATTGTCACCTGAAATGGGAGTTTTAGAGGTTAGATATGTAGTTGTGTCTTTGTACTGTTTGTCAAAGTGAGTCTGTTTAACCGTTTATATTTTGTGATGTTTTGTCATACTTGAATGTCTGAAAAACATTAAAATATAAGCAGTTCTGCAAGCTTATTATTTCAAGTCTCATTTTTTATTTATCAAAAGTGGCTTGCCCAGAAGCAGTAAAGCCTTGAACTGCAGACATCAGGACTTGACCTTTCAATGACAATTAATTTATTTTGTTGGTTTCTCCTTAGGTCTCGGTACAGCCACTTAGAGAAGATGACAGATTTGGTGGCTGTTTGGGAAGTAGCTTTAAGTGATGGTGTTCATAAGATTGAATTTGAACATGGGACCACTTCAGGAAAGCGTGTTGTCTATGTTGATGGAAAGGTGAAATTGCTATATGCTCAAATTCACAGTGATACAGATTATATAAGTGCACTTCCATGCAACACACACCACCACAAACAAAAGACTAATAAATGCAAGTGAGGTACATTCAGTTAATTACCTAGTTTAATAAAATGCATCATTCTTTTTTTCAGTTCCAGTTAAGGTGTGAGTATTCATGAAATGCTTTGCTGTCCTTGGGCAGAGGCACTCTGCATACAAAGCACCGTGTATGCATCCATTCCCAAATAATGATTCAGTACTGAGCTGTCTCCTGAGTTCCAGATAAATTTTTTAGTATTGAAACATGCACCCAGGTTTTTTAATTAATACCCACTGTCTTTGTTTTCTTCTACAGGAAGAAATAAGAAGAGAATGGATGTTTAAATTAGTGGGTAAAGAAACATTCACTGTTGGAGCTACTAAAACTAAAGCTGCTATTAACATTGATGCAGTCAGCGGCTTTGCCTATGAATATACTTTGGAGATCAATGGAAAGAGTCTCAAGCAGTATATAGAGAACAGGTTAAAAACAACCAATACTTGGATATTGAACTTGGGAGGTACAGACTATAGAATTGTTCTAGGTAAGTAAACATTGAGTGACTACATATTGCTACCTCTGAATAAACTTGTCGACAAAAACTGGTAATTAAGAGAAAGCACAGTTCAATGGGTAGCTCTGTTACAGTATAAAATCCTGGGGGATCTGGAAGTTTGGAATGAGATACCAAAGACAGTCTGAAAAGTAATGCTCTTGTTATACATGTGTGAGCCTGCAGCAGCATGGTCTAGATTTGGAGGGGGAAAAAAAAATTGGGAGGCATTACTGCTGCTGCATCCATAGAGCTGCCCTAGCAAAGCAGTTCTCCAGGTGAAGCCTATTACAGAAGTTTTACCTGCATTGTGATCAAACCTCATGTGTGTCTTAAGTTTGTTGAGCAGATAGCCAGGCTTTCCTTCCAAAAATCATCAGCCATGGTCAAGAAGTATTTATCTGAAGTGAAACAGTGTTATTCCACATTTTTGATAGATTGATGAGCATCCTATTTTCTGCATTGCTTCTTATCTACACACTTAAACTAAAACCTTCCAATGATGTTCTTTCACTTTCTTAATAGCAAAGCAATACATTGCTTCTCTTCTGCCCCACCTTTCCCAGTTACATTACAAACAGGTGGGAGGAAGGGATCCCATGAGGAATTTGTCCATGGCATCTAGTGGGAAAATTTCCACTGGGACATTACTGTATGGTTAGAGCTGGAGACAAGAGATCTCAGACTATGATTTCTTCTTAAACCTCAGGACAGAATGAACAGCCCTAAGATGAAGGGAAGCAATGAAGAAAGACAGTTTTAGTGCCAGAAACAGATAAGTCTCTTCACAGAATTTTAATCTCCCTGTGCTTACTGGAAAGGCAAGCAGGATTCAGCTCTCTGCTAATGTTGTGTGAATGACAGTGTCAGTAAAGGGAGTTACAGAGCAAAGTAATTTAAGGAGGATGTGCTGGGAGAAGTAAAAGAATATTCTGTTTCAAATGCAAAAAAAAATCTAAGATTGATATTTAAAGTGGTACTTGGTGCTTTCAAAATGTTAATACAAACAGTCTGATAGATGTTAAATAATGCTGCTTTTAAATTAAATTGACCTGAAAAAAGGGCTTTATTGAATAAACAGCACTCAAATAATTAGCAGAAATTACTTCACTTTTCTGTCTTTTAATCTTTTCAGTTTAAGGCTGTCACAGTATCTCTGGCACTATTCAGAACAACACAGTATTAATAGCTAGGGCTACGGAGGGTTAAAAATGTATATTCAAAGCAGAACAGAGCCTCCTCTCTCTCCAATGTGAGAGCAAACCCTGTAGCTCAGGCACTACAGCTACTTGGGAACTTCTTTTGGGAAGTGAAAGTAAAATTCAACAATAGATTTTTTAAAATCCCTAGATCCTTGTTTGTAGCGAGAAAAAAATACCTTGTTCTTTCTACTTTGTTTTCCTTTTCCTTCACAGAAAAAGATACGATGGATGTGTGGTGCAACGGTCAAAAAATGGAAACAGCGGTATGTAATCCTTTCCAAAGGCTCTTCCCAGGCTATGGATATGTAACCAAAGCTTGGCAGAATAAGCCCCAGAGGGACACATTATCTCCCTTTACCAAAGAGGCCAAGGCAGCTAGCACACTCCTGGTCTGTTCAAAATGACCTTCACTGAATTTTATAATGGGCAGTATTTCAGTTCAGATACCAAACCATCTGCTTGTTTAAGGATAAATTATACTTTTCTTTCCCCTTTTTAGACAAACAAAGAAATCAGAGTCAGTTGTGCAGGGTTTTTAGGGAGAAAAACTTCTGGGGATTGGGAAGGATTTGAGTTTGATGCAGAGTTAGAGCCACTGCATCCAAACCTGCTTGTAACAGTTGTCACTGAAAGTTGAACACATGTAGCCTATTATGATTCATGCTTTTTTCCATCTAGAGATGTTCCTAATACTTAGGGCTTAAGAGCCTCATTGGAACAAGTCAAATCTTTTATCTTGATCACATCTGCATTGATTTTTTGAGCAGGCTGACAGCTAGGGGGCTTAATCTGTTTGGTGTATTTCTGCTTATGATGGCTTTCAATATGCACACCATGTAGGGTGTCAAAGTTTTTACTGCTGCTACAAGGAAGCCCCTGGATGAGTACAAATTGTAAAATCAACAGTTCTGCTATACCTGAGAGCAGGATGAAAAGATTCACCAAATGTTTGCTTAGTAATCAGTGAAAGAAACCTCCTTTCTGTAAATCAGGACTTCTGCTCCTGATGGCTCAGCCTTTTCTGTAATATACTGAGAGCACTCAGAGGTGCCCTTGCAAGCTGTGAGTGCAGGTTTAGTACCAAACTCTGCTTCCATTAGAGCAGCACATGAACTGTTCTACTGTCACAAACATCATGACAAAAACACAGCCATGTCTGGCAAAATCTATAACAGGAAATTACAGAACTGCAGCAGGAGATGTATCCAAGATATACAGCTGTTGTATAGATTCAGGGATCTGCTGTGGAAGGCATCCTAAATATTCCACCTTTCACTGCTGCTTGAGCAAAGGTTTGTGTGACACCTACTGGCTGTGCAGCACAACTCGGCAAGATGCTGCCTCTTCATGTTTACTGACATGAATCAGTAACAAGGATTCACAAACTCCAACTTTACCATTTCTGATTGTGTGAAATTTTCATCATGGTCTGATATGCACAAATCTTTAACTGGGCACCTTGACAGAGCCCTGCCTGAGATTCAGCAGCCTTGTTCAGCTTTTGGGCAGTATTTGTCACAGGTACCTAAAGGTGCTGTAACTGTGGGAACAGCAAGTGATCTTGACATTGATGCACTCCAGCTTTTCGTTTATTGAAATATCACCTGTTTTTATTCTTGTCTCCTTTCTCTCAGGGTGAATTTGTGGAAGATGGGACTGAAACTCATTTTACTGTTGCTGACCACAGCTGTTGCATTAAGGCTGTCAGTAGTGGGAAACGAAAGGAAGGAATTATTCATACTCTTATTGTGGACAACAGAGAAATCCCAGAGGCTGTGGAATAGCCTCTGGTTAACTGATTATAGTAGGACTAAGATCAGGAATTTTCAATTACTGTGGTAATTATTTTAATATGTACTACTTGGTACATCTAGTTTGTGCTGGGTTTATTTTCTAGTTTCTGTACACGGAATTATTCTTGTTGAGGACCAGATGAAAATAATTATGTACAATCTCTTACATTACCAGTTTTTAAAAAAGCTATATATATCTAGAATATATAGCATATTACTATGTGTGGAGAACACTGGTGAAATAGAAATTATACATCAGGAAAAAATCATGCTATAATAAAACTAAAAATAAATATTCAGTAACACTGAATCCTTAACTACAGGTGTATGTGGAGGGAAGAGAAAGCCTATACTGGGCACAGGATTAAGATGTTAAAAGCTTTCTCTATAATTATTTTTCTATTAACCTGACTACAGACCATTTCACATGCAGTTAAGGGTAGTTACATAGTTAATAAAGAGGTCAATAATGAAATACATAGTTACCAAAACTTGTGTTACAGTATTAAATTAATACTGAATTATGAAAACTGTTCTCTATTCCCACTAGGAGCAAGATGTTACATTGTGCCAAAAAAAACCCCATTCCTTTAGGTGTTCTGAAAACTGATGCTGTAGTTCATAAACTAGAGAAGACAGTAGAAGAAAAAAAAAATTCCTGCTATGAAACCTCTTTAAAAATGGTCTCTTGAAGCATGCTGACATAAGAACTTACCTCTGTTCACTGCTAACAAATCTTAAATCTACAAATATGTGTTTTCATGGCAGTAATGTGTGAATCAAAAATATAAGGAAGAAGGGAACAGAAATGGAAAATAATTAGTTACTTTAATTGAATAGTTAAAATAGGAATAGACTAATTCTGTTTTCAGAATTGCAGCATAATTTCCAATGTCAACCTTTGGATTTCTTGAGAACAAAACTCATGTGGTTAGACTTACACTACAAAACTACCCTTTGTAACTGCAAGCACAGCTAATCTTAAAAATAATTATTAAAAAACCTAAAATGTTAATATATTAATCTAAAAGTTTCTTTTGTAATTGTTAAAAAAAAATCCACTTGTAACCTCAAAATTCAGAATTAAACTTTTATAACTTAATTTCTTTTGGACTTGTGAGTGGTTCCTAGCACTACAACTACTAGCTCAAGAGTTGCAGGTGCAGTACAAGCATCCTGGGAATCCATTAACAAATTTTTTGGAAAAGTTTTATTAAATGCTAATTTCATCTGTGTTTTAGAGATCAGGCTGCTCCCCATCAGCAGGCTTTACTGGAGGAAGTTTCCATGTACCCAAGTGCTGGACTGAATCTCCTTTTACACTGGAATTACTGGAGTAACAGCCCTTGGGCTTTTCCGTGTATTTGCTTCACGTCGCTGCAGAAGTAATGGGGGGATACCTGGCTACAAGGCTGACAATTTAATCTTTAAAAGATGTTGGTAAAGGTAAATTAATTGAAAAATAATTTCAAGCTGTAGCTTGAACCAGTTCTCTACTATTTTGTAGCCTTTCAAAGAGATTGAATGTTGCTGAGAAGTCTGAAGCTCATGTACAGTACAAATCACATTCTTAAGACTATAGAAAAATACAAGTTAAACAGATAGTGACATTCATACTTTTTATTTTGAATATGTGTATCTACAATGCTTGAAGTAAGTAATAAAAACAGTATAGCAACCACTGTAAGAAATCATGAAGTATTGCCTCATGTTTGTCATAACTGTATATAACTGCATAACTGCATAAATGCATAACAGCATGTCCCTAAGAAGCAAACAGCTCTCATCTTCTACATTCTCCCATCTTAAGTCAAAGAAAATTTAAGAATCAAAAGGCACAACCAAGATTTCTTGTGTTTCCCTGACATATGCAATATCTCAGATTAAGAAAATGCAGTGGAAGAATGACAGCCTACACAACCATCAAGTGTATAGTCACACACTGCGATCACTTTAAGAAATAAAGTAAATGACTGTGTCAGTTAAATGTTAATGCTAAATGTTACACTGTATTTTGGGATGCTTTCCCTTCTGCTTCCATTCACCGGTAATTTTATCCTAATATCCTTAAGGCATTAACTAACTCTTTTGTACATGAATATTTCAGAGTACTTTTCAGGAAGCACTCTGACTATAGCACACTACTAAGCAGAGCATCCTCTTTAAATCTAAGCACTAGATTTTGTTCTCAGAGGGTCTTCACCATAGCTACAATTCTGCTTTATTCCCACTGAGGATCCTGCTTGCTTCCTCCAGGAGCTAAATACCTCTTAGTCAGTGGGGAACAAGTCAGCAAATACTGTGGAAGGGCTGCAAAACCATTGAAAATTACAAAGATCTCGGGACGGTGTAAACTATCTACTAAACTGTCATATAATGTAAAGCCATTCCTCTCCACTGCTGGTGGCATAATACAAGATGGCTGGCCTGTAGTGCATGAGCCAGTTACTACATCAGCCTCAAACACGTATATTTTACAATCTGTTTCCCATGTTGCTTTACCCTTGCTCAGGTACCTTGGGTTAGTTGTAAAGTAGATGCCAGCTCCGTATTTTTGTTCTGGAAAGAGAAAGAAAAGTTTTCAGAAGACAAAGCATTTAGCAGATGGTTCTTTCAGGGTGATAGTTCCAAGAGACTGCTGCTTGATTCAGAGTTACAAGTGATGTGACTGCCTGCCATCCTTTTGGAAGGTAATTTGCATGGAGTGGCTCTGATGCTTGCACTGACCTCCCACTGAAACCACGAGCAATGACAGCTGATGGCCATTCCAATTAACTGCTACTCCAGTGATAACTGTTCAGATTTAACTGCTACTCCAGTGATAACTGTTCAGATTTACCTGCTAATCCAGTGATTGAATCATCTGGATTAGCTGATAATCAAGGTCTAAAGGATTTATATAAAATAAATATATGACTCACACTTCAGCCATCATGTATGAAGGACTCTGATAAACAACAAAGGCAGCAAGATCTTAATAATGCAAACTACAAAAAAAAGCTTTGAGATTTATATGAAAAATGTCACATGAAGTGCTGTTACAGTATCAAATGTAAAAGTGTAAAGAAATTAGACCATCTTATTGCTTTTAAAGTGTGTAAATGTGCCATGTAGATTGCATAGACAAAGAAAGGCAAATCTCCACTTTTTGAACAGTTTATTGCTTGAAATCCCATTCTGCAATTGACATGCAAAATATCACACACTTCAGGATGAAGCACTAAATGCTTATTCTTTCCCTTTCTGAAAGCATATGGCTACTACATTGTCTGCTACAATATTTCATGGATTCACAACTTTCTCCAAGTGTACCTTACTCCAAATGGCAGCCCAAGCAATGAGATTACCTGCTGTCTCTGACTACACCTGATCTGAACAGGGGTCTCAGGTGAATGATCCTCAGAATCCCCTTCCATCCTCAGTGTTCTGTGATGCCCTTCCACATGCTTTAGAGCACCAAGCTGCTGAATGCATGTTTGCAGCAGCTACACAAGGACACTGACTTTCTTTACAGTGATGCAACAAAATAAAACTTTGACATGAAATTATGTGTATACTAATAATTCAGTGTTTGGGCTAGGCTTGAATTCAGGCTTATTTTCCTAGAGCATTGCTGGCTCTAAAGTATCAGGAAGGGAAACCTTACTGTATATAATAAAGTAAGCTCATACAAATCTAAATACAAGAAACAGTTCTTATTTAGGAATGCCATTTTTTCTAATTTTAACCTGAGTTTAGTAGTCAGTCACTGTTCATTTTGATTAAAGATGCCAAAGCAAGTCATTACCTTTTGGTGGAGAATACATCCTGTGAAATCCAGTTTGGCAAACTGAGCAACAGAACTCGGCAGGAACATCCTGGTACAACTTGTGAGTTGTCTTGGAGCTACCATCTACCTTTGTTTTCATTCGTTGGAATGCAGCAGATAGAAGTGGATTATGTAACTTTTCAATCTGTAACATAGCAGAGTAGCATAAGCAGATGGAGACAGTTGCAAAATCCGTAAATGCTTTTATTCAGGCTATGTTGTTCAGTGCAAGAACCTTTGCTTTAGCCTGTATGCATTGACCACATAGTGGACAAAGTATCTGAAGTGTGCAACTGATCCAAAGAAAAGAACCATACCACTATCCCGTGCCTCCCATTGAAATCACTGGGAATATTTCCTGGTGTACTGACTTCCAGTACTGTTCCAGAGTTGTGCTGAAGAGATTGAGTCCACTGCCTGTTTAGTAAAGCAGTGATACCCAAGTATGATTCCAGCTTTAACACATAATCAGGCAAACTCAAGTGGTAATTTTTGGTGTCAAGCTCACAAAAAGAAAACAGACACTGACTTAGTGTCCTGGAATGCTGTACTTAATTTACCATATCAATCTCATATTTATCTAGAGTCCTATAAAGGGGCATTTGAAGCATGAAGTACAAGGGAGAACATACAGTACAATTAAAAACACTTCTCAGAATTTAATCACTTTTTGAGTGATTATTTGCATTATGTTTAAAATACTATTCATTAGGATTAAAGACGATCTGTTTTAAGGATGAGGTTGATTTGATCTTAATTTTTAAAGACAATGCATTGAAATAGTTCATCTGAATTTTTTAAGCTTAGGTGAAATATGTTAGTTCAAATATGTGAGCCGAGATTCAGTTTTTCCACTAATATCCTCTTTACCCTGAGAATACGAAGTCCAGCTTTTTCAAACTCTTTCTGTCTGTCTTTAAACTCCTGGAGGTGACATTCTACTGGTGAAATCTGGATGTAGTCAGTGGTACTTGTCTTGTGAAAGTCTTCTTCTGAAAGCTGGTCTGCTTCTGGTTGGCCTGGATATGAATAAGGGAGTAAAATTTTCATCTATTGTAATGTCTGAAGCAAAGGCAAGGGAGGCAGATCCACTACTTTGGTTGATAGTTTAGTTAAGAACAAAGAATTTTAAGTGTTCTCTGAAGTAATGTCAGAGGCTAAAATTGAGAGGGACTAATATACATATATAAATGTATATAAATATATTCTATTTTTCTGCATTTATTATAAAGAAACCAGGGAGAGGAGAAACCAAAGGAAAGCAATTTATATTCTCCATTACACCTCTCCACATCTGAGCTTTCACATAAAGGTATCTATACTGAACGATTATCCAAACATGAATTAAAACTGATCACTCAGTAGCTTTCTGTAATGCTACTAGTTGTATCAGTTGTTCATGACAGCCAAGGACTCTACAGTGGGACCAGATGTAGCCAGCAAAAGCTCAGCAAAGGTGTGTGTTAATTAAGTGCAAATTTTGTAAATCTCCAGTGGCCAGACTTTAAAGTGAAGGTACCCTGGAGAAGACTCCACTACAGCTGCATATACATCATGGCCAGCTCTTGTATAAACTGTGCCCAACAGGGAAAACTGCCAAGTGAGTGACCACAGCTAACAAATAGTCTTCCAGGGGCTCACATGATAAAAGTACAGGGATATCAGTAATTAAAGCAATACTCAGTATGTGTGTGTGAACTGAATGCATACCTGTCCACCCTCAGAAATACAGAGATATATGTTGCTTCATACTTGACTTTGTTTAGGCACTTATTTACTTAATTAGTGTTTAGGCACCATTTACTTTACATACACATTAAGTAGAGCAGTTTCTCTTGTTCAGCTATAGTCTTCTCTTGCACACGAAGCAGTAATTCTTCAGTTGCAAGCACTGTATCAATCAAAACATCAGGAGGGCCCTGAAATTTCAGTCTTGCTTGTCCATCTCTCACTTCTTCTGATACACACACACTAGAAGGCTGCACTCGAGAGAGTTCTGCAAATTCCTCTTTACCAAGGCAAAAAATGTAGTTGTTTTCAATAACAGCATAGCGACTTTCCTGAATTTGCATTACATTTTGGAGCCATGATTCTGCTGCTTCCAGCGCTGTGGGTGTGCTCCCTCTAAGTTCAATCACGGGTTCACTGCTTGCAGTCTGACTGCCTGACTCTGTACCTGGAAGATACACTTTCTTTAATACAAGTGCATTGGAAGAGTGAAGAGCTTTCAAGGGCTGACACGAACTCCTACTTGTAACCCCAGCTGTACAGTGCAAGAAACACACTACTCTTCTGGTATGCTCAAAAAAGAGATTAGCTACAAGGAATTAAGTTTTCCAGGACACACACACACATATGGAGAATTTATCTGCCTTTCACTAAATGACTTCCAACAAGTTGGGCAATGACAATGTGTTTTAAGTCTTAACAGGGACTGTGCAGTTGCATTCCTATAAATGTAAAAATACAAAGTGCTCACAAGTTTTTGCTTCCTCCTCTTCCCAAGACACATATGTAAATACCAAGTTCCCAATTTTAAAAGAATGTGATTACAGATTCTCAAATTGGGAGTATTCATTTACTGGAAACACCCCTTCTGTTCATTACTTACTCAAAGGATCACTTCTGTTTTCCAGTTTGCATTTTGCTGAATAAAATTTTCTCAGGACAACCTTGAAAGATAAAAGTTTAGGAGCAGTTTGCAATCTCTTATCAAATATGCAAATAATTTCTTCAAAACTCTGATAGACAAGCGATTTACACCCCCACCCGATTGTGAAATTGTTGGCATTTGTCAGCTTTTCCCAAAATGTTATTCCTTACAGTATCAAATGCATTCCTGTTCTTCTGCATCTCCTAAGGAAACACACCTTACACACTGAATGGCACCTTTACCAACTCCTTGTGGTTGTGGCATATCTCATGCAATTACATAAGGTAAAGGTGTTCATTACTTGCAGTTTAATGATGATGCATCCTTACTCAGTTTTAAAATCCTGATTATTCTCCTTCCTGTCTGCTTGAAATCCTTCTGTTAGCTCATATAATCTGTTGATAGTGTTTTGCCTTAGGAGCTCCATACAAGAAACCAAAACTGACTGAAAATATTTCCTGAGGAGGATTATTTGTTCCTTAATAAGTTAAGAGTAGACTCTTTCTTATACATTCACTGACAGACATGAGAATTTTAAAGTTCTCTCCCCTTTTTATCAGACTACAGGCTGAAGACTTCTAGTTTAGTGAAGAGAAAGTAAGTATTTGCAAAGATTGAGTATCTATTAATGAGAGTATTTTCATAAAGAGACCTGCTGCTCACAATTGCTATTAGCACAGAACAGACTATCTTCATTTTTAGTCATCTACGGAAATATTTTTCCAGTTTTGTGTTTTCCTTATGGGTAGTTAACAACAAATTTGGTACCCCATAGGCATCAGGGTCATCTGGGCAAACGACAATCTGCACTTCTCTCTTCTTCATAGGATATGCTCTGGAAAAATTTAAAACTGCTTCAATCATGGTCTCTGCCACTATGTCAACAGGCAGCGCTGGTGACCAATTTACTGGAAAAGAAACTGAGGGAGATGAGATGTCCTGAAAGTGATCCAGGCATCTTTTCACTGCATCCTTCAATTCCTGCAGGAAAAACAAAATCTTTCAGTCCTCACATCACCCAACATGAATATCCATTAAAATCCAAAGTAAGCAATCATCACCTCACACTGTAACACCGGATGCTGGCATTGCAATGCCATGTGCAGTACAAATGTAGAGGGCAGCTCGTGCCTTCTGGTTACTCTGGGCTCCTTAGAACGTGTTGGATGTCTAAAATGATACTGAAGTTCCTTCCAAAAAGCTGGACTCTCTTTTTCCAGCAGTTGTCTTGAAGATTGAGAGAAAGGCTCACCCCTTGCATTCAGGGGATTAACAATAGCTGTATTCTGCAAGGAAAGAGTGCAAATTTCAATGTACTTCAAACTAATTATGTGCAAGATTTGCTATTAGAGAGAACATTTTTTCTAACTACAATTCCTGTACAAAGGCCTGACTTCCACAGATCAGCTGCTTGAATTTTCCTACTACTTACTACTACAGCACTAGAATACATCAAATTACACACCTTGCAGCGGCAGTTCAGAAACCAAGAGCATGCACAAAGCTGTTCCAGTCATCAAGAGTGTATTGAATAGAATTATTACTCTCACTGTCTAAGTGACCCACGTGCCAATTATCAGCAGGAGAGAACAATGGATATGGCTGTCATCCCAGCCTTAGGGTAGCAAGACACATCACCAAATTAGTGGTGCCAGTACACATAAGGGAACTGCAAAGTTATGATTGTTTCCAATACCCAGTGGAAAAAGCAGATTCCCATAGTAGGTGCCCTGTATTTCAAATATGGAAAACACAAAAAACTTGTTTACACAATGCTGATAACAGCAGAAATTGTTCTAACCTTAATTGTTGAATATTATCTAAAGACATAAGAACATGCTTTCCTCATGGCCTTGAGAGCATGTGCATCTTTCAGTGCTCTAGACTTGGTTAATAAAATTCCCTGCAAGGTCAACTTTGTGATCCTTTGTTTATACCCTAAAAAAACCCCGAACTTCCTTTTCAATTATGATACCTCTTTAAAATAAAAACACATTTCTTTTTTTAGGATATAGTATTTGCTAAAAATAAATGTCATTCCTGTGATGTATTTGCAGTCTAAGAGCTCTGTTGAATTCCTGTGACTGAGGTCATATATTTTGCATCAGATTTTCTAGCTAAAAAGTTAATCAATTTAAGTAATGCCCTATGTAAAGGTAAGGTGCATATCATCTGTGTAAGTTATTTTCTGCTGTTTCAGTGTTTGCTGAATAATTCCAGTAATGGAGTTATAAGAACATAAATAACAGGAAGAAAAAAGAAAGGCAGAAAATAAGAGAACACTTCATGGAGCACATGATAAAATGTGAATTCTAAAGAAGATCAGAATAAGAATAAAATAAGAATATGAAGATAAACCTTCACATGGAGATGTATTATTAAATCATTCAATCTTTAGCTTCTTCCTATTATAACAGCATGTACACAAAAATTAAATAAAACATTCTAAAGTTCAATACCCTTCTGGACAAAAACCAACTCCTTGCTACTATGATTTAATCGCCATGTGTAAATTCTCATCAAACTGAGATGAAAATCATTTAGTGGACTGACACAAAATGTGTTCTGAAATCTTGGGCTCCAAATCCCACAAAGACTTGAAGGCAACACCATGTTCCACAAATTACAGGACAGACTTACCTTCAGATTTTTAGGGTATTGTTTAATGATGCGCATGCGAACATTTCCATGTTTGAGGTGAGTTGGAAACTGGCTTGGTGAAGCTGACACAGTGTCTTCAAGTGAATTGGTATCACCCAGAAACTTTTCACAGGCCTTCTTTATTTCTGCAACTGTGGACTCATCAATGTTCACCAGGCGGATCTCCCTGAGACAGCTTGGTGAACTTGCCTCAACAAATTCCTTTACAGCCATTACTATCACTTGAGAACACAAATCAACTGGGAAGGCATAGACACCTGAACTCACTGCTGGGATAGCCACAGACTTTAAAGCTTTTCCTGGAGCACTAACATAACGCAGAACATTCAAAATAGCTCCCTGAAGTACGTAACAACATCTTTCTTTTTCATGAGGATTCCACCTTGGACCAACTGCATGAATAATTTCCTTACAAGGAAGCATCCCTGCACCTGTCACTGCTATGTTGCCAACTTGGACTCTTCCATACCTTTGAATATAAAGATTGCTTTGCTCTTGTATTTCTGGCCCTCCAGTTTTTACAAGGGCAAGAGCAAGACCTGCTCCATGTTCAAGATACTCATTGGCTGCATTCACCACAGCATCAACCTTGTGTCTTGTGAGATCATCCTTATAAACACAGATGTCAATGCCTGACTTTACTTTCTTCCTGTATACTTCAACAGTGCATTTTGTTCCTTTTCTGAAGGCCAACGTACAAGCAAACTTTTTGGAAACGAGAATATTTAGACAGTTCTCTCTTCTCTTAAGAGCTTCATAGGCATCTTTACTGATGGGGATCATCAAATTGAACTCATCCATTACCATGCTTGACCCTAGGATACAGAATATAAAGTGAAATAGAAGGAATTACTATCAAAATATTTATTTTTATCTAGAAGTGTGGTTTCTAGCTCTCAATTTTATCCTACTGTCATTGCTAAACAATATTTTTTCCTCACTCTAATCTTTTCTCTCCCCTTTTCAGAGGTTCAGAACTCAGGATAATTTAACTGTGCCACAGAGAGACCTTATACTGAGTTTTAATTCTGTGACTCTCATTTGGTCTGTACTTAAAAGTTCACAAGCAAGTTCTTTCTTTTATGGAACATTGTATGAACTCAGAAAGTCTTTTTAAACCACTTCTTTTAAGGAACAGATTTTACATTATTATTATGGCTGTACAGCCCTCTCCTGGCAGATGTCAGCAGTACTACAATGCAGCAGTTATGTTAATTAGTTTGAATCAATTTAAATGTATGAGTTTTATGAACTTTCCTCCAGGGTATGCTTCCAGCTCGTAAAAAGTCTGACTTTTTGCACTTATAAAGTATCTATGCTGACTCATTAAAACACTTCTGAGATCTTTCAAAAGAGAAACACAAGCAAGTCCTGTTGAACTAATTAATAATAATGTTGATTCATAACCATGTCTATTTCATATTAATTATAAATTTCAGGTTGCTTTTGGCTTTTGTTTTCCAGTTTGCTGGCTGTAGTTGGCAGTTTTCAGCTTACATACAAGTACACACTTAGCAGACGGCTAAATGAGGGGCTTACCTAAAGCGGGCTTCCATCTGAAGAAATCTGAAACGTAACTCTATTGTAATAAAAAGAGAAAAAAAGGAAAAGAGAAAGTAAATGTTAGCAACAAACGTGGGCTGCCTTCCTACAGGAGAGATTCTGTAGCAAATCAAACCGGCAATACCAGCTTTTCAAACATCTGTATGAAGTTTTCTAGTTTTTAAAATGTTGCTCGGAGCTGCGAGAGCTCTGCGGGTGAAGTTACCCACAGATTCCTCTGGCTCCGGCGAAGTTGCAGGAGCGAGAGGCCGGGAAGAGTCATTCCCGAGCGCCAAGCCAGACGATGGGACTGTTGTGCTCCCCTCAGCCCCGCCGGGAGTTCCCGCCGCACCCAGAGCCCCTGAGGCAGCCGCCGCCCCGGACCCCCTGCGCCCCCTGCCCCGCTCCGCTACCTGAACGACCCCCATGAGCCGGGCGGGGCGGATCCTCAGCGCTCGGAGCTGAAGCGGGAACCGCGGGCGGAGCGGGGAACGAAAACGAAAGCGGGCGGCGGAGCGGGAAGCGAAAGCGAAAGCGAGCGGTGGATCATGGCGGCGGCGCCGCCACTGCTGGTGGGGCTCAAGCCTGCGCCCGCCTCCGGCGAGAAGGCGAACCTCAAGCTCCAGGCATACTTCCAGTCGAGAAAGCGGTCGGGGGGTGGCGAGTGCAACGTGCGCCCGGGCCCCAAGCCCAACACCTACTGGGTGCACTTCTTGAACGAGCAAGGTATGGGACGGGAGTGGGGACGGCTGTGAGGGGACTGGAAATGGCCGCCGAGGCACCACTTAGAGTCCCGGGGCAGGGCGGCTCCGGGGCCCCTGGTAACTATCACGTTTTCGGGTAACTTTATCAGCATTATTTGCCTTTGTCCAAATTCATTCGGGATCTCATTGATGCATATAAATGTCTCAAAAGCGTGCCAGTGGTAGCCAGTGACAGAAGGAGCAGGGGGCATAAAATAAAACACAAGACGTTTCACGTTAACATGAGGAAGAATTTCTTTACATCGAGGGTGGCAGAGCAGTGGAACAGGCCACTCAGGAAGGCCGTGGAGTCTCCGTCTCTGGAGACGTTCCAGGTGACCCTGCCTTGGAACTGGGATTGGGCGGGATGATGTCCAGATACTCCTTCCAGCCATAACAGTTCTGTGATTCTGTCATTTTAAAATTACCACAGATAGGAAGAGTGTGGAATCCCGCACAAAACACACCTTGGATTTGGGTACAGAATGCCTGGAGATAGTCATCCTGCCTGGAGAAGGGGACTCGAGCAAGAACCAGCTTACAGCGCAGGCCTCTGTCAACTGCAGCGTCGCTGCCAGCCCTTCCCTGCCCCAGCGGGAACAGCGGAACAACGGTGGCTTTGGGGCCACAATAAAGGAAGACCTTACCAAAAAGGTACATCAGGAAGAGCTTGTCACAACTGCCCTGCTTGTAGTTCCATGAGTCCTCTATGTTGCACTTTAATATTTTGTGCCAAAAAAATGTCAGTTATGTGATCTTAATAAAATGGGGTCCAGGAGTGACATTTGAGAACAGACCAGAGGTCAATCTACACGTCATACAGGCAGCATTTTTCCAGCCTGACTCTGCCAGATGCCGACCACTGTTCCCCAAAGCAGCACTCTGGCAGGTTTCAGGGGGTAGTATGCATCAAGGGCTGCTCCCAAAGTGTAGAAGAATTGTATGAGATTTGATCTTTCCACCTACACAGACCTCTAACGCTCTTCCATCGTTTGCACCTTGAGGCAACCCTAATTATCTCCCTCCCTTACTTCAGCATTAAAAAAGTCTGCTGTGATGTGATGTAGCACCACAAGTATGATTTTAGACACTTTGAACTAAAAGTTACACAGAAAAGATCAGCTGTGTTTAGGGACAAGGGGTAGGGCTACATGGTGTGGATACGGCTCTACCAAGATGCTGATATCTGGCTCAGAGGGTTTTATACCCTGTTTTGCATGGTAACATAGATGTAGCTTTTGAGGTATAGCATGTGCTAACATAGCATTTACCTGGCATCTATACTGCAAATTTCCCTATCCTCCTGTCTGTATAAAATAGAGACGTGAACATGTATGTTACTATTTTTCAGAATCTTGCTTTCTGCCCTAACCCTTGGAGTTATTAAAGCATGACTTCTGGGAAAGTTTTAAAGAAAGATAATAAGTGAAAATTATATAGTCTAATATTAATAAGATCAATGAAATATAACTTATAGGTCATGTTAAAACATGTTGTGTCTGTGTAACCTGGCTCTAAGTGGACAAATAGATTCTTTTGGGGATCCTTGGCAAAATAATGGTGGCACTAAGATGTCATTACAATTAAAGTTTTTTGCTTTTTAAAAAGAGTTTATCATTAGCGTAGCATAGAGTTAATGCTCAGAATACCACAGGATTTCTACAAACAGAATCAGTGTAGGACAGTTTTATAAGTAGTGTAGCACTGTGTTTGATATTTGATAGCACAGCTTAGCTTATGGTTTCTAGTCACATGGACCCTCTGCAAATCATGTCAAATCTTAATACTTGGGTTGCTGTATTGATAGAACAATCACAATCTAGACTTGAAAACACATAAAAGCATATGGGTCATCCAGTCAGTCCTCAAAGGAAGCAGAGGGCAGTGGAAGTCTCCCTGGACACCAAGGGGTCCCATGGGTTTCACTGACCAGCCACAACTTCGGTGTGAATTCCCAGTTAGGACTTGTAACTGGTTGATCTTGTAGGCAGTGCCATTAAACCTGCCTGCTCTGTGATAGGGTCAACAGCAGCTGGTTGGCAGGGTAGCTGGGACCTTCAAGGCCAGTAAGGAGGGCACCAATTAGCCTGATGCCCAGAAACCTTGAAGATGATAGGGGAGGAAAATAAAAATCTGTTTGCTTTGTCTACTTGGTATGCAGGACTTTTAGGGCCTGGTAATGATGGGAAAAGGGCCTAACACACAGTGAGCTCAGCTGCAGAGGTTGCCTGCCTTTAGTTACGCTAATCCTGCTGTCAGAGGTTGGGAGCAGAGAGTGCTGGTCACAGTCTCAGCCTAAGTAGCAGAGTTATTGTCCTTCCTCCTGCAATGCTGGTGACATTAAGACATTTCATTTTTGCTGCTGACTTAGAAGCAGTTTGTGTTACTCACCTGCTTGTATTGTTAGTGTACACAACATAAAGAAATACCGTGTGCAAACTTGTTTGTAGTGGTCTGGCACTACTGGGGTGGACAGAGCTTCTCCTTGCTGAAAATACAGAAGTAGCAGGCAGAGAACCTTAGAGAAAACTAATGTTGATGTATTCTTGTCTTTTCTTTAGATATTTCTTACAGTATCTGCTACTTTGAATACCAGTATGTTCACTGAAGACCAAAGGGAGAAAATTGCCATTATATGTCCAAACTTAAAGAGAGAAGGAAACCCTGCCATGGATGGCTCTGAGAAATTGACAGGAGATTTTACAGATATTGAAAAAGCTTATCACTACTTTGAGGATATCCTTGCAGGCAAAGACCCAAACCATGATTTTTCACATTCTAAATGTGAGAATGGTTTGGAAGATAAGATTGGCCTGGATACTGAAGAAATGGATGAGTTGATTGTTGGGACAGCTCTCTATGAGTATTTTAGTCATACCTGCAAAGAAGAAATCAAAGAGCTACACAAAAGGTTTGGAGTGTGTATAACAACTAAAGATCATGATGAGAATAACACATTAATACACATATCTTCTGGTAAAAGTCCTGCATTATTACAAGCAGCTAGAGATTTTTTTATCAACATTTTTCAGGGAGCTACAAAAGATCTGACAGAGGAAAAAGTTCCCATAACAAACAGTTACACATTAAAAGAGACAATAATGAAATTAAATAAAATGTTTAGAAATCTTCTTGCTAAAGAGGAAGGGAATTACTTGCTACTCCGTGGTCCAGGGAGTGAGATTTTAGTTGCCAAAAAATTTCTAGCAGAGGAAGATGAGAACTGCCAAGCTGATATGAAAATATCATCTGAATGCTACAAATACAGGAATGGAATTGAAGTTGATGCTTCTATGTTTAAATTGTTGGAAACCATATTAACCAAAGAAATTGAAAACATAAATGACAAATTTGATACACTGGTAGAAATAAAAGAGAATTCATATGGCCAGAAGGTTATAATATTTAGGCCTAAACCCAAAACTTCTGATATGTCATCACATGCTACTGAAAGTTTCATCAGTGCATTTCAGAGTGCCTCTGTAATGTTAAGAGAAAAAAGCATGAAGCTTTCAGAAGATCAGAAGAAAACTTTAAATAAACTACTTAATGCTAAGAAATTTGAAGATTTTAATGTACAACTTAAGAAGAATGAAGACAAGTTAATCATAAGAGGCTTACCAGACAGTCTTTATGCTGCTGAAAAGTACATGAAGGGTTTTAACATTGAAGACTCAACACAAACGAAAAATAGGGCACCAATGTCCTCTGACCTCAGCTCTCAAGAAGCTACAGGAGCATCTAAGAAGTCCATTGTTAGGCGAAAGAACAGTCTTTCTACTGGAGGACAGACTCAGGCAAAGACAGAAGAAAAGGAAGAAGATGAATGTCCTATTTGCAGGGACAGAATTGAAAATAAACAAATACTAGAAAAGTGCAAACATGCATTTTGCAAAATTTGCATTGACAAAGCCATGACTTACAAACAAGTTTGTCCTGTTTGTAATACTGTCTGTGGAGTCCTGATAGGAAACCAACCAGAGGGAACAATGTCAACTAAAACAATCAGTTTCTCTCTTCCTGGTTATCCCAATTGTGACACTATTCAAATTGACTATGCTATGAAGGGTGGTATTCAAACTGTAAGTATACTTAAATATTTCTTAAAGATATTTTTCCCACAAGAAAACCAATATTGAATATAAAATTAATGATTTTCCCATTATTTTAATGCATGTTCAGACAAAACTTTTGTTTTGTACAAATCTGCAAGTATTTAATTCAATATTTTTGGCTGCAATTAAGTAGATACAGTAGGAATGAAATGATAAGATGGTCAGCCTCCATTTTATATGCACCAGGACAGAGATACCTGTCTTTAATTTGTACATTGGGAATAACTGAACTGAAATCTATGTAGTGATATCATATAAACAAAGTTTTGGGAGTATAATGAGCATTTCTGGAGCATTCTCTATGCTGTGGATGCCAATGGACAAAAATAAATAGTGGGCTGGCTTGGTGAGAGCTTTCCAGGTGACAGAGCTCCTTATGTTATGTACTTGGGTTGTTGTCCAGGACTGAGAATGGAGTAAACTAAAAATTCATGGGTGTAGCATCATGCATTTACAAGAGAAAAGTTGGAAAAACAAATTTAAAAAAAACAATGGATGCATGAACGATGGCAAAAAAGTCCGAATGAAATTTGCATGAAAGAAAGTATATAAAGAGAAAAAAACTCAGAATCAAATATCAGTCATGCTACATTTTTCTGTATGATTTAGGATGTACACTGTGTTTTTGTTTTGTTTTTCTACAAAACAGAGCAGCCATCCAAACCCAGGGCAGCGTTATGGGCCAGTTCACCGAACAGCGTATTTACCTAACAATGAGGAGGGGCGAGAAATTCTGCAGCTCCTTAGAAGGGCCTTTAACCAAAAATTGATTTTCACAGTGGGGCAGTCACATACTACTGGTGAACAAAGTGTTATCATATGGAATGATATTCACCACAAAACTGCCATAAAGGGAGGACCTACCCAGTAAGTACTCTTCTCTTTATGCAATATTGTTGCTACTCAGATGTGTCAGGAAGGCTGCCTTGAATATTTTCCACATTTAGAGCTTTGAGATTTTGTCACTAACAGAGTGATTGTGGAATGCCCTATGGATCCAGATGTTAATCACCTATTTGGAGAGTTGTAACAAGGATGAGCTTAATGTTCTGCTGCCTTTCAGGCTACTCATTCACCAATGAGTTTTAAGTTAGTTAATAACTGCTTTGATTAGAATATACAGGACAACAAGCTCTTGATGATACCTAAGGCTGGACTCTTCTATGCCTCTGCTGTTACCTGCTGTTCTGCACCAGGAGGTGCTGGTCCATTATGATCCTGGTAAAGATGTCACTCAGACTTTGTAAAACATGATTTGAAATTCTGCTTAACAGAGCTAACAGCAGGAAGTGAGATTGTAGTACAGATATGGTCATGCCCTTCTAGATGCTAGGAACCATGAGTTGTGCAGCACCTAGTGGGTCAGGGCACAGGACACAGTGCCAACCCTATCCATAAAAAAAGGTTACCCCATTTTGGCCATTGAAGCTGTCAGAGGATATTCTGAGTAGATGACAGCCCTATCCAGCATTTCTTGAAGACTTGCTGCACTTAAATGAAAGGAGCAACCGCCAGTACTTAGTGTGAGCTGCCTGCAGCAGAGACAACAGGGAGTCTTGGACCAGTCCTTCCAAGCTTGTTGCAGCTTCTAAGGGGCAGGTGATGTCCTGCAAGCTCTAAAGGCTTGTGTCTAGATCCTCCTGACTGTGTTAGGGTCAAAAAGAGCAAAAAGTATCAGTTTTACTTTATCCTCCACTCTGTGCAAATTCTCTTTATTGTTTATCACTTGCTTTGTATGCAGTTCTGGTGCTGCACTACTTCAAGTCCAGAGGTGCCATTATGTTTCTGATTTGAATGCTGACTTGAATATGCTTCAGGTCTGATTTTCTTTTTAAAAAGATGTATACCCAAACACCCTGTCATTTTGAAGTGAGACTCAAGGCAGCTTTCAAGTTCGTAGTGTCAATTTGAACAACAGAATGTAGCAGCTCCTTAAGTTTGTAGCTTTAAGCTGTCTGTATTACTTCTGTGACTGGCAGTATGGGTCTGTTTTCTCTCTAGGGCAAGAATGCATAAAATTTGTAAAGAGATTTCTAAAAATATTTTGATGAGATGGTTCTGTAGAAATTGTCAAGTGCTTCATTGCAGAAATAGCCCAAACTATTCTCTTCTTCTCCTAGGTTTGGTTACCCGGATTCTACTTATCTGCAGCGTGTTCGATCAGAATTGAAAGTGAAAGGAATTGAATAAGGAAATCTATCAATTCTCAACTCTTAAGTCTAATAACTGAACATAAAGCAGTTAATGTACTATTCAAGCTCTGAGGGAAGTTAATTTGTTTAACTGCCAGACTTAAATCACTTCTACAGCTAAGAAAAGTAATCTTTTCTCATCAAAGAATGTATGTTCTTTCCACAAGTCATTTACTTCCCTATATATGTAGCCTTTGCAGAATTTGGTTCTTGTGAGTGTAGTATCAGTACTGTTTGCACTTTGTATATCTTGCTTTACCAGCAAACCTGATCTGCACTTTTCCCCACACCTCTTCAGTCTGATTTCCAAAACCCTTAGATCTACTACTGGCTTTTATTAGATGAAACACTTCTCTTAGCTTTGCATTATGATGTCTGTCAGCATGGCTAGCATCATGTAACCCATCTAATCAAAAAATTGTATGCAGCTATGACAGTGTTAGCTGTCATAAGGCTATAGACCTTTGCTTCTTTTCATGGTAGAAATGGCCTTAGTGATTTGAGTTTTGCACATGAAATTAGCCATGGATCACGTACAAGAGAGTGCATGGATACTACTGTGTTTTCAGCTCTGCAGAAGTGCTGAGTGCTGAGAGCTGCATTGGAGCAAACAGGAAGTAACAGTGTCTGTGGCCATATCTGATAGTGGGTTCCTGGTTCTGTGCCTGCAATTGTGCTTGAACTCAAATACAACTTTTAAATCGGTTCTTCAACTGTAAAACTGTATTCTTTCAATTGCATCCAATATAGGTTTAAATTGTATCATTAAGCTACTCTGCAGTGCCTAAATAACCTGCTAATTACCGGTGGTGGTGGTGTGTCACACACACAGACATAATTTTTAGTGAGTTGAACCATTTCTCTAAGGCTATTGAGCACTAATAGAGAAAATACAAAAATACTATGTGTGTTTCTGCATTCTTCTGTACAGATTTTTCCTCCTTTTTGCAATACATATAGCTGTATATATTTTTTTAATTTAGGAGCTTCCCTGCAATACCATGTTTTGGGGCAGTTTGGACTCTGATAATTGTAATGAGAAAGAGGGAGGTGGGAGAATAAAACCCAGGAGAAACAAGTGATGCACAGTACATTTGTTCACCAGCCGCTGACCGATGCCCAGCCTGTCACTGAGAAGTAATCGTCCCCCTCAGCTGCCTGCCCCCCGTTTCTATTTCTGAGTGTGATGCTCTGTGGGATGGAATATCCCTTTGGACACTTTGGGTCACTTTGGGACATTACCCATGCTCCTTCTCTGCATCTGCTCGCTCGCAGAGCATGGGAGAGCATGTATCTGGGCTAGTTGTGGGGAGGACAGTGCATTAGGAAGTAACAGATAAATCAGTCACCCACCAAGAAACAAAGGCGGCCCCATCGGTCACTTGACAGAGTGTCTGATGATACCTAGGCTTAGCTGACTGCTGAAAATCTTTAGTGACATTTGGTTATTTATCCATTTCTTCAGTGAGCATTCAGTGAAGTTAGGGGGGAAAACTTCATTTACCTGCTATTTTAGTGTCCCATATTTGGCCAGAAGGGTAAAATACGCAGCACGAAATAGCTGCAAACTAACCTTTGCAAGGGAAAGTCCTGAGCACTCAGCTGAAAACTTCTCAGCTAGCTGACAAGTTGGTCTGAAGTAAACACTCATTGCAACCTTCCACGGTTGTGGAAGCATGTTTGGCAAAGAATGATGAAAATGGTAATTTTACTTTGCATCATGACTTCATTTGAAAGGGTAAGGCAGGAAGAGCGAGTGTTAGCCAATGGCTAGCCATTATAAGTTCAGGGGCTGAAAACACTGTGACGCTTGGTTTTTGTTCGGCTCTGTGGAGGCACAAGGGACAGTGCAGCCCGGGCGCGCTCCGAGGGCGCTGAGAGGCCTCTCCTGCCCCCGTGAGGAGGAGCGGCGGGGCCCGGGGCTCCCTGCCGTCCCGATGGGCCTGGAGGAGGGAGGCCTATTCCTGGCACAGGGCGGAGTCCCGAGCACACGCTGCCGCCGGGAAGTGAAACTGAAAGCGGCGGGAAGAGGAGCCGTCGGGCAGCCATGGAGGGGCAGCGGCCGTGCGCCTTCCCGCTGCGGGTGCGAGGGGACTGGGGCCCCGCCGAGCCGCCGCCCGCGCTCAGGAAGAAGCTGCTCTGCTACTTCCAGAGCCAGAAGCGCTCGGGCGGCGGCGAGTGCGAGCTGCGGGTCGGGACCGACACCGGGACCGGACACATCCTCGTCTGCTTCGCCTGCCCCGAGGGTGAGCGGCCGGGCCGGATGCTGATAGCGATGCCCGCGGCTCAGACGGGCGGGGGGCGGCCGCATCCCCTGACCGGTGCCTGTTCTGTTGGCAGTGAGGGAGCGAGTGCTGCGCCGGCCGCTCCACGAGCTCGTGTTGGGGTCCGGAGAGCGGCTGTCGCTGCAGGTCACCGCGCTGGCCGCGGGCGGTGACCCCGCGCAGGTGAGGCGGGCGCGGGTGAGGTGGGCGCGGGTCCGGCCGGGCCGGGGAGGGACCGCGGGTGACCGCGCTCCTCTCGTTCCCTTGCAGGAGACGGGACCGGCCGGCGGGACCGAGGCGCCAGGTAGCAGCTGCGGCAGGAGCCGCGGGGGGCTCCGGGGCTGGCGAGGCACCGGCCGGGGAGTCCTGCGGAGGAGCGGGGATGGGGAAGCAGGCGGAGCCGCTTGCTTGCCCGGGCCTTGTGAACGGCGCTGCAGGGCTTTGATTCTCCTCCCAGCGCTCCCCTTAACTTCCCGAATCCCAAACATGATGTAATTCCTAAGGTACAGCCCCCAAGCCACATCCCAGGCACCGGACAGACCGACCACGCTGTCACGGCTAATACACACACACACATGCACACACACATACATGCACACACAACTAATCAATACACACACATACACTGCACAATCAATACACACACATAGGACTAATCAATACGTACACATACACAGCTAATCAATATGTAGCTATCAGTACATATACGGTATCATATATTGATACCAATAGTACGTATCAGCAATCCATATATACAGGGCTAATACACATGCAGCTCACTGAGCTCTGCTTCAAAGTACCTGCATGCGCATAGTGGGGTGATTGTGCAGGTGAGGGCTGAGGGCACAGGCTGGAAAAGCAGTTTGTTCAATCTGACCAAGTCTTTTGTTTTCTAATGTAGCTGCATTTCCTCTTGTTCTAAACTAGGAAGTTGAACAGTCATGCTGAGTCAAACACATCCTGACAGAGGCTCTTCCAGAGGTCCCAGTTTACAAAGGTGCTTTCCTCCTAAACACAGATGTCCTCATCACTACTTATGTTTAGTGCAGCTTTTGTGTGAGGAAAGTGCTGTAGTGCCTGGCAGGACCAGGTAGGACCATGGTAGGACCATGGCAGGACTGCTCATGCTGGTTTATGCAGCATGACTCTGTTCTGACATTATGCCCAAGGCTTCTTGAGCTCAGAGTGTTTCTGTAATCAATTCAACATATAGTTTAAAAAGAGGAATCGGTGGAAGGCTATGATTCTGACAGTGTTAAATGAAACTTAATTCAAGTACCCAGCAACTGAAAAACCATTGTCATTTATCTCTAGTTAATGAATCCCAGGTGTCTCTTCCCATCCTCCAGAATAAGAAAACTCCTGTGTTTACTCAGCGGGAGAAGACAGGTAAGTGTGTAACTTACCCAGTGGTGACCATTGTATTGCTTCTTTGTTTTTTTGGATCTTTCTGCTGCAGCAGTGCCCTGGTCACACTCGTGGCTTGTGTTGTTTGTCTAATGTAGTGTAGGAATTGTGATCCCAGACTAAAATAAATAAATGTATTTTTTTCCTTTCTGGGAGTCCCTTTAGAGCCCCTACTTCACTGGCTGCCTCAGACAGGTCAGTTCCTTAGGGGACAGCAGTGGATGCTGGCCTTTGTCCTGGCTAAGGCTGCCCCTACCCAGACCTTCCCAGCTGCTGCCAGCCTTGATGGGGCAATCCTGTGCCAGAGCATCAGGAGCTGTGTACCCCAGGTACACCTGATTAGCCACGGCACCCAGCAGATACATACCCCAGATGACCCACAGCAATGTCTGGAACTGTGAATGGGCAGCACTAGTTCCCCTCATTGTGTGTTTGTGAAGAAGCTTTTGTATCTTTTATTTCTGCTGTCCTTGCCTGATGATGAACTGAAGCATTTCCTCCCTATGTGTTGATATGGCAACTCCCACTAGTGATATGCTTAACTTCTTTCAGATTCTTACCCTGTTCTTTTCCCTGACCTTAAGTATGATCTGAACAAAAAGTGTTGTGAAAGCTTGGAAGATAGGAAGCTTGGTTTTTTCTTAACTTTTGCCTAAGGCATTAGGGTGTGATTTTTTATTTCAGAATCATGTGAGAAACTGGACGCAGAGAAGGCAACCTCTAGGAATTCTGCTATAGTAGTAACTACTGCCTTTGGGGAGGAAATAGAAGATGAGATTTTGGAAATGTACTTTGAAAATAAAAGGAAGTCTGGTGGGGGGGTCATCGAGTCCTTTGCCAAAAAAGATCAGCAAGTGATCATCACCTTTCAGGATGAGCAAGGTAGGTTATGGGTGTTATACTGCTTAAGCTCCCTTTTAAAAATAGGCCTTTGCTGGTGCAGGATCTCTTTGTGGGCATTGCTTCAAGCAGAAATGGTGTACTATTGCTATTGTTTAACACACTACTCTGCTGTGATATCTCTGTTTTTCTGTGGGACTAGATGCTCAAGAAGTTTTGCAAAGAAAGCATCACTTGGGTAAAATTGATCTGGTTGTGAAGCCGTGGCAAGTGGAGACTTCCCAGGAGTCATGCCAAGTGGAGAACTCTGAAGGCTCCCTGCTTCCCACCGCAGTTGTGCTGGAAAATGTGAAGGAGACAACAACAGATTGCATGTTAATTTTGCTGGTAGAGAATGTGAGCGGATTGTCAGAGGATGACGGTGACTTCAGTGTGGAAATGATACCTGAGTTATGTGCTGCTGTAGTTACTTTTACTAGAATTATTGGTAAGAAGGAGTCAAGAGTTGAAGCTCTTTCTTATTAGCTACATGTTTTTGTGCATGCGTGTGAGTGAGATTAAGCTGGAAGTATTTTCTTTCATATTCTTAAGGTTTGATATGATATTGTGTCCTTTTAAAGGAGGATTTACTCTCCTAAAGTTAATGCCATAACATTTATCTGTGAGGTATATAGGCCAGTGCAAGTTAGAGCTAGCTCTGGCTTGGATAGTAAACATAGCAGATAGGACTAAAACCAAACTGTAACTTAAAACAAGCAATGAAGGATGTACTTGGTCTGAGAGCAGATCAATGGTAAAAGCTGTCATTGCAAAAAGCTGTCTTTCAGAGAAGGTGTAGGTTTTTCTGCCTTAGAAATTATTTTTCTCTCAAGTCATGCTCGAGTCCTAAATTTTTGGTGTAGCCTTTAGGAAATAAGTAGATCTTTAAGAAATTTAATTATTTTTGCTTGACAGATGGAAAAGTGACTGTCTTTTACTGTGAGGATAACAGGGGGGAAATAGCCAAAATGACAATGTATTTATCATAAAATGGAGAGAATTTGAACTGTTAACTTGTGTCTTATCAGTTGTGTACAAAGCCATAACCCAAAAATGAACCTGATCTTGTTTTCTGCTGGGGTTAAAGAAACCCAGTGACAGTAGCAAAACTAGCGGCAAATTCTGGCTGCGGTCATTGTAGTCAACAGTTGTGATCAGCCATGAGGGAAATATTAAGTGACAGATACTGAATATGTGGAAAGAAGTAGCTTTGTGGGCAGCTCTGAGCTAATTTTGTAATTCATTGCTTTGATAGTGCACACAGTGATAGTCTGCTAACATCATGGTAGAAAAACAAGCTCTGAGTTTGATCTTTTTTCTTCTCCTTTCTCTTTCTAGATGCAGAGGAATTTGCTGAAAAGATTAATCAAAACCACAGAGCAAGGAAACAAAACATTACTGCACGGTGCCTTGAGCAAACAAAATGTGTTCGGGCTGAAAATATACCATCCAACACCCCCAGTGACTATATAACCGTCTACTTTGAAAATGAGAAATACGGAGGTGCGCGAAGGGTGGATGTTCAACAGCTGCCTGATGAAGAAGCAGCTATCATTACATTTGGTAACCAAAAAGGTAATGCAGAAATGCAGAGCCCTTATTTCTTTGAGAACCTATCACTTAATGACTAAAACATGGATTTTCTAGAGACATGCATCCTTTGCCCTTGTAAAACGGCAGGTCTGGTGCTTTGCCCACAGGTCTCGTGCTAACTGGGGTGCAGCCTTCAGTTTTGGACCAGCTGGGCATAAGGCATAGAATTTTTTCATTTTCTAGACAGTTTATTTCACCCAGGCCTTGATCCTTACAGAGTTCAGGTTGCAGTTTGAGTTCTGTGGAGAGTACACAGCTCTGCAGGCACAGGGGACTTCCCCCATCTACCATGTTGACCACCAGCTGCCCATGGCAACATGTCCCATCTGGCACATCTCAGGACAATTTCTTGGGCAGCTTTTTGGCCCAGAGCAGGTGCTATGGGTTGTCCACTCAGTGGCAGAAAGATGAATGACTGTGAGAGGTGTAGGACAAGGGAGTAGCTGGAGGCATTGCAGTGAAGGGGAGAAATGAAGGGAGGTTGAAGGAAAGAGATGGTCTTTTGGGGGAAAACAGAGGAGCTGTGGTTTGAACTGCTGAGTAATAGCCCAAACAACTGTGGAGCTGGGCACTTCAAGTATAGCATATAAGAGAAGTAGGGGCGGAGATTATGCACACCTCCTCCCAGAGGTGGATGCTGTTGTGCTTGACCGTCTCTCTTCAACTTAGCTTCTGGGATTTAAAATAAATCTTCAAAAATCTGGAATTATTTCTGTCTGGGAAGGGGAGGAAAGTAATCTAAAAATGTTCTTAAAAATAACTAACATTATTATATAGAAAATACAGTTTTAAAACCCCCAAAGAATGAAAAAAAATCAAAACAAAAGAGATCTTAAGTGCTGACAATAACTTTGGGGGCTGTTTGTTTGTTTTAGATGTAGCAAATATCCTGGCAAAGAAGCATTCACTCAACAAAACACCAATCTTTGTCTATCCTTACTACACCTCACTGGAAACGGCTCTATATGGAAAGGAAGGGCCACAGATAAAGAAGCCAGATCCAATTACATTGCCTCTGGATCCCTATATCTGGAATTATTTGCAAGGAAATAGTAGCTTAATTGAGGCAATAGATCATGAAATGGCAAAGTGTAATTGTGTGCCAATGTGGCCTGATGCTCTCTGTGCAGATCCAAAAATTACTTTGCATCCTTCAGCTATTTTTTCAGAGCGAAAGAGATCAGTATCTCAATTGGCCAAGGCATGGAAAGAAAAAGTTTCCACAGCATTTTCACACAGCATATCAAAATACAAAGCACTTCCTTGTCGAGTAAGCACAGAGGTGTGGGAAGCCATTAGCAACAACTTTCCCCATGATGATGTTCTGATGATTCCACGTGCTTCCAAGGATTTACATGTTCTAGTAGGGGAAAAAGAAGTTGTGAAGGAGGCTGAACAGGAGCTGAAGCTTCTGATTGAAAAGGCCACCAGAGAAATTGAAAGAAAAAAACAAAGAACTGAACTGAAAGTCAAGACAGTGAGTCCAGGGGAATATGGAATTTTACAGGTAACTGGTCTTGAAGAAAAATTTCGTACAGAGTTCCCGGACTTGAAAATAACGTATGATTATTTTCAGAAGAGCATTAACCTATCTGGACTGCCTGAGGAAGTTTATAAAGTAAAAGGAGAAATTCTTGATTATGTACACAAAATGGCAAAGAAAACAATTAATATCCACCCTTACATTTTTCAGTTTCTAGAGCATATTGATAATGAAACTCTGTCACAGAGCCTGTTTATATCAAAACAAATTTGTGCCTTTTATGAGCTTGGTGTAGGAGAGATCATCCTGAAAGGGAGTGCTCCTGAAGATCTTCTAAAAGCAGAGGAAGAAATAAAGAAAGAACTGGACCAGAAAAGTATTACTTTGGAGGATGAGTCAGTCCTCCTGAAGGAGGAATGGCAGATGCTAGCCAAGGAAAACTGCTGTAATGGAGCTGTAGCAGTCACTCAGGCAGAGACTCAGATCATGATTGCTGGTTTTTCTGAAGCAGTAGCAAAAGCCTTTGAGGAACTTTCCAACTTTATAGATGAAAACACGCAGGTGCAAAGGGTCATTGAAGGAAAACCAATGGCAGTCATAAAGTTTTTTGAGAAAGAGAAGGTCGATGACTGGGCTGCCTTAGAAAAAAAATGTGTGAAAGTTGACTTTAGCACACAGAAAAACTGTCGAGTTATATCCTTGAGTGGGCCGAAGACAAAAGTGCTGGAGGGAGTCAGCTTAGTTGAGGGAATTCTGTCTGGCCTGCATTTTAAGCGTATGGTAATTGACTTGCCAGGAGCCAAGGCATATATAAAAGAGCAAGCACACCTTTTGGCCCCCCATGTAAAACATGTGTTCAAGTGTTTAGTCCTACTGGAAGAGCAGCCAGAAGAACAGCTGGAAGAACAGAAAGAACGTAGTAGCAGAGGCAAGCTCTATATGCAGGTGACCATGGGTGAAACTGTAATAGCGCTTTATAAAGCTGACTTGTGCACTCACCCTGTTGATGTTGTGGTGAATGCATCTAATGAAGACCTAAAACACATTGGTGGCCTTGCTGACGCCCTGTCAAGAGCAGCTGGCCCAGCACTGCAAGAGGAGTGCGATGAGCTGGTGAGGAAGCTTGGGAATTTGCACCCTGGTGACGCAGTGATCACACGCGCTGGGAAACTGCCCTGCAAGAACATCATCCACGCTGTTGGGCCCAGGTGGAGCAAGGAGAAATCAGAAATGTGCATGAACTTGTTGAGGAAGACAGTGAAAAATTGTTTAAAAGTAGCTGAAACACACAAGCATCGTTCCATTGCTCTGCCTGCTATAAGTGGAGGGATTTTTGGCTTCCCACTGAAACTGTGTACTTATTTGATTGTGTCTTCCATCAAGGAGACCTTGGAACAATCCAAGGGGAACAGCAGCTTGAAGGAGGTTCATCTTGTGGGTTTTGCACAGGATAACATTGAGGCTTTCAGCAAGGCATTTAGAGAAGTGTTTTCAGATTCTCCACCTTCCTACACGTCACTGCATCATATCAGTACAGTTCCTCAGCCTAGGCAGAGGAAAACTTTTGAGCATATTAAGAACTTCCCTTTCATAACAACTCAGGAAGGCCTTAACATCGTGCTGCAAACAGGAAGCATTGAAGATGCTACAGTAAGTGTTCTAAATTATCTCATATTGAAATATCAAATGGGTTCTTTTGTGTCTGTTTTAAAAACTAACCAACACGATACCAATATCATTGGTGAGCACCGGCATGAAACATGCAGCTGGTATTGCACTTCCTGTGGAGAACCAGTGACATTGATTCCCAGTTGTCTCCTGCACTGAATTTCTGTTAGCTGGGATTCTGTTACTGGGATCGCCAATACTGGAAGCAACTGCATCTGGGACCCTTCCTGTAATGGTGTGCAGAACCTCTGAGGAGTGGATGCCTCCCACAGCTTGTGCATGCAGCTCCTCCAGTTGGCCAGGGCAGAATATATGTTAAAATGTATATAGGGGCCCTTCCTGAGGAGCTAAATACAGGGTTTGACACAATGTTCAGTGCCCTTTGTATTTCTCTCATTCAAAAGTTACTGCTTTTCTCCCTTCTTTCTCCTTAGATTATCCCCACTCCTGTTTGTCTTCAGCATCTGCTTGTCCTCCTAAGCCAGCCATGGGAGGCCCTGCCTCTCAGTGAACTCAGATTTTGGTCTGCAAGTCTCTCTCATTTGAGAGCAAACTTGCACAAATGTTTTTCAAATGGAGGTAGAACGAATAAATGAGGAATGTGGAATTGTTATATTTCTCCCATTAGGCTGAAATTAATGTCATTGTTAACTCAGTTTTGTGTTTCTTTGGGCAGGCTCATGATAATAGAATTGAGCATAATTTCTGGTTAATTCCAAAATGTTGGTTGCTCTGGTTGCTGTCTGAAAAGTTTACCTTGTAAACTATCAGGCAGACTGTATTTGATTATCCAATGCAAAATTTAAATTTGATACTTACAAGCTAGAGTTTTTGCTTGTGTGTTTTTCAGACATCCATTGTTGTTGTCAGTGTTGGCAAAGATCTCCAGCTTGACAAAGGGCCTCTTGGTAAAGCTTTGCTAAGCAAGGCAGGGCCAATGCTTCAGACAGAATTGAAAAAAGAAGGTGGAGGAAGAACACCTGAGGAAGGATCTGTGTTGAAAACGAAAGGTTACAATCTGGCTTGCAGTGTTGTGCTTCATGCTGTGGTACCTATGTGGTCCCAGAAAAACACTCCTTCAAAGGTAAAAGGGTTTTTATTTGCCTAAATTTTTGTGGGATTTATAGTGTCTTTAATGCCACTTTTCCTTTGAAATGGGGGACAGTGTCAGAGAAGATAAGAGAGTTTGACTCGTTCTTTTTTAACTGTGGGCTGATCCCTTGTTGACTTACAAATTCCATGTGAATTCCTTGTGTATGGAATTAATTATATTTTAATACCAAGATAGCTGAAAGGGAAAATGTTTTATTACACATACTGGAAAAACCTCCAGTAACTGAAAAAATAATTGTGCTTTACAGGTCTTGGGTGACATAATCACAAAATGCCTGGAGATTGCTGAAGAACTGTCTTTGAAATCAATCACTTTTCCAGCAATTGGAACAGGGAATTTAGAATTTCCAAGATCTGTTGTTGCTAAATTGTTGTTTGACAAAGTGTTTGAATTCAGTGGTAAAAACAGAGTCAATTCTCTTGAAGAAGTTTACTTTCTGTTGCACACAAAAGACACAGCTAATATTCAGGTGAGTTACTGTGGTTTCCTGTATTACAGTATGGTGTATCTGAGTCTGTCTCATGATACTTGGCTGTCTGATGATCTTCAAAGACTCTGCAAGGTGCTTGTTCTTATACTAAAGAAAAGGTTTGCTGACTTTCATCTATACTGGATGTTCTCTTTTTCATTCTACCTCCCTTGGTCACCCACATATCAAGTACAGTCCTGCTCCCTTCCTATCCTTTTTTGTTTCCTGGGAATAATGCATACAAAAGTGTAATTACTCTTTATCTCATGAACTCACCTAATTCTTCAGTCTGTAGGTCAGAAAAGTTTGCTGTAACTCCTGCTTGAGTGCCTGCAACCTTGGAAAAAAGCTGTGCTTTTAATGGAGTACTGGTGTCCTTTTAGGAGGAATCATTGTGCTAGGATTGTTGTGCTGGTAAACTTTTTCAGTAGAAACACACAAATATTCTCCATCTCCCTCTCTTCAGTGTCCCATTAGCATAAATTTTCTATATCCACACTCAGGTTACTCATTTCACTCCAAAGGAGAGCCGTCACACTGTGAATTCATGTCCAGATAAGTGTTTATAAATCTGTTGCCTTCTGTACTTTGTGCAAGAGCTAATACATTTTGAAAGGCTAAACTTGAAGGCTGCTGCATCAAAGCCTGAACTGTTGTGCATAGAGAAGGGTGGTATTACCTGTAAGAGCTGAGCTAGTGTGAAGTACTCGCTGTAAGGATGCCTTCTGCTGCTGTATCCCTGTGGAATGGTAACCGGGGCTTTAACTCAGTTATTTTTGATTCTGTGTGTTGCTCACACTGAACAGCCTTGCTCTCTGAGAACAACATCTCTCAGGACTTGCCATCAGTATTGTGGCAGATGACGTTAAGTAGTTTGCATTTAGCTCTTTCTAAATGTTTTTAGCTTTGCTTTTCAAACCTTTATTTTGACTGTGTAAAGACTTCTACAGGGGTTGATTGTAATTTCATTCTCTAGGAATTTTCAGATGAACTTGAAAACAGGTCTGTAGCTGTTAAAGTGCAGAAGCCTTCTCCAAATGACACTAGCCAAAGCACAGGTAAGGTTTATTCACAGAAGCTGTGTGCCTACTGATTTTTTTTTATTTTTTTCAAGTATTCTAGGGAATGCATTCATTATGGATATTTAGGTACTTGCTTGGTGAGCATGTCATTCCCAAAGTCTGAGTGGCTGCTGTAAAGACAATATTTTCAGGCAGAGTGTCTGTTATGTCTGAAATAGTGATAGAGATGCTAAGAAAACAAGTGTTCCTGTGATTCCTTATCTGGGTAGTGCCTCTGCAAATTGGAACAGCAGAAGCTATAAGGTCTCAAGGGCATAAGCAGTGCTTTTACTTTTATTGCTGCAGCAGTAGATTAAACTGTGAACAAGTCTTTCTCTATCCTGGGAAGGCAGGTGAGATCGTGGTTATGTGTGTTAAAGTGGTCTCTTTGAAATACTCTTAAATTTTTTTATGTATTCAGATGAATAGCAAAACCAAACTGAAAAGTCTTCGGTATTATCCATCTTAATGGAACTGCAGCCTGTAGAAAAATGAGTTACATGTCAAAAACTTAATTATGATTTTACAAATAACACATGGATAAAAAGTTCCACCTTTTCAAGAAATAGAGAGCCTGCCTGGAAACTCTGTGAGACACAGGAGCAAAAGAGTGAAACTTAGAAAGTTTGTTTCTCTCTCACATTTGAGTTTTGCAATAATAAAATGTCACTAAGTAGTGTCTGCATACCAGATGTGCAGCAAAATACATTTTCCCTGCCATCCTGCCATGACAGAAATGATGGAAATGAGTGCAGGTTGAATATAGACTCCTGTGAGAAGGAATGATTTTCAGTTAGTATGGCAGGCAATCCTTTTCACAGGCTGAGTCTGTACCCAGACTGTGATCTCTGTAGGTGTTGTAATGAAGAAAAAGTCCCTTATCTTTTACATCATCACTTCCTTCTGCTCAGGGTCTGTATTTCTTTCTCTGCAGCTTTTTCTGCTATTTCTTCAACCTCAGCACACAATGCGCCTGAAATGACAATTGGCTCCATTGTGTTCCGGGTGGCAGAAGGTGATATTACCAAGGAGGAGGGAGATGCCATTGTAAACATAACAAACCAAGCCTTCAACCTCAAAACAGGTATTTTAATTGATATTATGTGGGAAGGAAATATGTGTGCTTGGAAGGGCTGGGAAAGAAGAGGAGCAAGTATTTTTCTTCAGTGCTTTAAAGCCTTTTGTTTGTTTCACAATTTAGTTTCTGTTTTGCTTCTTAGGGTACAAAATTTCAATGAGAAAGTGAAACTTTATTCACTTGTTAATCTATGTTATAGGACAGCATGTTTAAGACTCCCTTGCAGAGAGGAAAACCAATATTCTTTATATATATATAATCTTTTTATAGAACACCTCTCAGACTAAAGGAGGAGACAAACCTCAGTGAGGTTCTGACCTTAGTGAAACTTGTCAGGTACACAAAACATCAATTTGAATTGAAAAGCATATAAGGCTAAAATTTTGGTTCCAGTGTTTTTCATTTATAATCTGTAATGTTATCAGAATCAAGGTATTTTAGATGTGATAAGGCATACAGTTCTGCCTCAGATGTGACTTTAAGAACAGTAACAGTGGATTCATGTTGGTCTTTTCTTTTAAGGTGTCTCCAGAGCAATTCTGAGTGGTGCTGGAAAAGCAGTTGAAAATGAATGTGGTATACTAGGTATAGTACAACATTTCTGACCTTTCCAAAGGTGTTAATCCATAGCAGGGAATCTCTTGGAATACTTACTCAGTACTGACTACTGTAGTTCCATCTGTATTATGCACTGTGTTACAGCAAATAGTTTTTAATCAGTTAAATGTGGTATTTGTAAAACATCTAATGAGGGAAGGGGAAGAAAAATCTTCAAAAAGGAGACAGCTTCTAAGTATACATAAAGATCCAAATCTATTAGTTATTCCAGTAAAGATTTCCATGATAAAAAACAAATCAACATCAAACAGAGCCGTGAGCAAGGGGTGACGCTGGCAAAAATGTTAATAGAGAAACCATCTCTCACTGGAAACAACTGTGTAGCTGCAACTCCCTTTGTTATTTCTCAGTGAGAAGATGTTTCCTGTTGGCCTAACCAGTAACTCACTACCACATCCTCTAGGTGACTGCCTTTCAGTTGTGTTCCTGTGTTCAGCTGGGTTCCTGCTTCAGAAGGGACATTTATTTGTAGGCCAAATCCAGCTGTTGGACAGCAGCTATAATGAAAGAGGAGTAAAGATGGATGAGTACGTGCTTTAAAATGCCAGAAAATAAGGCAAGTGGGAAATATGCAGTTTGGAGGTCATCTTGGAAGACCAATCAAAGGAAAAGAATTATGTGGAAGACATCCAAGGTGAACAAGCTTCTCTTGAACAGGCCAAGAGAGTAATCTGGGCTAGGTGGCCTGCAGGTAGATGACATACTTATTTGTGTGTGTATGTGAAGACAGAGTGCCAGCCTGCATGAAGTTCTACAAGTTTACTGAGCAAACCTGACAAATAAAGGCACCCACTAAATTTATTTGCCAAAGGAGGCAAATATTTTACAAAACTAAAATGAGTTCTTGTGCCTTGGAAGTGAAAATTGAGCGATGGGGTTGCTTGCTTTATGGAAGGAGACACAAAGCTTATCCTGGGGCGTATTTGTCACCATTTCTTGTTTCCTAATGAGGACTAGTACACATCTATATTGGGGATAATTGTTGATTATTTTCTCCTACTTACATTTCAGCCCAGCAAACTGGCAACAACTATATCATCACCCATTCAGGAAATCTGCCGTGCAAAAAAATAATTCATTTTGTTTACCGAGATGATATCAGGTCCCTGGTTTCCCAGGTGCTCCAGGAGTGTGAACTGCGGCAGTATACCTCTGTCACCTTCCCAGCAATTGGAACAGGTCTGTGCCTCCCTTTTCTGAAAAGGGTTTAGTGCATGTGATTCAGCTGATCTCAGGGCTCAAGTGATGAGTGTGATTTATCTGGAGAGGTTATTATTTGCTGAAAATATATTTGGAAATACGCAGTCTTTAAAAATGTTATTGGAGGCTTATGAAAGCTAGAAAGCTTCTCTGCATCTAGTACATAAAGAGCATGAGTTTTCTAAAGCCAGCACTTCCTTGCTAACAGGGGTTGAAAGGTAAGTCTGCTTGCTGAAGAATGTGCAGCCTGGTATGTGTGGGCAGCTCATCAGAGAATAGCCAGCGATCTACTTCTCCATTGCTGAGATCAGTAGATGATGGAACTCCAGCCAGCAGCTGCACAAGTAGTGTTGATACAGATGGAACATGAACCTGTCAAAAAGCCCAGATTGTCCCTTTTTCTTCTCTTGTTATTTTCAGTTAGTTTGGTAGAAATCCCTGGAATTGGAGAATCCAGAACTGCACCACATGCATGTGGAAATCTCTTGCATGAATAAAACTAGGCTCGTATTTTGAGCAAGGAATGGACTAGTGGGCCACTGAGCAGCAGGCCTGTGGCCTATTAGTTACCCAAGCCATATCATCTCCATCATAACCTGACTGGTTGCCACACCAACAAAAGGAAACATTTTTCCCTTGCTGGAAAGGTGGTCCCCAACTTTCTTTTCCTGATAAATAGAAACCTTTCTTAATTGCCAGCCTGACGTTGTTCTCAACCTGTTCGTTATCCAGGTGATTGTGGGTATGTTCATAGCTGTTCTTTTAAAGATGTTTTAATCATCTGTAACAGTTACTAACACTTTCTAGAGCAAAATATCTGCAACTTTTTTTCAGGAGAGGCACGCCGCAATCCAGCTGAGGTAGCTGACAACATCATAGATGCAGTAATTGACTTTGCAAAAAGGAATACGGCATCATCTGTGAAAATTATTAAAGTTGTCATCTTTCAGCCACATCTGATGAGTGTGTTCCAAGCAAGCATGCAGAAAAGAGAAAAGTCTACTGCAACACGAATCAAATCGTTGGTTTCCAAGGCATATCACATGGGTAAATGTAAGTAGACGTCACTTAAGTACAGGTTATAGATTAATCTGTTTAGCACCAGCTAATAAAGAATAATATTAATGACAATATTTATGTATTTCAATGTAGCACTTTGGAGCTCTGAGAAACATTCCCCAAAGGAAAAAACCAAAGTGGTTTTGGAAAAGAAAATTGATCAGGCCGTTGTGCAGATTTGTGGTGAAAATGAAAAAGAAGTGGAAGAAGCTGAAAAGTGGCTGAGAAGTGCAATTTCAAGAGAACAATCTCAAACAGAAATTGTAGATGAATCTATCTCTCATTTTGGTGAAGAAGAGAGTGAAGAATTAGATGACCTACAAAAGAAATTAAAAATTCTTCTTGATTTGAAGAGTACCTCTATTGAAATTTCAGGGGTTACAAAAGATGTCTGCCTGGCTTCTTTAGCTGTTCATAAAATGATCCTCAGGGTAAAAGCTGCTAAAGAGGTCCAGGCAAAACTTTTACAAGATGCAGTTGAATGGAAATATTTTGAAAAAGATTCTTATGTGCCCTTCAACAGTCTCACAAATGTGGAGTTGGAAAATGCTTACAAGGGAAAGCAGAAAACTACTGAAGTCACCATTGGTGAGCAAATATACACAGTGGATATGGAACGTAAGACTGCTGTGGATGCCCAGGGAAGACAGATATCCATTATCCGAATTGACAAATCTGAAGGTGAGTAAAAGCATCTTGACAGACTGATCTTCCCATGTGAAAACCTGGTTGCATCCAGTAAGAGAAAGGAGAAGGGAATGATGAGAATATTTAAAATATATGTTAGGAGCTTTGTGCAGATGCTTTTCTGGAGAATATAGAAAGGAATCAAATTGGGAAATAAAAGAACTTAGCAGCTATTTAAAATACTTTGAGAAGAGAGTAATGCATTCTGATGTTCTTAGCAGGCTTACTAGCAATAATTTTCTTGTAGCAATTGTCATTCTACATCTCAGCTCACTTCTCTTCTTGAGCTGTGCCCTCTTCTATTTACTACTGGTCCTTTACAATACAAGGAGATACCTCTTTCTGAGTCATCCATAAGCAAGATGTATGGATTTCTAGAAGGATCTGTAGCAGGTCATGTTTAATTTTAAGCAGGGGATTTGGTTGAGTATGATTGATTGTATTCTTCTGCAGATCAAAAGTCAACAGTGCTCCCTCTGATGTGGGACCATATGGAAAATGAGCGACTCAAAATAGTGGAACTAAAACCAGACTCAACAGAGTATAAAGGTGTGCAAGAAAGGTTTCTGCAGACCTGTCAGTTATTCAAAATTGAAAAGGTAAAAGCAGGTAATCTTTTCTGAGCATAAATAACTTGATGGCAAGTGATGAAGGATACTGATAGCAACAGAAAAAGAAATTCCCCTGGGATTTCTAAAGTTGGACAAGTCTTTCTGGCTGTCACTAACTTTATTCAGCTTTAATCAGTTTAATGTTGCAGTATTGCAGCTCTTAAGCAGTCACTTCTTCAACTCCAGGGGAGAGTGCTCTTCCTCTGAATGTTTTTTTGCTGTAGCAGAGCACATCTTTTGCCCACATAACCCATGTGTACTTCGCAGGCTCAGCAGGCATCTATGGCCTGGAAACCTGTGAAAAGCTCCTGTATTGTTTCCCAAGAAGTGTTTGTCTCATGGTTTGGGCTGGGTTCTGCTATCTGCCATGCCAAAGTGTAGAAGGATCTGACTAACTTATTTATTTAATCATCTGGTATATGTGCATTGGAGCTAGATGGGAATCTTGAAAGCAGATTGAATGATTGATATGCTAATTTTTTGTGACATAATTCTACCCACTTGCTTTCTTTCTGTCTTACTTTCAAACCTCACAGATTGAGAGGGTACAGAACCTATATCTCTGGAAAAACTACCAAATAAAAAAGTGTGAAATGGATAAAAAAAATGGTGGCAGAAATAATGAGAGGCTTCTGTTTCATGGGACGAGTCAGGAGTCATTAATCTTTATTAACAACCATGGATTTAACCGGAGCTATGCTGGAATGCACGGTAATGTAACTTTCAAAACAACTTCCATTTTCCTGTATAGGGCTAGGACTGATTTGCCATGCCATGTATAGCCCTACCTTGTATGCAGAATTATTTATTTTGTTTTGTCTCCTTATTGCAAATAAAAAGCAGAGTTGTCCAGAGATTCACAGGCTCTGAAGGTGGCAGATAAGGAATTGCTGCTATTGAAACACTCACAAACCTTTGCTTTTCTGACTACAGCTGCAAACTTTGGAAATGGAACATACTTTGCTGTTAACGCCAGCTATTCTGCCAGCGACCTTTACTCCAAACCAGATGTGAATGGGAGGAAGTACATGTACTTGGCCCGAGTCCTTGTTGGAGAATATTCTCTGGGGAGAAAAGGATCAATTACTCCAGCACAAAAAAATATGAGCAACTCTGTAGATCTGTTTGACAGTTCAACTGATAACGTGCGCCAGCCATCCATGTTCATTATTTTTAATGATATTCAAGCTTACCCAGAATACCTTATCACTTTCACTAAGTAAGTGTTTCGATTGCAGCCACAGCTGCATGTCTTTCAGCCTTTATGGAGTTTTACGATGGAAACACCTGTAACAAAACACACAACAAAAATAATAAGGAATTGTGTCAAATTAAATAGTCTTGATTTAAACAATTGCTGGCAATTTCTGATCCCCCTGAAGCTTGTTTACCCTTGGAGCAGCTGAATGTATTAACACTCGAGCACAATATTGTACTGCAATCCTCTTTTAGATTCCGTAGAGAGCCTTTGTACTGTATCAGCCTTTCCACACAGCCTTAGGGCCTTCCTAATTGCTGGTGGGGAATTGGAAAGGATAATGCAGACATGGACTGTTCAGTGTGGCATTTCTGGTGCCTTCTTACACTCTGTGACAATCTCATAACGAATTATGTTAGAGCAGTTTTCAATAAATGAACCAGTTGTACTTAATGGCTTGTGTTTGTCTAAACCTGTTTGAACATTTAGCATTGTTTTTTAACCAATGAACTCAAATTAACTTGACATTACAGGTAGGGATTGACTTGTTTTTAATAGCACCCCCAACTTTGAAAAGCCCTTGTCTCCTCTCAATGTATTGGGTTTGAATTACTTGGTTGTATGATTAAGAAAAAAAAATCTTCCAATGCCTTCTTTGCATAGTTAGTTAGTTTACTGTTAAGTTAAAGTTTTACCATAGGTTGGTGTGTCTGTATGAGCACTGTAGGGTAACTGTGGCCAAAGGACACCTTTTCTAGGAAAGGTGGTATGAAATAATATGAATCTGCAAGTATCTCAGTAGAGTCATAAACCTCAGGCGGTGCATTTGCACCCATCCCATCATTCCTTCTGTGACGGTGCTAGAACCACTCCCTTTGGCTTATTTTACTTTTTACTGTTTCAGTTTTCTAACCACTGAAAATTGCTGACTGTTGAAATCAAGTGTGTTGAAATCAATTTAACCTTGAGCTGGAAGTCAAGGTTCTGGAATGGGGCCAAAATAAGTTTTGGTTGTACAGTGAATAATCCCCGTAACAAATACTGTGGCCAGTGGTTCATCAGCATGCCAGGAGCCAGAGGAGATGGCTCCAGGTGCTTCATTGCTGCTGATGGGTCACTGGAACCAGTGTGACCATTCTCTCCAGGAGCCAGTAATGCATCAGCTCTCAGCTTCCCCAGCACCAAGGGAGGACACCAAGGTGTTTTTTCATCAGTGCTTGCATTACAGGTGCCTAGGGCATCAAGCCTGGAGCAGAATTCTGTTACCCTGGCCTTTGTGCAGGTCCTGAGTTACAGAAGCTGCTTTTCCAAATGGGTTTATTCTAACAGGCAAAGGCCAGAGGCAGGAGCATACAAAGGGACCAAGAATTATTGGACAGCCTGAATTGGAAAGGATCCACAAGGATCATCAAGTCAAGCTTCTGGCCCTGCATAGCACATCCCCACGAGTCACACCAGGTGCCTGAGAGCATTGTCCAAATGCTTTTTGAATGCTGTCAGGCTTGGTGCTATGACCACTTTACTAGGAAGCCAGTGCACAACCACCCTCTGAGTGAAGAACTTTTTCCTGATAGCCAACCTAAATCTCCCCTGACACAACTTATTCCACCCTGATCTTGTTCCTCTGGCAGCAATGATGCAAAACATGGAATATGTAAAAACTTCTGTAAGGAACCATGCTCTTTGGTGAATAAATCTTTTTTATTGTACAAAGATCTTTTTGATCTTTGTACACTTTCAAGTTTAATAAACAAGAAAGGAGATTTCATCCAATAAATGGGTAGCTAGCAAGTAAGCTCTAACTGATGTCCAGGTGTCAGGAGAACATATTGCTTGTTAGTAGAAATGCCTTGTTAAGGTTTAGGGCTCAACATGTTTCAGTGATTTGAGACTTAGGAGGAAGTTAACAAATCTTGCGAAGAGTGATTTACCACTGATAGTGGGGACAAAGCATGCAGAATTTACAGGCCACAAGGACATTGGCAGAAGCCCCAAGATAAGACAGAAACTAATAAAGATAACTCAGGAAGCATGCTGAATCAGCTCTTACTGGGTTAAGGTAGTTCCAGCAAGAGGAGATTGTGACCACCAACTCATGGTCCACTGAGTCAAGAAACCCACTGACCCAAAAGAAGAGAAACACTGAGCATGGGATCTAATTGTCTTGAGAAGCCAAGACAATCATTACCCAACAGAATATAGAATACTAATTAATAAGAGAACTCAGTAACTTGTAGCCAATGAACAGTAATGCCATTTTGTGCTAAAATGTACAAAGAGAGACAAGTTTTGGTTGTCGCCATGCTGGCTCTGTGGATTTGCCACCCAGACCCCTCTCAACAGAATTGTAGATGAATCAAACGCCTCGACTCTGTGTGTGGATTGGCTTCTTGCGGGTGGCAGAAGTGCTCTTGGGACAACAGCGAGAAGGGCTGCCAGCCCCCGGCAGAGGAGCAAGCAGGGCACTTGATACGGCGAGGGAGTGCTTCAGCTGCTCTAGGGGAGAGAGGAGCGCAAGGGCGCAGGTGTGAAGCAGGGCCTCGGGCGGCGGGGCTATCGCGAGAGGCGGCAGGCGAGGCACAGCCGGCACACGCTGCCGGGAAAAGCCGCGCCCTGCCGGGGAATCGAAAGCGATAGCGGCGGGAAGAGGAGCCGTCGGGCAGCCATGGAGGGGCAGCGGCCGTGCGCCTTCCCGCTGCGGGTGCGAGGGGACTGGGGCCCCGCCGAGCCGCCGCCCGCGCTCAGGAAGAAGCTGCTCTGCTACTTCCAGAGCCAGAAGCGCTCGGGCGGCGGCGAGTGCGAGCTGCGGGTCGGGACCGACACCGGGACCGGACACATCCTCGTCTGCTTCGCCTGCCCCGAGGGTGAGCGGCCGGGCCGGGCCGAGGGGACCCGGCCAGGGCAGGGGCCGGGACATGGATTGGTGTGTGGGCTCCCTGCGGAGGTGTTGGGGTCGTAATTTACAGGTCTAAACTTTCTGCGGGTTAAAAGAAACGTACTTAGTTGTTGCAATATGGAATAGACAGTATGTAAACGTGGTGTGATTTTTGCAGGTGTCCTGTGCAGGTCCAATAGTTGGACTCGATGATATTTGTGGGTCCCTTCTAACTCAGAATATGACATTTACTTATATATATATGCTTAGCTTCTGGATTGTGTTTGGCATAAAGGCTGTAAGCGAATGAATATATCCTAGGAGGAATGTATATATACATACTCATTTTGATGCACAGTAGTATTCTCTAAACTGCACTCGGAATAATAAATCTTATGTTAATCTAACAATTAGATTAGTTACAGATATATATATAAAATATGGCGTCTTCAACATGCACATATTTTTATAAATTTGCAGCAAGCTGGAAAGGATTTAGCTGCAGTTGAGTTTAATGTATACATGCACATGCACGTATGTGCAGAAGCACACAGATACCGCTACCCATACCTATATACAATTTTTCCTTTTCTTGCCTTAACATGCTTCCCAGGTGCTGGCTCTCCCTTCTGGTAAGTTCAGGACATACAGCCCCAAGCCATTTCGGCGCTTTGTGGAAGAGGATGTTCAAGGCGTGGGGGGCCGGTACCGGGACTCTCCGGGTACCACCATGAAACCCGTGATAGAGCCAAGTTTTGCATCTCTGGCTGCTCTTCCTGTTTGTTTTTTAAGGAAGAAAGCCTTGCCCATACTGTGTCGGTGTTAGGAGTTTAAAGCTCTCATTTTGCGGGACAGTGTATCTGTACATCGTTGTTCCGGCCAAGGCGAGGTTAACTTTTCCAGGAGCCGGGAGGGGCCCAGCCAGCTCCCTGGGCTGTTCCATCCCACCGTAGCCACAGGCTGCGGGCTCGGAAAGGGCCAGAGTTTCTCCGGGTGTTGCCGAGCGCGGTGTCGGGTGAGCGGCGGCGCCTTCACCTGTCTTGTACACTCTGTTATCGGTGTTGGTGTTGTTCCCGCCCGTTTTTCTTACTTCATTGCTGTTTGTAGTCTATTGTTCTCATCTCGTCTTGTGATCCTTAATTTTGTGCCTTCAGTTCCCTTCTCCATCCTGCCGCGGAGGGGGGAGGGGGGTGGAGGGGGAAGGGAAGCGAGCGGCGAGGTCTGGCGTGTTTGGGTGGGAAACAAATTGCAGAACACTGTTCCTAAACCGCGACAGTGTCATGTGCCATGTAATGTAAAGCTGTGTTTCCGTTCAGATTTTCACAGGGCTTTTTTTGGTTTTATTTAGTCAAGCAACGAGTTCTTGAGAAACAGTCTCATCAGTTGCATTTGGGAGGAGGAGAAAAATTGAGGTTGATTGTCACAGAGCCTGAAGTGGCACTAGCTACTAAAGAGGAGACATGTGAAGAAAAATCAGGACTCGCAAAGGTGAATAAAAATTGTAATCCTAATCAAAGTTTTGAAATAGTGGCTAAGAGTGTCTAATCTGTCACTGACATTTGGCTTTCGTTTTATTTTAGGCTTTGGATGCCATGAGTAGCCTTCAAATAAAAGGTAAAATGTTATCCAACACTGTGTGCTGATTCTTCATAAAACAAAAATGTTGGGGCTTTTCTCCACACAGGGGTTCATGTTCTCCAAGTTGTCATCTGTTTTTTGGTTATGCTAGAGAGGAACTTGAAAATCTTCAGATCCTGCTCTCAATTGCTTCATTGCGTCAGCCTGGCTTTCAGTTTTGGCTTTTTGGTATTTTCTTCATTGTTCAGAGTGGAGGAGATGACTCCTCCAGTAGTTTAGAAATTAGTAACTAGCATCTGAAGAACTGTTGCTTCTTATTTCTTTAGTTTTCTTCTTGTTTATGGTGGTAGGCCTTCAAAGGCAGCTGTCTTCTGGAAATGTTATGGGTTTGGTATCAGTAGTTTTTGTACCTCGGTGAGCAGGCAGAGCCAGCCTGTTGGTCATTCCAGTCTGGAGATTCTCTCGCACCTGTGCCCTCATCTGTCTGCAAAGCTGGAGACGTGCTTGCCTCTGGCAGCCACTGGACTTCTGGGATACTCAGTGGGCACCTCTGTTATATTTTCTATTTGCAAAATGTTGTTGCATCCCTGTGAGCCCTTTGTGTGCATGGGCCCTCCAGCACTGTCATGCTGCACTGGTGGCAGGGCACAGGGGTTGTCAGGAGGCTTTACATCAAATCACACAAAACTACTGTCACCTATGGTGCCTGTGGATGTCCTGAGCTATGTTCAGGCTTGTTTTGCCTGCATGTGGGCTAAGAAACAGATGCAGAGGCTGCAAGGTCTCTCCCAACCCTTACCGACATCTGAACAGTTGTGGCCTATTATCTCAATGGATTTTAGTTCAGTTTAGCTTCTGACTCAGAGACATACCAATGACCTTGGACATGTTTTCTCCGGTCTGGTTTTGTGCCACCAAAGAAACTGCCTGCAGCCCTGCAGAATATTGCACCTGGGCTGTTTTAGTTCTCAAAAAGTTCAGTGGTACCCTGCAGTATTTGTTTGGTATTTATCTCTTGGGAAGGAAAAGGAGAGAAAGGGTAAGAAGAATCTGTTTATTCCAGGAAATGTGGACCAGCATTTTATGTGGCTTATCTTTCTACTGCAGATGATACACAAGGCTTGAAGAAAGCAGTGAGTGTTGCTTCAAACAGTGAACTCCAGGAGGAGGTTGGCTCTGGAGAAGCCTCACCTTTGGTGGTATTTGAGAACATAGAGAAATGCAGTCCAGACTGCTTAAAGATGCTGTTAGAGAACATCAGTGGCCTGACTACAGATGCTGACTTTACCGTTGAACTGATACCTGAAATAAATGTTGCTGTAGCTACCTTTATAAAAAGCATTGGTAAGACAAGATGACACCATTATTAATTTCCATGTATAAGCATGAGTAATAGCTTTCAGATCTTGACTGCTCTCCCATTGCAGATCCAGACTGTTCTTAAAATGTACCTGGATTGCAGTCTCTCAAGAAAAATGTCTTATATACAGCCCCACAAAAATGCCTGTGATCCAAATGTTACACTGAAAAAAGAAAATTGTGGCGTCTTAATTGAAATTGGATAAGAATGTTTTGCTGTTTCTGTGTTATTTTGGATTAGATGAAGAAGAATTGAAAGTGTGCTGAGTGTGGCGATTATATAAAATCTTCTTTAGAGAAAGTGTACTTAGGAGATGGGAACAGAGACATAGTGGGGGTGAATAGCAGAGAGTAGCATTCTTGTGCACTCTTCCTCTTTTTTATTACAATGCAGAGTTATTTGGCACCAGAGACAGTTTTGTTCCAAATACAGGGAGTAACTCTGCTCATTTCTCTGCCTGAAGTGATAACCAAGCTGATAATGACACAGGAAAACAGGCATTTCATGCTGCTCTTCCATTTACAGATACTAAGGAATTTATCGAAAAATGTTCACAAAACAAAAGAGTCAGAGAATTCCAAATCACTGCCAGGCTTCTTGAGCCAACACAAACCATCAAGGTTGAAAACCTACCAGACAACATTTCCATAGATTACCTCACGGTGTACTTTGAGAGCGCACGGAACGGAGGGGCGCCCGTGTCAGATGTCCAGCTCTTCCCCGAGGAGAACTCAGCCATCATTACTTTCTGTGACCACAAAGGTAACACTGTCCTTTGCCTGACCAAGGTACTCACAGGCAGATGGCCTGCAAGAAAATTACTGCAAATATGGGCATTAGGAGAAGCCTGGCTTTCTGTTTCTGAAGTCAGTGTACAGTGTTCTGTTCCTAGGAAGTGCTCTAAATGGAGAAATACTGCTGCGTGTCTAGGGCTTCAGTATCTGTTGGGTTTTTTTGTTTGTTTATTTTGTTTTTTGTTACCAGAGATGTATTTTAATACCTGCCTTGTGCATGAGTTTTTCTCACTGGTGTTTTTTCTCCATTTGCAGAGGTTTTTATATGGAATATGAAATTAATTGTATTTACAGGTAGAGGGACAGAGCAGAATCTGTCAACGACTTCAGATTGCACAGTTAACTTTCAGAAACTAAATAAGGTCAAATATCCTCATTTCAATATCTTCATTATTGGGGAAGAAAAAACTTGTTACTATTTCTTGCATTCCTCAAATCACTGTCCAGTTTTTGTGCCAGTGCAACTTCTGGTAAATACTTGTTAGGAGACTCCTGGCTTAGTAAATTTAATTTGAGAAAAAGGCTTATCTGCCAGGTGGTTTTCTTATGACTCTCAGGATTTTCTGAAGAATATTTTGTACTTTAAGTTAAAATGGAATTTGGATCATTGTGATGGAGTTTTAAGTTCCTGCAAACATTAGGCTTTCTTTCATTAGTCCATTTCAACAAAAATGGCAAGAAAAAAAGTAAAACTGCACTGACATTAAGAGTTTTTTGAGGATTATATTTGAGGATAAGGCCCTGCTCTGTGGAGGAGTTTCCTTGGGAAACAAGCAGGGTGTAGCTCTGGATGGGAATGCAGACATGAGCATATTTACCAAACAAGTTGGAACCAAGCCTTTTATCTTGTCCCCTACAGAGTAGTTTGGAAATCAGAAAGACATAAAAACAGCTCTTTGAAAGGAAAGAAAAAGAAAAGGAAAATCAGTGTAATCTCTAAGAATAGAGACATTTGCCTGATTTGAAGTTAATGATAAATGCTTGTTTGTATGTATGTGCACTAACTTTTAGATCTAACCACGGTCTTGGAAAAGCGACATTTACTGGAACAGACTCTGATTTCTGTGCATCCATATTACCACTCCCTGGGAACAGCACTCTATGGAGAAGAAAGACCAGCTGTCAAGATGCCAGACCCCATTGAGGTGCCACTAGACCCATATGTATGGCAGTTTTTACAAAAGCATGCCGATCTGACCCAAAACATAAACCAGGAAATGGCAGTTTGCCATTCTGAGCTCATATGGCCCCAAGCAGACTGTGCAAACCCAGAAGTTATGTTGTGCCCATCCCCATCTCTCTGCAAGCAGAAAAAGCCAATGATCAAGTTACTCAAGACATGGCAGCAAGATGCTTCCACTGAGTTCTCACGTATCATGGCACGTTACATATCTATAAAATGTGAAGTCAATTCATCAGGTTGGGAAGATGTGAAAAAAAGACTGTCAGAAGATGTTGGTCTGATCATAACTGATATTTCTGAGGAGATGGTGGTGATTGCAGGCAGCAGAGCAGCAGTGGACAGTGCAGAGAAAGAAGTGAGGGAATGCATGAAGCAAAGTGAACGGGAAAAACAGAGCATTGAAATTTCTGTGTCAGTGATCCCAGGGAAGTATGCTGTGCTGCACAATGCTGGGTTAGAAGAGAATATTCAGAAGGAATATCCATGCCTGAAGGTCTTTTATGATGACAAAAAAAAGACTGTTCAGTTGTGTGGATTACCTGCAGAAGTGTATAAAATCAAAGCTGACTTATTGGAAAAGGTATTGAGTATGCCATGTACATCAGTTACCATTGACCCCCATGTTTTCCACTATCTCCAGTCTGTAGATAATAAACATACATCAGATGTGTTGTTCATTAAGGAAAATATTAATACTTTTTATGAACTTCAGGATGATACTGTGTTGCTATATGGAGATGCTCCCAAAGATCTTCTAGAAGCGGAAAAGCAAATAAAAACAGGTTTAGAATACAAGTGCATCAGTGTGGGGGATGGTGAAGTCTTTAAAAAGGATGAGTGGAAGAGTCTTCTTTTCTCCTCTCTGAACACATATAGTTCTTCCAAGGAAGTTGTCATCTCTTGGCAGTCTGTTGGAAAAGAAAATAAAATGATTATTGCTGGCTTTTCTAAGGCTGTAACAGAGGTCTATCAGAGACTTAATGATTTTATAGATAGAAACACACCCATTGAAAAAGTAATCCCAGTTAATTCAGTGGTGATAGTGCAGTTTGTAGAGAATGTGAAGTCTAGTGTTTGTGGAGAATTGAAGAAGAAAGGTGTGACAGTACGTTTTGACACCAAGACACCATGTATTTCCCTGAGGGGACCAAGAGAAGAAGTGCCAGAAGCATTCATCATGTTGGAAAAAATGGTCTCCTCCCTTTACTCAAAAAATGTGCTAATTGATAAACCAGGCGCAAAGGAGGTCTTCACTGAGAGGAAAGATTTTTGTACTTTAGAAGCAAAGCAGAAATTCAGCTGTTTCATTAGGATGAAGGAAGAAGAAGAAGAACAGAAGGGCAGAAAAACTGGTGATAAGGTGGAAAGAAAGGTCTACTATGAAAAAAAACTGCCAGGAGGAATTGTGGTAGGAGTGTATAAAGGTGACTTGTGTGACTACCCTGTTGATGTTGTGGTGAATGCATCTAATGAAAAACTGAAACACATTGGTGGCCTTGCTGAAGCCCTGTCAAGAGCAGCTGGCCCAGCACTGCAGCAGGAGTGTGATGAGCTGATGAGGAAGCTCAAGAATTTGCATCCCGGCTGCGCAGTGATCACATGTGCCGGGAAACTGCCCTGCAAGAACGTCATTCATGCTGTTGGGCCCAGGTGGGATGTGAAGGAATCACAAAGGTGCATGTTGTTGTTAAAAAAGACAGTGAAAAAATGCCTACAACTAGCTGAAATATACAGTCATTGTTCCATTGCGCTGCCTGTTATAAGTGGAGGGATTTATGGCTTTCCACCACAGATGTATGCAATTTTTATTGTGTCCTCCATCAAGGAGACCTTGGAAGAATTCATGGAGGACAGCAACTTGAAGGAGGTCCATCTTGTTTGTAATTCAGAAGAAATAGTTCACACTCTGAGCGAGACAGTAAAAAAAGTATTTTCAGCTAATTCATTCTCCACAAAACAGCCGATGCTGAAAAAAAAACAGAAGGAGAATATAAAAGGGGATCTGAAGATGGTTACAACAAATGAAGGGCTTTGCATCCGAGTGGAGAAGAAAAATATTCAGGAAGCCATGGTAAGTCTTTACTTTTCTGACTCCTTTCGAACTTGATGGTAAGTTTGAATGAAAAAGGAAGGACAGTAGGTTTCACAAGCACTTGCTACATAAGGAAAGAACAGCTGTGTGCTAGCTAAACAAGGATGCAAGCTTGCAAAACTTGAGTGTAGGTTGAGATCTGTCACTGCAGCCATTTCTAGAGGGCTGTGAATTTCTGGATGTTTTAATTCCCACCTAGATCTTGTTAGTTTTCCAGATCTGAGAGCAACTTGTAAAAGAGTTTGCTTTTTTTTTCCTAAAGTGGAAATACTAAAGTATTTTATAAAAGTAGCTATCTTGGTTGGATATTAGGGGAAATAGGTATCTCTCTGTGCTCTTGGTTTGGGTATCCACTGGCATTTTGGGGTTTTTTGCTGTGTGTTTTAATCTCGGTGCATATTTTTGCTTGAATTCTGGTTGTAGCTATTTTCATTGCAATCTTGTTGCAGATGGATGTTCTGGTCAACAGTGTTGGCACAGATCTGCAGTTTGGTGTGGGGCCTCTTTGCAAAGCCTTGCTGGAAAAGGCTGGACCAGCTCTCCAAGATGAGTTTGACACTGAAAAACAAAATCAGGTTGCTGGTGCTGGGAGTGTGCTCTGCACCAGTGGATGTGCTATGGCCTGCAAGTCCATCTTTCATGTCATACTACCCAAGTGGAATGGAGGACAGACAGAGAAGGTATATTTTAATTATTAACTCCCCAGCTACATATTTATTTGGGATCTGTCCTGAAATTTCAGGTTTAAACATAGTTACTTTAGATTACTTGATTCCATTTTCTTCTGTTGGAGTGACCTTAAAGATGTCTTGATGTACTCGGAGCTGCTTGTCATACCACTTTCTTTGGAACTAATAATAAATTATGCCTTTAGAAAAAAAAAGTACCTTTGCTGTGTTTTACAGGTCCTAGAAGATGTAATTGATTTATGCTTGAAGAAAACTGAAGAACTTGGACTGAAATCGATTGCTTTCCCAGCTATTGGGACTGGAGGATTTGGATTTCCTAAAATCATTGTTTCTAAGTTAATGTTTGATGTGGTATTCAGGTTCAGTAGTACTCACACTCGGAAGAATCTCCAGGAAGTTCACTTTTTCTTGAATCCACAAGATACTGATAACATTCAGGTAATTCTTCTCAGGACAAAGCTGTATTTGTAACATACTGCTCTAGTTACACATTAATAATCTGTTTTACTTATACTGCTTTCTAAGGGGTGATAATTTAGCACTTCCTTACTGCTGTGGACCAGTGACAATGAGATGTCTTTCCACTGTCTCTGAAATACAAACTCTCCACAAGCAGAAGGTGCAGACAAAATATGCCTTGCTGTTGGCTCTGTAAATGCCTGTAGATGCTCCCTCATCTTCTGACAGAGGAGTTCTAGCAATCCAGAGCTATCTCTTGTCACACTGTCCACACTGGGTCTTCTGCTGTTAATAACACTGCTGTTAATAACACTTAAATAAGACTATAAAATGTGTGAGGTGCCTCAGTGAGAGCTGCATGATTGTTAATGTTGTTTACAGAAACATTCGATGTACATACTGTGAAATACTATCTTGCCTACTTTTTTTCTCTTCTTAGGCTTTTACCACTGAGCTAGAACTTAGGGCAGGTGGAAGTTGCAGTGCTGCAGCAGCACAGCCAAGTAAGTTGTGTAGGGGTGGGACAGAATGTAAATACTGTTAAGTGGTTTTATGTGTATCAGGAAACAGAAGAAATATCATCAGGGCATGGGGCATTTTTTTTCCTCCTAATGGACTTGCATTCGTAAATGTCATTGTAAAATTCTTAGGGAAGAATTTATTTTGTTGAGGCCATGCTGAACTTTCAGTGTGGCCAGTCTTACCAAAACAAAGAGGGTGTTCTGCCAGGAGACACAGTAGTTTGTCCTGCTCAAAGGATATAAGAACTTGCAATCACTTGGCCAAACAAGCCATAAATAACATGTATTTCTTGTAGCTTTAATCTCCTACATATATATATATTAATATATACAGGAATAATTTCCTTTCCATTTATTATTTGACAACAGTGGGACACAGTAGCCAAAACATGAGTGTACTGCATCAAGGGCAGAGGCTTATTCATAAGGATATAAAGCTCTTCCTCCTCAGTTGCTGAGTATCAGAGAGATGAAGTTAAGAGTGGGCAGATAACATATGAGTTAGATAAGTTTAGACTAGAAGAAAGGAACAGTTTTTTATCCATTAGGGTAAATATGAAATAACTTACAAAAGGGATGTGATATGATCTCCATTACTGGCAGCTCTTAAGCTGGATGCTTCGTTTCTTGTAAGAATTAATTCAGGAAACTGTTACAGAGCTGGTCATATCAGATTAACCCTGAAGCCATTTTCTGAATTCATATTGCGTAAATTTACAGGAATAGAAATGGTTTCACTTTCACAGTGTTTAAACAGGAAGAATACTGTGCCTCCCAGCTTTCAGAGATGGAATAAAGAGAAAAACATCAAACTGATCTAGAGCGTAGTCCTTAAAAGGATAAGTGGAAGTTTCAATCAGTTGAAGAGAATAATACTCCAAACTAAAGGAGAAGTGAGTTAATATATTTTTCTTTCCCTTGCAGGTTTCATGAGGCCTGTTTCTGATGAACTGTTGAGAGTTCATGAAATGAAGATTGGTTCCATCACACTCCAAGTAATTAGTGGAGATATTACTAAGGAAGATACAGAGGTTATTGTAAACATATCAAATTCATCATTTGATGCCAAAACAGGTATTATATTGAATATGTGGTTCTTTAGCAATAAATCTAGTCTAGGGAGTACAGGAAAGAATTGTCCACAAGGGAAAGTTTTATGAAGCATTTTTCAGATGAGAGATACAGAGTTGTGATTAGTCAGGAAATTGATCTTAAATGTTTTTCTTACACATCCTGAATATTTGATTTACTTTCCAAACAAAAGGCCATTTTTTTCTTGCATAAAGCCAAAATGTTTAAATGGAATTTTTAGATAAAGTATAATTCTGAAAAAATGCTCTTATCCTAAAATGTTTCACTGTAAGACAAAGGCCTGTAAGAAGCAGAGGATTTTAACATAGTGAATTATAAGCATGGAAGATACCAAATGTTGTAGTTCAAAGCCATTGGAGAGTTTGGTGAGGGACATATGGGTTTGTCGAGTGAAACAATGAAACAGGAGTTGTTCTTAATGACTTGTAATCAGCAGTGAAGGAAATGTTCTCTCTGCAGCCGGTGCAGTGTGTCATGGACAGTATGTAGGGAAACTGGCAAGGTTTTCAACTTTGTGCTATCTTGCCATACAGCAATTGAGGTCATGTGTAAAGTACAGAAGTTGGGTAGAGTTTTGAGTAGAGATAGTTAAGGAGGCTTAATGACTGTGTGTGCTTTTTTTCTGTGATTTAAGGAGTCTGCAAAGCAATTATGGATGCTGCTGGTTCCCAGGTAGCAAATGAATGTGCTCAATATGGTATGTTAGAGCATACTGGTTTTTTGATAATTCTTTTTCTGTTGTTATCATTCTCTCTGAAAACTTAAAGTTGCTTTATAATTCTCTACTCTGATGCCATAATTATTTTAGGTGAGTAACACAGTTTTCACTTTTAGGAACTTTAAAAAGTCCCCTTCCTGTTTTGACATATACCTTGAAAATTTTCCTTTTCATAGTTGTTTAGCAACAGCTAAAACATCAGTGTATTACACACTTTATTCTCATACTGGTTCCAAAACACAGCCCTATACTGGCTACTAAGAGGAAAATTAACTCTATCCCTACTGAAATCAGAATAATCCTGATCATAGGTTCCTCAATAGATTGCATTCTATCAGACCAGTAGAGCAGTGAAATTCCAGCTCACTGTGGTTGGCCTCTACAAGCACAGAAAGGGACACTTTAGATGCATAACCAAAATGTGCCTGCTCTGTGTCTGGAAACTGACTTCCAAGATGGAGTTTCCTGAATTTTTCTCCCAGCCTGTGGCTCTGTAGAAATATTTGTACAAACACACATATATCATTAACTTCAAATCAGGCAAATGTCTCTGTTCTTAGAACTATTACACTAATTTTACTTTTCTTTTTCTTTTGTTTCAAAGAGCTATTTTCATGTCTTTCTGATTTCTAAACTACTCTGTAGGGGACATGATAAAATGCTTAGCTCCAACTTATTTGGTAAATACGCTCGTGTTTGATTCCCCTGCAGAGCTACACCCTGCTTGTTTTCCAAGGAAGCTCCACCACAGAGCAGGGCCTTATCAACATTCTACTATGAAACAGTCCTTACCTTCAACTTAAAATAAAACTCTTAGTGCAGTTTTACTTTTTTGTTGGAATACACAAAGCAAAGGAATGATCATGTTGGCAGGAACTTAAAACCCCATTACAATGTTCCAAATTACGTTTTAACTTAATGTACAAAATGTTCTTCAGAAAACCCTGAGACTCATGAGAAAACCTGGCAGATAAGCCTTCTTCTCAAAGTAAATTTATCAGCCTGATCTCAGTACTTGCAGAACATATTACAGTTGTTACCTTCATGATCTGTGAGGTGGTCTGGAGCTCTGTGCTCATCAGTCCATTCATCCTCACAATATGACTCCATTTTGTATGCAAACATGAGTGCTCTGAGAAAACACAACCATATTTTTAAAAAATCCATACTGTTCTTAGATCAGTTGCTCATAATCTTAATGATATTATTTTATCCACTCAGCTTTTCTGCAGAGTAAGAATTTGGGTTTTTAAGGAATAAGTGGAATAAGAAAGGTTTTCTCATATAAATTAATTTGGCATGCTTTTAAATAGAAGTGAGTTGTATTCAAAGTCATCAGAAATTCTTATATTGTACTTAATAGGAAAATACTTTGTAGCAGAGATGTTAGGAAATTAGAAAATACACATTTACTTGAATTAGTTTCTCCAAGAAACTCTGCAGCGTATTTACAAAGAAAACCAGAATCAAGTAAACCCACAATAAAATATCTCACAGTGGATTTCTTACCACTTTTTCCACTTTTCTTGTAGCACCAGTATAACAATCAATATTACCAAAAGAGATTGCTATTTTATAAATAGATAAAAAGATAATCTTTATCTTTTCTCTTCCAGCTGGGCAGTATCAAAATGGCTTTGTTACTACACAGGGTGGGAACCTATTGTGCAGTAAAATCATCCATTTGATTACCAATAACCAGGTGAAGAGTCAGGTCTCCCAAGTGCTTCATGAGTGTGAACAAAGGATGTACAAATCTGTTGCCTTCCCAGCTATTGGAACAGGTTTGTGTTTTCTTGGGAAAGCAATATGTGATGGGGGTAGTTCAGAAACAGACAAACTTAGTATGGGAACAGTAGACTTGCACAGAAACTGTTCACTAATATGTGCCTTTTATTTTTGTTTAGGTCAAGCAGGACAGAATTCAGCCAAGGTAGCTGATGAAATGTTGGATGCTATAGTGGAATTTGCAAGACAGCCATCAGTACAGCATTTAGAGACAGTTAAGATTGTGATCTTCCAGACAAATATGCTCCCGGCCTTTTATGAAAGCATGAAGAAAAGAGAAGATTCAGGTTCATCCACAAGATCAGAACCACCAACAGAATCATGGTTATCTATGTTTAAATGTAAGTTGGTGTGTTTTCTGTGTGCATGGGAATATAAAACTTAAGTTCTTTTATTTACAACTAATAATTGACATATTTATCCACAGCCTTTTTTTGGAACAGAAAGCAATCTTCTGAGAAGAAAAAGTCCATGATTTTGGAGAAGAAAGTTGATTTAGTCACATTTCAAATTTGTGGAGAAAGCCGAGAAAAGGTGGATGCAACTGAGTCCTGGATAAAGGATTTAATTTTAAAGGAACAGTTTGAAAACATTATTTCAGATGAGGCAATTGAAAGTTTTGATGAGATGCAAATTGCCATTTTGAAAGATCTCCACCTAAGAAAAAAAGTCAAAATTGAGTTTTTAAATGAGCTTTCTCCCCCTCAAATTAAAATTTCTGGTATTAGCAGGGATGTCTATTCCGTTTCTCTAGAAGTTCAAGACATGATCCAACAAATTAAGTCTACTGAGGAAGAGCAATCCAAGGCAGAACTTCTTTCTAACCTGGTAGAGTGGAGGTATCCAGGAAGCAACGGTGGCTTTGTTACTTTTGATAAACTGACAAATATGCAGCTGGAAAATGCCAAAATGGCTAAAAAACTATACCTGGATGTCAAAATTAAAAATAAGAACTACAAGGTGGATCTGAATACTCTGAAGGCTACTGATGACCAAGGAAAAACTGTAAATCTTCAACGTGTGACAAAGGATGAAGGTAAATGACACTATTGGTAAATAAAAAAAAAAAATGGATAGTTATTATTGAATGATGATTTGGATAAATGCAGCTCACGTGTCCCAAAGAAGGAAGGTATTCCTTTTTTCCTTTTTTTTTTTTTTTCCCCTTGGCCAGCAGTTTTGAGTTTCATAATCAGTGGGAAGTATGAGTGAAATCAGAACACCAGTTTTAAGTGCAAATACTATCTGCATATATGTGACTGGTGAGCATAGATTTCATGCTTAAGTCTGACGAAGGAAGCGGTGTATGAAGAATTCATAAAATTCTTCTGCGGTTTTAAACTAGTTTCAGTTAGATATTGGTATGGGGATAATCAGGCAAAATGTAAAGCCTTTGTATTGTATAACAGAGCCAGTGATGTTTGGAAGAGCAAGAGTACTTGTCGAATGAAGTATTACTGAAGGTGCTGTTCTCTTGGTCCTCTCTATGCAGGTTTGTAAGATGTGCCTATGGAGCTGGAGCTAGTTGTCTGTCATAATAATGCAACCTCTGTTTTGCAGATCTGCAGTCAATAGAGCTCCCTAAGGAGTGGACAGACATGCAAAATGAACAGGTCAAAGTGGTGAAGCTCAAGCCATTGCATCCTGAATATAAAACTGTGGAGAAGATGTTTCAGACAACATGTTCCAACTATAACATAGAGAAGGTGATATCATATGGGGTGGGGAGGGGGGAAATGTCAATGCTTGGGCAAGAAACATTAATGTACTTCCTAAATATTTGCTTATAAGGTCTCTGCAACCCAATACACCTTTTAAATGCCAGTGTCCCCAGCACTGTACAGAGTGAACATAAATCAAAGCAAAATTCCTAAGAGCTGTTCAGTAATTTCTGACATCTAATAGTGCAAAACCAGTGACCGTCAGTCTTCAGGCTGACTCTTTATTCAGTTAATGTGGTATTCACTAGTTAATATGGTATTTCCAATTAGGAAATTCTATACCAAAATGGAGGCATGAGCAAATGCATTCAGAATACAAAGGGAAAATACAAAGTCCTTGCAGACTGACACAAAGCTTTGGACTAATTTACAGCTTCTCCCCTGTCATTCAGGAGAATGAAAGAGCCTTTCAGGCTTGGCTGTCAGTTTTAACCAGTGTCAGTATTCGATCCTGCTTATTTAGAAGTCTTCAACAAGTGCACAGAGATTTAATTGCCAGGGAGATGATGGAATTGTTCTGAATCAAGAGATAAACAGTAGAATATACAATCAAATTAGGAGTGAGAATAATGTGTTTAAAAATTTTTCTTCTATCATGAGCTTCAAACACAAAAACACACAAAGAGAACAAAATATTAGTGTGCTACAGAAAAAAATCGAGTTATGACATTATGTCTTTTTCTGTTAAAAATGGAAACCTGTTACAGAAATGCCTTTGAGATTATACTTTGATGCAGAGACACTGCTTCCCCTTAAGCTATATCCACATTGTTGGTATAGGGAGCGAGCAACATCCATCCTCCCACCAAATGATTTTTATATAGTAGTTTCTTATGGGTTGCTAAGCTACATGTTAGAGGAAGCAATTTTGACTTGCAAGCTTAGATCTAGAAGAGAAACTTAAACTGAACCTAATGCTGTTGCTACAGTCAGAGAAAATCATCAGTAAAGATGATTAGGATGTATAGGATGCATCTTACGTCATTGCCTTTAGCAGTGGTACAGCAGCCTGTTTCTAGAAATGACAATGCACAGCTACCATGACTGCTGGGGACCTAGTATACTAGGCAAAACAAATATACACCCAAAATTACTGAGCTTGAAACTCTCTTGTGAGCTGCAGGAGGCTTACATATTCAGTTCCTTTACCCAAACCTCATGCTAACAGGACATAGTGAAAATTGCTATAATTCTGTCAGTTTGATTTCATTTTAATGCTTTCCTGCCATGATAAATATTCTTCCCTACCCTATTTATCTCTAGGATAAATATAGTTAATTTTGTAATTTTGCAGATTGAAAGAATACAAAATCACATCCTCTGGCAGACATACCAACTAAAAAAAAAATTCATCTGTGAAAAGAACAAAAATCAAAATAATGAGAAGTTGCTATTTCATGGGACAGCTGCATCCTCACTGAGGTTGATTAACTACTATGGATTTAATCGTGGGTATGCTGGAAAGAATGGTGAGTCATTATCCAAATCAGTTAATTTCCTAGGCATGTATGAGTACTACAGGATGTCAATGTTATCGTGCTGTCAGCACAACATGAAAGCTGAATTAAATTAGAGAAAACCATAATAAACAACTCCTGATATTAATCTACATGGACAGAGGAATTGTCCTGTTCAGTTAATCACTTGTTGCTGGATGCCACCATGTAAAGGGTATCAAAAAGAGTTCACTTACTCTGAAATGAAGCCTGGGCAGCTTTTAGGAATTGTTTTGTATCATCGTCATGGTTTTACCAAGAGAAAGGAACAAGGAACACTGTTCAACTTCCTCAACTGAGGTAGCAGCTCCTAGCTGATGGTATCTCCTCTCCTCTTACACAAAGACAGGTAGCAAAGTAGAAGTGCAGATACTCCTCCTGTTACCTCCAGAGATTAGGACAGCATAAGATCCCACATCTGTACCAACTTTACGCTCACAAAATCTATGAGATCCATTAGTTAATTCTTAGCCTTTATAATAATAGTTATAATAGTTTATAATAGTTGTTAGAAACAACTTAAATATTTAGCATAAAGATATCCTGCATTAGTTCAAAGCTTGTTTTGTCCGCTTCCACTAGTATAGTCGTGTTATGTGTATTATTTGGCAACGTTCAAAGATGAAGAAAGTGGAGGATGGACTGAATTGAGGTGCTAGCTGATTTTGGCAGTCATGTAACCTCACTTAAAAAGTCCCTTACTTTTGTTCTTAATGTTTTCTTCCTTAAGACAGAACTGGACATGCCTAGGGCTAGTTTGATCTTGAGACAGCTGGGCAGCTTAACTCGGATCTAGCTGACACTTCAGTGTGGTCTGGATCCAAAAATAGACATTTCTCTGTCTGGATCCTCTGGAGGTACTTACTCTGAGATTTTATTGAATAAATGAAGCCCAGCATACACAAAAAGTATCAGGTTGTGCACAGGTAGGAGTGGCAGCCACCACTTCTTTTTGAAACATGACCAGAGGAGATGTAGTTTAGCTTTCCTGCTCTTTGGTAGTGTCATGAGGTTGGATTTACTCAGGAAGCAAGAGCCCCAGATATTCATGTCATCTTTCTGCTTGTGGGTATTGACATCCACCTTTTCATCTCAGCTGTGATTAATGACTGGGGAGGCACACTTGCCTTCTGTCAGGCTGGGTACCCAAGCAAAAGTATCCAAAAATCAGGGCAGCTGGATAGGAAGGACCTGTCTTGGCTTAACCAGCTTTTTACCAATGCCAGGAAAAAGAAATTTGTCTTGAACAATGACATGTGATTCCTCTAACTTGCTGGGAAGTGTGACTAGAAAACTATAATTATAATTATGTAGTCATTTTAATTCCAAAAGTCTCCGAAGAATTTAAGTTTGGTGGATTCCAGGCTAAACCATGCTAAGCAGAGGAGACCTTTTCTACATAGGAAAGGGAAGTCAAAACCTGGGTGTTGATACCTGGTACCTATGTGGGTTCATATTTGATTCTGATACAAAGGATTAGGACTAGAATTTTGTGTTTGAACTCTAACCACATTTACAGCGCCTGCAGAGTTAGGAAAGGAGTTTTTGATACTCTCAGGAGAATAGGAACACTAATTTTATTTGAAAATGTTGTGTTTCCTAACAGCTGCAGCCTTTGGAAACGGAACCTACTTTGCTGTTGAAGCACGTTACTCTGCTCGGAATACTTATTCCATTCCAGATACGAATGGCAAAAAGTACATGTACTTGGCTCGGGTCCTAACTGGGGAGTACTGTGCTGGGAAAGAGGGACTAAAGACTCCACCACCAAAGAGCCAAACAGATCATACTGACCTGTACGACAGTGTGGTTAATGATGAGGCTAATCCAACAGTTTTTGTCATATTTAATGACATTCAGGCATATCCACAGTACCTTATTACTTTCAAACATTAGAATGACCTTAATAGTCTAGAAAATTTTAGTGCCTTCTACATGTAAGAATTTAAGGGCAATTTTTTATTCTTTTTACATTTAGGTTTCTTCTTTATTAATCTATCCATGTGTTGAAATGTGTCTTCAAATTATCAACAGAAGGACTAACATAAGCAAATATTTTGGAGCGTGCTATTTCAGTACTCAAATTTCAAGTTCAGTTATGCAGAGATGTAGGGAAGAGCTGTGAGAACAGCTCTGACTTCTTCCTAGGCAAGGCAGAGGGGAGTGGTAGGAGAGGAAGCTGCTCTGCCTTACCTGTGGCCAGCAGTAAGAGGTGTGGGGTAGGTCAGAGCACCTCTGCATGTTCCTGTTTCCAGTAGTCACCATAAAGCACCTTCTTGTGAGGATTTATTTAAAGTTTCAAGATCATAAAGAGGGACTTTTAATTTTTTTTCTTTTCAATACTAAAGCATTAACCTTTCTGTAGAATCGCCAATTTGTTGAATCAGTTACAGAGACATAAATCAGTTCACATGCTTAAACCATTTGAAAATTTTTAAAGTTCTGTAAGAAAATTAAATAATGGCATTTTTACAACTTTGCCAGTGGTTCTTTTAATCACATCATAATCTTAAGACTGCCAATCAAAAGCTATATTGATTGATTTAATAAAATAGTTTCAAACAGCTACATTGTATTGCTGAGCTGCAACAATCAATTGTGTTGCTTCACATTTGATTATGTTACAGTGATGCAATAAAGATTTTGAAGACAAAACAAGTTTCTTGTATTGTCTGAGTGACATGACTTGTGCATACAAATTCCAGGTAAAATTATTCTGCTTTAGTTGAAAAAAGACCTGTGGTGCAAATAGCTGCCACAATGTCTTAAAACTTCATCATGATTCTCATTACCTGCAAAGAGGAAAAGGGTTTACAGTATCTGAAGACTGCAATATAAAACATTTCTGCTTTTCACAGCAGATGTCCATGCAGCACTTCAGATTAATGTCCTGCATAAATTCCCATTTAAAGCAAAGTAGAGTTTTACCCACTCCCACTTTAATAGATTTAATAGATTTTGCTCCCTGTGAAAAGGTGAGGATGCTTTTCTTCTTTCTTGCTTTTTTTGGGTACTTTTCTGTGTCATGGAAACGCTTCAGCAGCCAGAGCAACTTGGTTTAGCTGAAAGCACCAGGCACCCACTGGCTTCTCCCACTGCTGTCACCGAGCAGCTTGGAGAGCCAGGACACACCACTTTCTATTTGTGTGGCCCTATTTGTACCTGAACATCTTGGAAAGCAGCGGGAGCTGCAAGACAAAGCACTACAGAAACCCACATAACTTTTATCACTGGTGGTGGTAAAAGTTTCTTCAGTCATTTCCCTACAAGAACCTGTGGGATACTCTGTTGTGTAGTGTTTGCGGACTGAGAAGCTGGAAAAAGGTCGTGTATGATAAATAAAATCCCAGGCACAAGAGGAACTGGGTGTGCTGTTTGACAGATGGCTGGATATGAACCAGCCCATGCCCAGACGGCCAAAGAAGTCCAGTGACATCCTGGCTTGTATCAGCAATAGTGTGGCCACAGGATCAGGGCTGTCCCTTGTGCTGGGCACTGTTGAAGCATCTCAAGCCCTATGCTTATTTTTGGGACCATCACGACAATTTAGGTGCTGGGGTGTGTCCAGAGAAGGGAAGACACTGGGGAGGTTCAGCCTGGAGACAAGGAGGCTGGGGTGGCCCTTTTTTCTCTCTCCAATGCCCTGACAGGAGGTTGTAGCCAGGTGGGGGTGGGTTCCTCTCCCAGATTACAAGTGATAGGATAAGAAGAAACGGTCTCAAGGGTTTAGGCTGAACATTAGGAAAAATTCCTTCACAGAAAGGGCGGTCGAGCATTGGGACGGACTGTCCAGGGAGGCGGTGGAAGCATTCAAAAACCGTGTAGATGGCTTGGGGACGTGGTTTAGTGGTGGGCTCAGCCCTGGCAGTGTTGGGTCAGCGCTGGGCCTCGCCGATCCTGTCACTCCGCGCCCCCCGCCACCGCCCCTCAGCTCCTGTCCCCGCCCCTCGCGGCCCCGCCTCCAATCAAGAGCGCCCGCGCGCTCCCGCCCCGCCCGCCCCGCCCGCCCATTGGCGGAGGACGCTACCGGCGCTGCCTCCATGGCGACGCGGCGGACGGGCACTCCAAGATGGCCGCCGAGCCGGGCGGCGGGCGCCCCCGGCCCACCCGCTGCTGCCGTCCGCCGCTCGCCGTCTTGGCCGCCGGGCTCTTGCTGCTCCTGCCGCTGCCTCCCTCCGCCTCCTCCTCCTCCTCCTCCTGTAACCACCGCGTACCCAGCGGCGACCAGGTGGGGTTGCCGGGGGTCTTCAGGTGGCTGCGACGGGTGCTGGGGGGCAGAGGTTCCCTTGTTGGCCGTTCCCGCTGTTGGGTCCGTCCCTTCTCGGCTTTCCCGGGCCGGGCTGTGCCGGGTCTGGCCCCGCCGCCCCGGCTGTGGGCGCTAACGACGGCGGGCGGGCGCTGAGCATCCTCTTGCCGGTGAGGGAAGGGTCGGGAAGGGCTGGAAGGGGCCGGCACCGAGCGGTGCTGCCGGGCGAGAAGGAGCCGAGGGCCCGGGGCCGCGGGGTGCTGTGTCAGTCCGGGTGAGCTGCCTCATCCAGCGCCTCCTGCCTCTCCCTGCCAGGTCGTCTATCAAGTTCCCCTAAAGGAAAATCACGTCTCGAAGAGAAACGTGGATCAACAGCTAAGAATTAAGATCGTATATGACAGAAGCGTTGAGGAGTGAGTATAATGTTGCGGCAGATTTTTTTTTTTCCATGGGTGAGAATGGAAGCCTTGTTAACTGAAGCTCATGTGTTTTGTTTTTTAAATATAGTTTGCTGCCTGAGAAAAGACACCTTATAATGGTATGTTCGGTTTGCTTCCCCTTTCTGTTTGTATGTAGTTTATTACAGGGATGAAGTTAAGCTTAGGTCTGGTTTAACTAAAGCTTTGAATGGCATCAATTTAATATTCCACTAATCCAGGAAACCAAAGCTTTATGTATAGATTATACCTTCATAACAAATAACTCCAGAGTTCTGCTGCATGTTGTTTGACAGGTGTTTGCTATATCCCAAGGTGCAAAGGTATCAGTGAAAAATGTGTTTTTAAAAGCCTCTTTGAAGCTGTACATTATAATTAATACTGGTTTCCTTCCCATTTTCTCATTCCAAAAACAACATATGGGAGTACTGAAACAAAGTATTTCCTAATTATGTTGGTAATAATTGAACTTCTTTGAGAGTCAGGCTTTCCCCTATTCTGCTATACCACAATACCTAGCAAGTTTCATGTAACTTGGTAGTTAATGCCTTTGGGGTGAGTTGTGTCTGCCCTGCTACTGAGTCACCCTGATTTTTGTTCTTTTCAGAACAAACTCTTCCCACAAGCTATATCTTACTTGGAGAAGACATTTCAAGTGCGCAAATCTGCCGGTGCTATATTGCTAAGCAGGTGTGTGAAAGTCTGTTGAAAATATTGTTTTCAACATGTTGTTGCTATATTTGATTTTTAACACTGTGCTGCATAGCCTTTAAAAGAAGATTAGAGTGTAAGAAATACCCTGCTGAATCAGATCAGTGACCCATCTGATCCAGTGGCAGATGCTCTTTTACAAATCTGCCAATCTTCCATGAGCAACACTTGCATTTGTTGCAGCAGAGACATTCAAAGCTATATATGCTGACAGTTCTCTTTTATGTGTACTCCCTTTTATGAACCTGGTCCTAATCTCTGTTTGAACCTGTGGATGCTCCATTAACAAGTGGAAGCATTATGTCTTCCCTGGTAAGGTAGTTAATAATTTTCACTGTAAAATTTATATCAAGTACCAACATAGTGTTGTAAGTGCTGAGCTATAGTTCTGCTTTAGTATATATATATATATATATATATATATATATATATATATAGTAATGCTTTAATAATAAAAGCATTGACTGTCTCATGTTTCATTGAAGGCAATGTGTGACAAACCAGTATTTAAGGAGGAAAGCTGACCCTCACAGATATTGCCAAAAAGCTTGTGCAGACCATACAAGGTGTGGGCCAGTTGTAGTTCCTGAGAAACACCTCCAGGTAAGCTCAGCCGTCCCAAGTGTTTCCTAGTCTTTGAAATATTGCTGCTTGTAGTAATTAATGAAAAAGTGAACCTTGGTAATTGTGCATAAGTGATCTGTTCGCTGGAGATCACTAAGTCTGAATGAAAGAATAGAAAAACTTAAATTAGTGTGAGTTTCTGTAGTTTATATTGGTGAATTAAAACTCAAATAAAAAAACTGGAACTGATTGCTGTCTTCTGAGTCTGTGTTCTAATGGCCTGTATGGAGAGGATGAGATTTGGAGCTTGCTAAATTGCTGTTAGTCACTTTGTTATTCTCCTTGGTCAATGAGTTGGAATTTCACAGTTAGCAGTTGATTTTCAAAGACCTTGTTTGTAGAGGTTATCCACTGACTCAGAAGCATGGTGCAAGAATTGCTTCAGACTTGTTTTCCTGATTCAACTACAGTATGTGATCAGTAGATTTCTGGTTTTCTTTCTTTAACTTGGAAGTTTTGACTGTATCATTAAAAAGATAGATTATATGAGAAATGCTATTGCTAGTTATATATACTAGCTTTGTGAGCCAAGATTTTTTTTTTAAATTTATAGGAAATACAGGGTGCTAATTCTGGGAGGCTTGGCAGGCTTTATTTTTTGTTTTTTTAAAGCTGCCACCTTCCTTGGGTCTAATAAATCAAAAGAGCTAGTCATTTGAAAGTTATTCCTTGGCTCTGATTTTGTTTATTGTTCTTCACTGGGCGTTTTCTTATCTTCTGCTTTCTTACAACAGGATTTATTCTTGGTTTCAAGCTAATTGAATTGTGTCATGCAAAATTTTGGTCATCAGTAAAGTATTTTAATTGTTCCCTTTGTAAAGCAATGCAGGGTGTACAATGACAGTGACTGGCACCGAAGGCCCACGGGTTTACCTGACCAGGAAGGGGTTCGAGATGCTGACTTTGTGCTCTACGTTAGTGCCCTCACTACTGACAGGTGTGGCCATGAAAATATCATTGCATATGCAGCCTACTGCCAATTGGAAGCTGAAATGGACAGGCAAGTATTCCCTCTGTTGCAAACTCTCTTTTAAATTAAGCTTTAAGTTTCTTGATTGTTCAGATGTGGAATTTGATTGTTTGTCTTTGTTGTATAATAAAGGAGGAGTCATTATTGAGGTAGACAAGCCTTGCATTTATGTAAAATCACAAACCCATCAAATAGTGCTTTACTTGCAGTTGAGGCACAGAACTCAAAGCTGATCCTTCACTGTAAATGCCTAAACTTTATCTCAAGATTCTGTTTCTGTTTCAAGTTTCTGTTGAGGTGAATGTCATGATTTCACAAACTCAAAGTATGCAAGTTCTTACTTATATTGCTTTTGTTTCCATTTCAGTTGTAGTCACTGTCCCAGAGTTTGTACCTCCCTAGGATCTTGCCTAAAATTTACTGACATCTGTGCAGAATATTGAATATAGATTGACTGACCCCATCCCAACAGTAAACGAGTCACTGTGTT